GATCGGACGTCTGATCAATTAATAGATCGGACGATCTAGAGTATCTGATTAATTACCACACAGACTATCTGACTAATTATCTATTGATCGGACGTCCGATCTAGAGTAAAGTGAGGTCAAACTCCGATCTAGAATCAAGCTGATCACTCTAAATCTAAGTTTGGATCGGACGGATCGAACGGAAATCTAAATCGAACACAACATATATATAAAAGAACAGTGTCTGTCTGTCTGTACGGACTTTTTCTCAGCCTTCTTTGGGCTAAAAAACTGAAATTTTTGACAAAGAAATTGTAATCAAGGTTAATGAAACCTGAGGATCAAGCTCTATCGATAAGAACAGGAAAATCTCCTTAATTCGGTTGCATTAGATGTGCCTGATTGTTCCGAATTGTTTATCTTTAAACTGTCTTGTTCCTAAGGAAAATGGTAAAAAATAACCAACTTTATTTAACCCATTCGAAACTTCTGCAGCGAATAATCGCTGCAACAAAAACTCAGGAACGGACCGCTGCAGCGCTAATTGAGCTATTTTCATTCAATTAATTGCTTTTTTTTTTGCTGTTTTTCAGCATTACATGTATATTCCAATTGTAGCAGATCTACAAATTACGTGGGCAAAAAAGATGTTTCATATTTACCCGGAATCAATGCAGCCTCTGGTTTTGCATTGAAATGTTCCATAATAGCTCTAAGCTTATAAAGCCGATCTCCTGCAGGATCCAGCTCATTATCACAAAAACGCAGGTTGCGAAGAATAGGTTCAAATTTTGCTCTTGACATAATGTGGGACATGTGGGAAAATCCTCCTAATCCAGGCCTGCTACTCCAGTAGTCACAAATCCTCGGTAATTTGACGATTCCCATTTGAAGATACAGAGCCAGGAAGAGCTTGAAAGATTTTGCATCGAAATCCTGCCAGTTTGTTTTCCTTTTTCCATGTTTATTAGATTCGCCTTCTAAAATATTGTCGTCGATAAAATAAGAACAATAATCGATAGGATCTTGAAAAGTACTGAAGTCAAATCCAAATCGTTCTTCATCAAAAATAAATGGGGCAGGAGACTCTCTTACATCTTTCCAACCATAAATAAACTGCTTCGGAGTCAAAAATGTCAAAAAAAGGGCTTGGTCCGTAGACGAAAAAAAAGAAAAAACGCTGCGATTTCGAATGGGTTAATGATTACACAAACAAAAGAAGCATTTCTGAACAAAAGATGTCCATTTCCAGGCTAACAAACATCGATTTGGGCTCTTTTACTGATCATTCGAACTCTGCACTGTTATCACCCTTTTCTTGTATCCAACAAATAAACAAGCTTTATTTTTTTATCTTTTTAACTCCAATAAACAACCTCCAAGCATCAAAGTTTTCTTTGGTGTTTACCAATTAGTTTTTAAAGATATTCAATGTGTTCACTGATCAACCAGCTTTGATCAATCAACTTTTTCAATGACAAACTGCTTGCTTGGGAAAATCGGGCTTGAAAGGCAGAATCTAGCCTGGTCAAGTCATCGAAAAGCAAAATTGAAGTGGCGCTGAACTACTGTGTAATTGAAGAACTTTCCATCGCACTTCTTCATCTCTCCTATGATCTCAAGCACGTTAACCTCTACTCATTGCACCGAGAATCGATCAAAAGAGAACTGAAATTCTCTCTGTTCAAGTGATAATTGATCTAGACACCAACACAGCAGTCTACTCTTATTTCCATTTCAAACATCTCTGCACCCATCCATTCTCTGCACCCAAGCAAATGATAATTGGAATGAAAATCCAAAGTCAATCGGTTATCTCTCAATTTGAGATCAATCATTTAATCTTCTTTTATGCTATCATCAATCTTTTTCCTTCAAATGATTTGAGCAAATCACCGCGTGATAATCTAAATTTTGGTCACTTGATCAGTCATTTTTCTCATTTCTTTCAATTTGTTCACTTTCACTTTTGTTTAACGACGACAAAGTTGTTTGATTTCTTAAAGATCTAAATAATTCCAGATCAAACTAAAGCCATTCTCTAGCCAATTTACTCAATTCAAACATATCCCCTTTTACCCGATCGTTTTACTTTTACAAGTACAGTTTTACTTTAGCCCAAGTGCAAATAAATCTTTCTGAACTTGGCTGACTCTTGGTCATTTTGCAAACTCTTCCCCAAAATCTATCCAAATCAGAGACTAGAGACTTTTCTGAAAGTTCTTTGGGGTGTAAACCTGAGCAATCAGTAGTCTCGAGATTCGACAGGGATTAAGGGATTATTCTCATGAATCCCTTTATCACCACATGGCATTCAACCTTGCAAAACGACGAAAAAAACAGGCACAGTGGGGTACAATTTTTAAACAGCCCATCGAATGTCAGAAGGCTTGTGCAGAAGCATCAGATTTCGGCGAAATGAGCAAAGAATGAAGTACTGTAGGGAATGTTTTCAGAGAAAACAATGCAGAAAGTTTTTGGAATTTGATGATTACACCATCCTTTCCTTCAAACCATTTGAAAACACCTTTGAAAACCGTTCTCTTTGACTATCACTGTGTGCTTTATAACAAACAACTTCTGCAGCTGTTTTTTAAAAAAGATTCTCACTTTCGCTTTTCTATTTTAAACAACCATAAATTTGATATCTTGACCAGGGTTTAAGCGGACCTTCTGATCTTCTCAACCCCATCAAATTCAAATCCTAAAAGGTTACGGCTTTATTTTGGCATCAATGAAGCGATAAAGTCAAGTGCTTTTTTGAACATAAAATTCTCAACGATAAGCGATAATTGTTCAAAAAGCGGTTCAAAAAGGGCGCTGTCAGACTAGGGCTAAGTAAACAGAGCAGAAAGTTTGACGTGATTTATCTAGGGTAGTTAGATGGGTAGTTAGATGGGTAGTTAGATGGGTAGTTAGATGGGTAGTTAGATGGGTAGTTAGATGGGTAGTTAGATGGGTAGCTAGTTAAAAAGTTTAGCCGTTATTTAAAGCATCATTGTGCTTTAAATGGCTATATAGTCAAAGTTTCTTCTTAATTTTTTTGCCTCTTTAGTTTACCAGGTACAAACCTTCTACTTGATAAGAACAAGTTACTTAGAACAGAAACATAATGAAATATATTGATCAAGCTTTCTGTCTGAAACGATTCAGACATTTCTCTTTCTGGAAATATCCAGAGGCCATCTCACCCTCAGACAAGAAGTACAAGTCAATATGATCAAAATCATAAAATCAATGCTTGATCCCTTATCTTCTTATATATCATTTGCTCACCCACCCACTTGTGACGTCTTCCTTTCGTTTCGTTTCCTTTCATTTCATCTCATAAAATCGCGAGACTTTGAGGCAAACAACGGGTGGTTTTATGCCCTGAAACTCGGACTTCCGAGTGATTTGGTGATAAGAACAATAGGCATCAAATGACCCAATCATTCGGGTAATTAAGCTAAAGTTGATAAACATTGAGAAAGACGAAGCTAGCTGAGAAGAGGCGATCGGAAAAAACGATCAAAATAATATTCGAAAACACACCTCGACTGTAACTTTGATGCAACAAGGTAAAGTCCGTCTCAGCGGCTAAATTTTAGCACATTTGCGCGTCAGTATTTAGCTGGATTATGACAAAATCATTAAGACTGTTTTCCGAAAACAAAATTGATAATGGGGAAGAGAAATCTCTAGATCTCTAGATCTGACAGTTAGTTAAGACTTTGTTCAATCGTTTTCCATCAACTATCATGTTTAGACTTTTCTCCCACTTAATAAACAAGATAATCCAGTTATTTTAGCAAATGACCTTCCTTGTCTTCAACTTTTTTCATGTTTTCCGTTTTTTCTGCTTTTTTCAACTTCCGACCTTCAGATAAGAAATGAACTCAGGGGTGAAGAGTCAAAAAAAACTAAAGAAATGAGATATGGTGAAGATGTTAAAGGGAATGACGGTGGAAAAGGGAGCACGTGGGATAGGAAGAACATAAAAGAAAGAGGAGATTGGAGAGAAAAGGAGAGAGAAAGTGAAGGGGTAGATCAGTTGATAATCTCTCCTACGAACCCATTTTTTCAGGGAGTTGAAGGTATCTATCTTTTTCAGTTATAAACTGATCCATTTGACTCTCCCAATTGCATCTTCTCCATTACAATCTATAACTGATCTACTGAACTGATCCATTACAGTGTTAGGTGCAATTCGGTGCAATTCGGTGCACTGAAGTTTGCCTACTACTTGGCTACAGTACTACTTTTGATTTTGCTTGTCTATTTCGTTATCCAAATTTGCTTCTTGGTTATTTTGGTTTATTTTGTTTATCTTATTTTGTTTGGTTTATTTTGATTGAAGTTTATTTAGTTAAACATCTTTGATCACTTTTTTCCAAGACTCCAGAAGTGTCTGTAAACTTTTAAAACCAGCTTTCATTCAAAAAAACTTTTCATTCATTCATTTACAATTTCCTTTAACATTTTGATCTTTTATGAATCAAAAATTTCTGAATGAATTGATTCATAACACAATTATTTCTGACCAAATTTATACTCTGCATTGAAGCAGAAATATAAAAGTTTGTGATGTCTATCTTTTCGTGAAACAATTCAATCTTATAAATTCCATACAGGCAATCCCACTTTCTTTTCCTTTCATTAACCACTTTTAAAAAGCAAAGAGTCCAATCACTGATTTATTTCACTCTTTTGGTGTCTCCATTGTTTATTTTCTTTCTGTTTTCCGAAAAACATGAAAGCATGAAAGCTTTAAAATCAAAAAGTGATCAGTCTTTGAATTCATTCTAATCCTCTTATCTCTTTACCTGTCAATTCTTTAAAAGTCCCCACTGACAATCGTTGAGATCATTGTTATGGATAGTTTCTATTGTTGATACATTCTTCAGTTCTTTTTCTTGGCTTGTTTCTAAATCAGTAGCTCAAAAATCTAAATCCCTTAAATCTCAGTATCAGTCAGTGTTCCCCAGCCTCAATCAATCCATTTCAGTATCAATCAACTTCCCAGTGAGATTCCACAACTTATGTTGGAAAAGAAACTTTCGAAAGCTCTTGATGAGCTGATGGACAAGTGAGTTTAAGAATCAGAATACGAACAGAACAGAATAACCAAGTTTATGAGTTCAACTAGCTAATTTTAGGACATTATTTGATGAAATGACTGCTTTTAGAGCCACTTCAGTCAAATTTGCTCAATTTAACGATGAGAGCAGTGAAGGAAACAGTGAAGACACGAATTCGGATGATGGATCGATGGGACAAAAGATATTAGAGCTACAGAAAGTGAATCGACCACCAATGAATCAAGTTTGATAAGAGGTAGAAATTATAGTAAGCGAATTTGTAGGAGCAATTTGATCAGAAATTCGCCTATGTTCGTCCCAAATCCGAAAGCCAATTGAAGCGATCGATGAAGAAATACTTTCGACGGTAAACAGTTGAAAAAAAGTTCCTCGAACATTCGAATTTATAGTTACCAAGCCCCATTCACCTCATTGTATGCCTTCAACAAATTCTTGAAGTCGACAATCCCAATCTTGGACTGGTTACCCAATTACTCAATTCGAGAGGATCTCTTCTATGATATTGTTGGAGGAATTACACTTGGTGTCATGCACATTCCACAAGGTTTCATTGAAATGAAATACTTGATTTAACCACTTATTCAGGCATTGCTTATTCGAGTCTTGCTGGCCTTCCCCCAGTCAATGGCCTCTACACTTCTTTGTTCCCCGTTTTGGTTTACATGTTTTTTGGAACATCAAGACAGTGCTCAGTTGGTAAGTCTTGAACTTACCAACTTTATTTCGAAACCAGCGAGAATAGCCACAGCGTGAAAAACAAATGTTAATGACAAAACAGTACAAATATACTTGATTCGGCTCGGCGTCATCGAGCTGAGCCGAATCAAGTATATTTGTACTGAGCCTGAGCTGGGGCTCGGAGCCAACCCCTCGGCCTCCACAAAGCTCGCGAATTGTTCATTTCACTTTTCAAGCTGACTTTATGTTAAAGTCTTTTTAAGAATAGCTGTTTATGCAAGTTATTGTCTATCCTAATTGGCGGAAGAGAATGTGTTCCGAAGAATATGGAGACGAACATTTTAAATGCCAATTTCGAGCGCCCATAAGGTGCTAAGGTGACTGGCAGTTCCAGACCGAGCATCTACCGTAGTTTCTGTCAATTTTTTAACCTTTTCATAGCAAAAACAACTTCTTTCATTGAATAACAAAAAAAGCAAAGAGCTGTGTCTTAGTCGGGAAGTCAAGGGTTGAACCCTGCCGGCTAGATGACTGGTTCTTTTTTCCTGGCTAGCTGACCAGTTCTTTTTTCCCGTATATATTAATTTTCCTTAAATTTAGGGCTTAGAGGTTGTGCTTGTGTATTGTTTATACCACATTATTTGTGTGAATAAATGTTTTTTCTTAAAGCAAACATTCAGGCTCATTTGCTGTGGTGGCTCTGATGACTGGAGGAGCCGTAAAATCGGTTGTCGCTGATCATTCAGAGTATATCGGACACGAAGCACAAATCACCGCAATGTTATGTATGCAAGTTGGTTTGATACAGGTAAAGAATAGCTTTAAACGTTTTTTAACCGAAAATTTCTAGTTTCTCGTCGGTTTTGTTGGGCTTAGTTTCATCACCACCTACTTTTCTGATGAGGTGATTAAAATGATTATTAAAATGATTGTTCGAATCATTCTGGAGCTTGATTACAATTCGAAAAACTAGGTTGTAAGTGGATTCACCACCGGAGCGGCAATTCATGTCTTCTCTCTTCAATTAAAAGACATTTTCGGCATACACTTGAACAAAACTGATGGAATTTCCTATTTACCACAGGTAATAACTAAAACTTTTCAAAACTTGATAGATTCCATTTCCATTTTCAGATGTATGTGGAACTCTTCCGAAAGATCGGCGAAGGAGACACTAATTGGGTGACTGTTGGAATGGCTGCTTGCACAATTGTTCTTCTGTTGATCGGAAGAGAAATCCTCAATCCACTCTTGCAAAAGAAATGCAAATTGCCCGTTCCGATTCCTTTTGAAATTTTGATGGTAAGCGTATAGAAAGCACTAGAACAGAAGCACTTTAATCACTAGAAATTTTAGGTGATCTTCGGCACATTGTTCTCTGCATTGTTTCATCTCCACAGTAAACATGATGTGAAAATTGTGAATCACATCCCGAGCGAGTGAGTGGCCAAAAGAACGATAAACACAGAAACAAAAGAAGATCAAGATAAATTAAAGCAATCCGGAATTATTACCCAACCGGATCGGATCAAGACATAGAAAAACATGTTTTCATAGTCAGACTACAAGCTTTTGCATTGTATATGTAACCAAAGGCTACTGTATATATAACGTAGCAAAAAAGCAAAGGAATTGATGAGATGAGTCGGCGAGAGGAGTCGAACCAGTGACTTCTCTCTTCCGCTCGTTTGAGAGACGCGCGCGTTAACCACTCGGCCACTCGGCGTTAACCACTAGCGCAGTCTGAGCGCACTTGTCTCTACCCCATACGACTCGGGTTCGACTCCCACCCGCGTCGACACTTTTGGTTTTTTAAAAATTTAAAAACATGTTGCACAACTACATGGAATTCTAAGCCAAACTAACTATAAGTCATTTGAAATTGCCCACTGGGAGGAGTAGTGCGCACAGACAGACAGACACAGCTCTTTTACATATAATAGATTCCTTATTTTCAGCATCCCACCACCAGCCATTCCCCATTTTTCTCTTTTCGTCGACCTGGTCAAAGCTGCTATTCCAATCGCTGTTGTGAACATTGCTGTTCACATTTCTTTAGCTAAAATGTTTGCCAAGAAGTTCAACTATAAAGTGGATGCTAATCAGGTACAGAAAATAGAGCTTTAAGCTTTAAGTAGAGCTTTAAGTACTTAGAGATTTCAGGAATTTTATGCAATGGGTTTAACCGGTATCATCTCTGGTTTCTTCCCAGTTTTCCCTCCGGCTTGCTCAATGGCGAGAACAGTTGTGAATGCGAATACTGGAACGAGAACTCAAGTAAGTTCAGGAGAAAAGATTGGAATTGAAAAATAACTGAATAGTCAGATATAAAGTAAAGCGAACAGTCATCTAACTTTCCAGCTCTCTGCTCTCATTTCTTCTGCTGTCATCTTGTTTGTTATCCTGTTTGCAGGACCTTGGCTGAGAACTTTACCCATGGTTAGACTCAAATTCTCATAACAAATCTAAGATTATTTTAGTGTGTACTTGCAGCAATCATTGCTGTTGCTTTGAAATCACTGCTCGAGAAATTTGGCTCAGTGCCGGCTCTGTGGAAAGTCTCGAAGATTGATTGTGTAGGTTTAAGAGTAAGATTTATAAGTTTCTATAAGCGATATAAGTAAGATTTAAGATTTTATAATATTTAAGAGTAAGATCATCTAAAAGATCAAAACCCACAGTAGAATTTGTGATGAACATCGATTTCAGTCAATCTGGATTGTGGCTTGTGTTGCGACAATCTTCATCGATGTCACTTATGGATTGATTACAGGAATCATTTATGCTCTCTTTACAACAATCATTAGGGAACAATGGTAGGTGAAAGAAAAATGTTTAAAATTCTCTAGTTTAAACTTTAAACTACTCTTTTCAGGCCAAGATGGCACGTATTGGCCAACATTGGTGGGAATTTTGATTACAGAGATGCTGAAAGATATCGAGATGCTTTTTTCTTTAATGTAAGTCTAGTCATAGTCTAGCTGTACTTAAAATCTATTAAATTCTTTATTTTTAGGGCACATGCATTCTTCGTTTTGACTCACCTCTTCTATTCACGAATGTCAATCGATTCAAGGACACTGTCAATAAAATGGTTCAAGCTTTGGATAATCAGATCAGCACAATTGAATGTGTAAGTGTTAATGATTAAGGAAATGAAGATTCAAAGATTTGCAGGAAAGCTAATCAATTTACATTTTCAGGATGAAAAACCAATCCGGAATGTGATTGTGGATTGCTCGGGATTCGCGTTTATCGATTTGATGGGAGTCAATACTTTGAAAGATGTCAGTGCTGCAAAATAGCTAAACAAAAATATTAGAAATGAAATGAATCAGCTTTTTAAGTTCAAATGTTAAAGTTTTATGTTAAGATTTTAGGTGTTTGTGGAAATGGAAGAACGTGGAGTCAAAATGTACATTGCTGCAGCTAAAGGTCGGTTTCAAGAGACATTTCAATCTTATACTTTAGTAATCTTGATTAACTCTTTAAAAAAGCTTTAAGTACTATTACTTTTGGTATTATTTTGGTACTAAAAGTTGAAGAATCCAATTTTCTCCCAAATTTTCTTCTATTCTTAAGTTCCTCAAGTACCGGGTGAGCAAAAATTACCGCAACTTAGGCTTAGGCTTAGGCTCAGGCTTAGGCTTAGGCTTAGGCTTAGGCTTAGGCTTAGGCTTAGGCTCAGGCTTAGGCTTAGGCCTGGCTTTTAACCAAACCTGCAACCCATCTCCAAAAAGTTAACTTAAATATTTTTATTCAACATATAACAGTAACAAATTAACAATTAAATTCAAATTTGCCTCCATCGGCATTCAGCCTGCAAACGTTTGGGAAACGCGTTGACCGTGGCGAGCAAATAGGCATCATCGAGGGTATCCCATGCTTTGATCAGCGCCTTCTTCAAACTTTCGATATTTTTATGTGGTTTTGCACATGCTCTGGCTTCAAGAACACTCCAGATTGAGTAATCCAATGGGTTAAGATCGGGTGAGCTGGGTGGCCACTCAGAAAATGAGATGAAGTCCGGGAAGGTCTTTGAACAAAACTCTTGCACTTTCTTTGCCTTGTGAGCCGGCACACCAGCTTGTTGATAAGTCAAAATTCGATTTTTGTCCCAGAAATTGTGCCCAGAGTTTCATAAAGTTGAATGGTTCGAGAAACGAGGCTTCTGGGGACATTCAGGCGCTTTGAGACGATCGCGCACTTTCTTGACATTAGCCGGAGTAACCGCTGTTCATTTTGCACCTCTTCCAGGGCGATCAGAAACTGTGCCCAGAGTTTCATAACGTTGAAAGCAATGATACTAATGTACTGGTTCGACAAACGAGGCTTCTGGGGACATTCAAGCGCTTTGAGATCTCGCTCGCCTGAACACGCTGCCGCTTGAGCTCAAGGATCGATTGTCGATGTGGAGACGCTTTGATCATTCCTGAAAACAACGATACTAATGTATTGAAAGTTAGTAATCATACCATAAAATAAAAAAAATACACAAAAACCATAAAAACAGGTAAGCAAAAAGTGAAATGGGGCTCATAACGAATTCGGTAATTCTTGGTCGGTAATTCTTGGTCACCCTGTACACTGAGCACGAGTATCACATTTTTAAGCTCAGTTTTCAATAAACAATTTGACTTTTTGAATACTTCAATACCTAGAAAGTTTTTTAGCTCCATTGAGAGAAATGTTCGAGTCGGGTGATTTGTACAAATTTGTCCCGAAATCCGCCTTCTACCCGACGATTTTTGACGCGGTTGCATTTGCCACCAAGAGCTCACAAGCTGGAGGAGGCATCTATCTATCGTGAGTTACAAAAACATGCAAAACAATTATCGGCCAAATTTTCTAAGTCTTATCTTACTGCTAATTCTTTACAAATCTAAAGTCGATTCTAAACGAAGAATTTTCAGGCGAACACCCACCTACTCCTTTGTAAACGAGCTTGCTCACACTACTGATGAATAGAAGTTACATTACTCATGAATATTTGATCTATTTACATCAGTATTACTATATTCTAGTCAAAATTCTAGTTCTAATCTGTGTTTTGTGCTACTTTTAGAGAAGAATTTGTCTTGTTTTGACTCTCCTCTATTCTTGAGGAATCCACATTTATTGTGATCTCAAAAGTTGTGATCTCATAATTTTATTGCTGACTGATAAATCTTTTGATCGATGACTAATAAATCTTTTCGTTTATTATCATTTCTTGGAAAGTTCTGCTGAAAGTGTTGGCCAGGCTGAGATCCGAGCCAGCTCTTTCTTCTCGCCGAATACAATTGTTCTCCATTCGTTGCTGAAAAGGTTTGAAAAGATTCTGGGATACTTTAATGGATACTGTAATCAGGCTGGCTTCAGTATTGCAAAGATTACCTAACAGCTATAAGAAAATATAGCGGAAATAGGCAGTTGATGTCACCGACGATCGGTCCAAACTCCAACACCCAATAACGTTCATTTGAGTCTTCCGGGAGATAAGAACCGAGAAACTGAAAGAATTCACAAATGTATTCACAGGGGTTTTCAAAAATGCTAAACGTTAAACAGACACTTTCTATATTTAGTTAGAAAGTATTAAAAGCTGAGTATTGTTGGCTGTACTGTTAGCTGTACATATAAAAGAACACCTGTGAAGCCACTGCAGCTCCTTGTGTAACGAACATGATCAATGACATTGCATAGAAGCGAATCTCCGTTTTTCGAGTTTTTCTAAAGTAAAATGCCTTGTTTATCTAGAAATACTTACAAGGAAATGGTCACAACTGTGTTCTGAGATACTTTAATGGATACTGTAATGAGGCTGGCTTCAGTATTGTAAAGATTACCTAACAACTCAAAGTTTAAAATTGATTCAAGACCGGGTGCCTCTTATAGAGCCTGACATGCTGATTCTGAATCTGCCAAAATCAGCTGCGGCCTCGCATGCAAACGTGAGGAATTTGGCTTAGAAAATTCGCTGAATTTCGGACTCTTTATGACTTTATGAGCTTTATGGCTTCAAAGTTTATGGGACCGCCACAAGGAAACTTCCCAACGGCCTCTATAGTCTAGCGGATAGTGTCTATAGTCTAGCCTCTATAGTCTAGCCTCTATAGTCTAGCGGACACTATCCGCTAGACTACAGAGGCCTCATGAGTCAACGGAACTCATGAAGTTGTTTTCAGGTTGAGTCCGAATCCTTCCCTAACCAATTTTCTTGCTTTTCTTTTTCGACGCACTTGCATTAAATGTTTTATGCATCATTTTTAAAAGATTTTTATAGAACTTGCAGCTTTCAAAGTAATTAATCGAGTTCAACGTAGGCTAAGTATTTTTAAATGCAAAGACAAATTGTTTTTATGAAGTTTCATGTTCGTTTTCATGTCCGAAATTTGAGCGAATGTTCTATACCAGATTCTCGTGTTTGCACAGCTAATTTCTACAGATTCGAAATCAGCATTTCCGATTCTATATGTGGCGAATAGCCACTAAAAAGTTACCTAACTCTGGCAGCCTAAAAATTGAAGAAATATTGAGGAAATCGGTGTGCCTTCATTCTATTTCGCGCCCCAAATCATTTATTGTTTTGTAGCTTGTTAGCTGAGTATCTTGGGTTAAAGCCTATATAAGGCAACTGTTGTTCATTTGGTTCGGTTATCTTTCATTTTCTTTCTGCTTTCCTCTCATTTGTGTGAAAGTTGGGTCCTAATTAGAACGAAATTGTTTCTGTTTTTATCGTCGCTTTTAATTCAATTGTCGATCTTGTGTGAAAATTGCTCAAGTGAGAGCCTGAAGATTCCGAGTCAGTCGGCCATTGAATAAAGTGTTTTTAGTTCAAGTGAGATCAGATATCTCGAAACAAGAAATAACGTGTCTTGAGTGAAGAGTACCAAGCACGCGAACAATATTTCTTTACACTATAAGATGCACCCGGTCTCGAATCGATTCAAAACTTCGTTCGATTCTAATTCCCCTTGTTAATTCAAAGATTAATTTCACTCACTTATTCATCTTACTAAAATGCTTCCAAAGAACAATTCCAGTGATCGAATTCACCACCATCGCTAAACCACCCAATATCAAAAAGATCGCAATCAATTGTAAGCCATAAATTGACTGTAAATTGTTTCAAGTTTTGAAAGTAAAAGTTTAAAAACGTCATTTGGTCCAATCAAAATATAAGCGGCATCGGAGAATTGAATGAAGATTGGGTGATCCCACCAAATTCTCACCCAATAGAGCAATGGAATCAAGTACATTATGGCAAGAATCGGGTACTTGAGGCGATTCCACCACTAAACAAATATTAATACTGTAATATACTAAATACTGTAATAGTACCCCACCCCCGATCGTACAGTCGCGTAGTCGCAAAAGTTTTTTAGTATTTCATTTTTTTCAAAGCACCCGTACTTTCAAAAAATGTGTCTTTGGTATCAAAAAATAGCCCTGAATCTCAGCTATTTTTTGATAACTAAGCGCGCATTGTAGCATAAACCAGTGTCGAGAAAAACTCGTTCAAAGCTAGACTACGCAACATTCCGCACCGTCATTATGGGGGTGGGGTGCTATAACAGTTTACGGTAAGCAATGATAATAAAATATTCAGTGAAACTTGCCAAGTCTGCATTTGCGGGGAATAAGATGCTGGTGAGGCGATGCAATGCGACAACGAAACAAGCGAATGCTTGGCTGATTTTTGCTTGCTTATGTAGGTAATAGAGGATCCCGGGAAAGAGGCCTAAAGTTGATTGAACGGCAAACTCTCAGTACTGCTTTGGATACTCAATCTCTTCTGGCTACTGTACTCTGCTAACTAAAAATACCTTTTGTAAAATTCCCATACCAATACCAGATTCCCCACCATGATAATCGATAAGCAAACAGCTTCAACAACACCAATTCGAGATCCTGAGTTTCAGAAGATTTATTGAAATTATCTACGTGCTTTTTCTATATCAGAAACAATCACAAAATCTTTCTAATGTACTTTTCTAATGTACTAAACAATCACAAGATCTTTTCAATCCTTTTGTGCATTCTTGCAACTCAATTTCGTTTGATACTCTCATGGGATCCGTTTCTACAACTATTCTTAATCTATTCTATGAAGAAACTCCTATAATTATTAAAAGTTCTTTTCATTTTCTCAAGTGATCACATTTCCAAACTCACATTTATCAGATAAAAGAAGAAAATGAATTGAAAAGCCGATTTGAAGCCTTTATTATAATGATGCGCTGAGATCTTTGCAAAAATCCAAAAAGTTGGTATGAGAGTGATGAGAAGAGCCACAGAAGAACAGATTTCGAATGGATCGACAAAGTTCGCGATGTAGAAATCATTTGAGCTTTTTGTGCTCGATGATGGAGGGATGGTTGTACTCATCTGAAGGAGAGATAGCGAGAGATTGCAAATTGAAACTGTCGCTTGCAATACTGTAGCTGTCTAGAGTCCTTCTTGAAGTACTGTAGCTGTCTAGAGTCCTTCTTGGAGTACTGTAGCTGTCTGGATTCCTTCTTCTAGAGCCGTCTAGAGACTTGCAAATACTGTTAATGAGAATAGAAACAGAGTAATCCTGAAAGAATAACATAAAAATCTCAAAAGGATTTCAAAAGTCCGACTTTTTAGAGGCTAAAGCTGAAGAAAAGGAGAGATTTTACGGAAAACTTGAAAATAACAATAGTCAAACTACACTGAACTGTTCAAAATGCTCTCAAAGATTACTCTAAAATCAGAAAATTTTGTTGCAAAAAGTTTGACGCCCATCGCGCATAATTGTTAGTTTGAAAGTCACATTTATACATTTACTGGTAATCTTAAATGTTAATTTGATTTAGAGATAATAACGATACATAGAAAATGACAGAAAGTTCATTTTTTGAACAAAAAATCAAGAATTATAGGTCTCATGGGAGGGAAAAAAGGGAGAACTTGGAATAACTGCTTAATTTTTTTTTGAAAATCATTAAAATCTGTGTGGGTTAACGAAGTTTTTACATACATTTGTTTCCAAATTATTTTTCTAACAGTTCTGAGGGAGAATTTCTTTATGTTGCGCTTATTTGCTTGGATTTTGAATCGTTGGTGATGAAAAGCGATGACAATAGCGATGAAATAGGCAATTACCCGATAAATGATAAGTAAATCTTGAGCCATTTTAGTCATTTTAGTAAATCAAAGGAAAATAAATGTCAAAATCAAAGCAATAAAGACGGCAAAAAGATTTCTCAGCGAATTTGTGGTCTTTGAATTTCCAGGATGAACTGGATGAGTGTTCCTCTCCTCTCCGTACTTCGTGTTACCAATCTGAAAGCGTTTCTGTCCCAAAACTTTACAAAATCCAATTAAAGTCTTATTAGAGAGCTATGCCAACTCGACATCAACTCCAACAATAACAACAACAATTTCCAACAATTTCTAAAGCTAGGTTAAAAACTAGTTTTGATTATGAATGCTGATATCTCTTTGGAGTCACTGAAAGTTGTTTTCAATCATTTTTAGAAGCCTTTTAGAAGCCTTTTTAGAAGATTATTAATGTCTGTAGACAGTTTAAAATACTTAAAATGACTTTTGGCAGCTTAACAGAAACAATTGACTGATTCGAATAAGGGATAAATGGCACTATCCGCCATGCCATCGTTCGCTTATTGAAACAAAGTAATTCTCATAGTGGCACCGTTTTTCCAGGCGCCTTTGAACGCGTTCTTCTCAAAAACTGTATGCCATGGAGCAGAAATAATGTCAAAGAATGTCAAAGAATGTCTTAAAATGTCAAAAGAGCGTTTTGCAATAGATCTCAGATCTTTAATCCAGTCTCTCATATTTTTAATCTAAATTGACGTAGTTCCCTAGTTAGATTAACGGAGTTTTACTTGACAACATCATTTTATTTTAACACTCACATCTTTCAGCATAGCTGCCAACAATTTTGCTTTATCTCCATTCTGCAATTGATTCTTGTATTGATCGTTGATCAACTTGAAGTCATCAGCCGCTAAGAACATTTTCGAGTATGCAGTTTTTAGATTCACTTACAAATTCCGCTCTTTGCTTGCGATGACATGTAAACTTTTTCATCGTTTGACGAGTAGACGAAGAGAACAAATTTCTGGCATTGAACATCAATTGCCCATTTCTTGGTCAGTTCATCGGCGAAGATTTGATTTCCCTAGAATGCTTTTAAAATGACATTTATTTGGACGAATAATGTGGTACAGACAATATAAAGCACAATCCCTAAGTCCTAAATGTAGGGAAAAAACCAAACACCGTATTTTCTCTAATAGTAGTGCACCTTGAGCGTCGTCTAAATTGCTCGAAATCTCGAGAACCGCTTATCAGAACCTATCGATGTGGGGTCGGAAAATGTAGCTGACGATCAGATCTAGTGGGGGATTTGAGTGTTGAGCTTCTGCAAAATCTTGGAAACCGTAAAATAGTCATCAACTCGGCTCAGCTGGGTGCACTACTATTAGAGCGAATCCGGTATGCTACAAGACTCAGTACAAAACTAAAGAAAGTTTTACGTACAGTGCCCAACGTCTAGACGCAAGCACGGTATCCCACGACAAGTACCGCAATACCGGCTGCCATATTCTCTCAAATAGCGTATTCTCTTTAATAGTAGTGCACCCAGAGCGTCGCCTAAATTCCTCGAAATCTCGAGAACCGCTTATCAGAACCTATCGTTGTGGGGTCGGAAAATATAGCTGACAATGAGATCTAGTGGCAGATTTGAGTGTTGAGCTTCTGCGAAAGCTTCGAAACCATAAAATAGGCATCAACTCGGCTCGCCGGGGTGCACTACTATTAGAGAAAATACGGTATATCGGAAAATCAATAATCCAGCCAGCGAGATTGAACTCTTGTCCTCCCGACTAGGACTTTCCGACTAGGATACAGGGCTCTTAGCCAGTGGGCCAAGGCGGCCATTCTGTCTTTAAAAATAGTGTTTTTAATTTGATTTAGATGTTATAACAAATTTCTCACTTCATCAGTGACAGCCAATACAGCCTCGATTCCCTTTCGATCACAGAAATCCGCTTTCCCGCCACCACTCCTTGTCGCCAATGTTTGAAGTGCAGTGTTCAGCCGATATCGCTCCGATTCACTGAATATCTGCAAAAAGTGAACAGTTCATCAAAGAATCCAAATTAAAGAGCTATTCCAAAGTCTTCTTGCAATTAGTTTTCTTACAAAAAAACTTTTGTCTTGAATCCTCACCTCATTCGGATCACAAACATTACTTGTTGATCTCATATTGCATTCTTTATATCCAGCTCCTTTTGGATTTGGATAACTGTCGGCTGTGTAGAGTTGTCCAAAAGACAAAACATTGTGAAGTAATAGAAGAAAGTAAAATAAATGCAACATCTAAACTTTCATTTGTTTAAAAATCAATTACCGTATTTTCTGTAATAGTAGTGCGCACTACTATTTTTTCAACCCCCCTCCAGCCTGCACTACTATTACAGACTGCACTACTATTACAGACTGCACTACTATTACAGACTGCACTACTGTTATAGACTGCACTACTATTACAGAAAATACGGTATGTCAAAGTTGTCAAAAACTAGAAAAAGTTAGTTCATGTTTTCACAAAAATGAAGGGATTTCTTTTTTATTTCCCTGTCATCGATTCATTCAAATTTTTGGTAGAAGTAGAGTGTTTTTGAGTAACGAAATAAAGAACAATTCAATCGGAAATTGAATTGTTTTCTCCAGAAAATTCCAGAAAAGTTTCAATAAAATTTGTCAAATAAGTTTAAAAAAAATTGATCTCAACCGAGAAAATGAACAGTTTTTTGACCATCAATCCATACTCAAATTTGTTCTAATAAACAAATGAATAGAGAGAAAAGCCTCAAAAAAATATCAAAGCATAAATAAAATCAATATTTTCTGTTTTCGCTTCGTATGGCTTTGAAAAAACACACACAAAAGAGTAAAAAAGCGAAGAACAAATATGCGACGGGGAAATGGATGGGGAGTGGTTATCACACAAATAAATGAAAAAAAACAGCAAAATTTTTTCAGATTTCCCCGATTTTGCCAGCTTTTATCTGTAAATGGTTTGTGTTTTCTAAAAAGTACATTTGAGAGTAGTACAGGAGTAGTACAGGTGAAGAAAATTGACTGACTGTGCTGTGATGTGTGTTGAGAGAACTTTGCGAAAGCAAGGCTTTTAACTCAAATCGTTATATCGAGTTACAATAAGTCGTTTATCAACAAATGGCTTATTGTAACAACAACAACAACAACAAAAACGAACATAAGAAAACGTCAAATTCCCTCAAATTTTGCGAAAAAAGTCTGTAATGTGGACTTATTTTTAACCAAAGATTCCTCATAAAAGTTATCAACAAGGCAGCAAAAACTTTTGAATAGCTCTTTTTTAGTTTTGGAACTTTTGAAAACATTGATAAAGTTTTGCAACGGTCCAGAAGATGTGACTTGCTTTTGTTGTTTCCATTCAACTCCGCAAACCATCTTACAGTTAGTTTTGGCCTTCATTGTGGTCCAACTACGAAAAGTTCCGGATTCTCCCAAATGGAAATAAATTTCTTTCTCATTTCAACACAAAACCTATCGCGTAAAACAATACTTTCAATTAATCTGACAAGAACAAATGATTTGAAAACAAAAAAGAATTGACGACGCGGCGCTCCCATCGACTACCTCCAAATGACGGCGACGTCAATTGGAATGCGTCGTCAATTGGAATGCGACGTCGCGCGAAAATTAACATTTAACGACTGTCGACTTTAAATTTTTTCAGTAAGTACTGTTCTTCTTGATCTTCAACTTCTTCAACTTTTAAAAAAGCTGTATTACTAAAAAACAACGTTGAGGCCAAACGCAACTAATATTGCAGCACAATTCGCTCTCCTTATTTTAATGTGAGCTCCTTATTCCGTTAGTTGAGCTAAATCTTGAGATAGAAAAGAAGAAACTACTCTAAAATCATTTTTCAGAGTCTGACTGATCCCATTCACAAAACGTTGATCCAGGCCATACCATTGATTCGACAGTTTCATAACAGTAGCCAGCATTCTACTAGTTTCAAACTTTTCCATCTTGCAACGAAGTGTCGCCATTTTTTCGTTACCTCTTTGCTTCAAAATAATTTGTCTAGATAAAGAAAAAGTTAACCTATCCAACAAACGGCAGATTTGAACGCATTTTCTCCAAAAGAACCCAAATTCGAACAGTGTCCTTGAAAATCCCCGGTGGTCTCGTTTTTTTTAAACCTTTTACACTAATTGACACAAACGTTGAAATCTTTTTTGTTCTGTGTCTCTTTTTGACTATGTGCTAAGGAATTTAACCCTTTTTTGAATGTTCGACTGATTCTTTTTGATTATTGCGGGAAATTGTTGGGAACGTTCGAGATGGGGGCCAGGTCGGCGCCGATCAAATCAATCACCCCTCGTTCCGGTCATTTTAAATTTGGGAAGGAAATGAAAAAGAAATGATTGATGCTTACTAGATATTTTTGCAAAATAAGTCTTGAACTAGACAGCTAAAAAGTATTGATTCGGCTGTGTGCAAGTTGAGTAAAGATTCTGTTTTTTGGTGAAGCTTTTAGAATGTTCAAATTATATGATTGACAATGTCTGTTGCTTGATTTTAGATTTTAGTTTGATCAGTTACTAGGGAAGGATGTCTACACTTACAAATAAAAACCTAAACCATATGCAAATGATTTGAATTTTATATAACTATTGGGTTGGTGCATTGAAAACTGCGGGCTATTGTCATATGTGACAGTTTGAGCACTTTCTTCAAAAGAAACCCATTTTGGTGTCAATGGAAAGGTTGTAGAGAATAAAAAATGAAGCTTATATCCAAATTTTCAGAACGATTCAAAAACTGGTTTTCAAGAAATGCCAAATTTACCAATTTTCACAAAACTTGCAACAAAACTTGCATTTTAGGCGAAACTACTAAGTGTATCTTTTTGGAAATTTGGCTATAAGCCTAATTTTTGATTCTCTACAACTTTTCTATTGACACCAAAATGGGTTTCTTTTAAAGAAAGTGCTCAAACTGGGACATCTCCAGTCCTCCATTTTTGAGTCTCACACTTGTCTCACACACAAACCAAAATCCTACTACGAAAGAGGAATCCGCAAATTGCCTGTAAAATGGGCAGAAGTCGTCAATAATAATGGAAATTATTTGGAATGAATTTATGGTTTTATGTTGAATAAATTTTAGTTCAAAGTCCCGCATTTTTCAATTCACCAACCCAATATTTGTTTCTTGGCTGCGTTTTGATAAGAAATTCCATATAAGAAACACATTTCCCGTTGAAAAAATAGATATTGGTTATAAAAGTTTAAAAATCTTGTCGAGCAGGGAATCAAACTCGGACCGACGAGGGAATCGAACCGTAACCGCGAGTACTACCTCAACCACAGGGACACACCTCGAGGCCAAGAGAGGAAGCCTTACAAAGAGATTACAAAGAGAAGCCTTTACAACTTTAAAGCCAAATTCCTTGCGTTTACAAGCTATTTAGAAAAAACTAAGAGAAAAGCTTCGGAAAGCCCGTAAAAAAACTGAACAAGCTAGGGTAAATAGATTTTAAAATTCCACTTTTAAATCTCTAGTTAGCAGTTTTATTTATTGTGGAACTATGGTTGATGGGGGCTCTTTTCGGGAGAATTTTTAGAAACGAAACGAACAATCGTACCAAGACAGACAACTTTTCCGAACAATGTATTCAGATTTACTCAAATTAGTTTAAATCCCACAAACTAGAGCTGATTTATCAGCGCCAAAAATCGAATCGCTTGCTGATCAGCTTGAGATTTCTTGCTAGAGGATTGGCGGAACACCGATCCGGCTAAAAACTCCCTAAAAAGGTCAAATCGCAAATTAGAGCAGTTCTCTTTTCTCTTTTGCTTTTCAATCTTGAATCTTTATCAAATCGACACGAGAACACTTGTCCTTTTTGGGGGAAAAGAGAAAAAAAAAGAAAAGTGACATATGGTCTGAAATTTGGCGTTCCCATTGGGGGAAAAAACGGGCCGGAATGATGAACTTTAGTGATTTGGGCGGTACCAAAAATAAAAAAAAGATGTTCAGTCCGAAAGAATCCCGAGAACTTAAATTGATGACCTGAGCGGATGAAGGGGAGACTATTTTTCATTTCAGCGTTGATTTATCCGAGCTGGGATAATAGATGTTGAATCAAAGGCTTTTTGACTAAGATCTATGCGTTTTGACTGATTAAGGCAATCTAATTCGATTGTTCAATCAACTTGTTGATCAACTTTAGCTCTTCGTGTTCTTTAGCTCTTCGAGATCACCCCTAGTTTTGTGTATTTTGTGTATTTCCTTATTGAATTGACTTGTCTTTTCGTTTTATTTTGCTTTATATGAATTAGAGGAAAATTTCAACTAATTTATATGAATTAGTTTTAAATTTAACTCTAAATCAAAGCCAGAAGACAGCCAGCTTTAGGCAAGATGCAATTTGTGCTGGTTTGCCTACTTGGATTCGTCTCTCTTGTCGCCGCTTCGCCTATTTCCGGAAGAACAACAAGGGATATTGACGAGGGTGGAGTGCCAATTCATGTAAGAGGAATGATAAGAATGTATTAAGATTAAGAATCAACTAATTAACCTAGGTTGACAATCGATCTGGCGAGAAAGTTGATATTGTGAAGAATGGAGATGGAGTCACTGTAAAGATTGGAGACGATCCAAACCCGACCACCGGAACATTCCAAACTCCGTGGGGACCGGTAAGCAGAATTGTGGATCAGATGCTGAAGTTAAAAAGCTTAGAATTTGCTTTATAACTTTTGTTTAACGATTTTTACTTATGATTCCCAAATTTCAACCTTGAATTCAAGTTTGATCAGTAGAAAAATCGCATAGGAAACCTGAGTACTTAAACCAGCCCTTAAACCTGAGCTCTTAAACCAGCACTTAAACCAAAAGCGAAAAAGACAAAAAAGACTATAAAAGACAAAAAAAGGGTTTCAAATTAGTCACAAAATTCTCTCTCAAATGAGATAAACGAGTTTTCGAAATGTTGCTGAATCCAAGCCAATTGAAAACCCATAAAGTGAGCAATAAGATGAATGGAGACTCACCTTTACTAGTGGAATAGGTTTAAGAACTAAAGGTCTTTACAAAAGGTTAAAGGTTTATTGCATTGTACGACAAATTCTAGGTCACTTTGATCACAAGTGGAAAGACAACTCTGAACGTGAACTTCACTCCTAAACACATGAATATTGTCGTTGGATTGGCCCCTGAGGAATGGACTGGAGAGATGGAATAAAATAAAGCTAACAAAAATACTTTATTGTTTTGATTTTATTGATGTTTCCTTATCTTTCCTTCACTAACTTATCTTTCAGATGTGGTTCCGAGCTTTGAAATTTGATTCCGAACAAATTTAATAAAAAAATTTGAAATTTAAGTTTGAAGTTTGAAGTATCACTTTCAAATTTTATTTCATAACTTTCCATCAAGAATTAGGTATAACATCCAATATTTGTGATCACAGCCGAGGCTCCATCCATTGAAAACACCCATTGACTGTCTTGATCACAAACAAGAGAAATCTTCACTTCACCCGCATTTTTTAGAATTCCCAAAACTTCTTTGTTAAACTAAATTGAATGGCTGAAGTTTTTGGAAAGAATTTTATTGATCTGAACAGCATTTATCGACACTTACTGATACTTCGGGTTCTGTTCCGAGCTCTCCTTCTGAGCAGATCATTGAACGCACAAGACATCCAGAAGGATTGATTCTGAAAGATTGCAAATGAATTGTACAAATTGTTTACCGTATTCTCTCTAATAGTAGTGCGCACTACTATATTTTGAACCCCCTCGGCCAATACATTAGGAGTGCACACCAAAAGGTGCACCTCTAAGGATACGGTATTAGTTTTAATTTCTCACTCACGAGAAAACATCAGTGGAAAAAGAACTAGACGGCATTCCACTTGGACTTTCAAGATCGAGTATTGGGGTTTTTCGGGAGCACATTGTACATCCTGAAGTCGGGAGAGTGTTCTCTGAATTTGTAACTTTTTAGACTATTCAAATCTATTGTCTGTTAAAAGCATTCACTTATCAATCTATTAATTTGTACTAGGACTGTACTAGGACAATTTGTACTAGGGACTAGGAATTAGTTTAGATGTTGCAAGTGTTTCCTACTGGCACATCTTCTTATCAATTGACTGAAAAATCAGAATTAATACATGATTTAGTACTATCCGGTGTGCATCCATATACTTTAACAACTATCTAGGTTAAACCTATAACATTGTTTATCTACTTTCTGTGCACCTTGTTCTGAAATTATAACCTAAACATATCTGATACTTAAACTACTCCACACTTCTCAAAAGTTCTGGATAGGATATCCAAAGCCTGGGATATATAACCGGATAGTACTCAAGATTTCAAGAAATATTGTTCTAAAGAGTAAAAGAAATGAGCTCTCGCATTTTGACTCTGTACTAGACATGCCGATTCTTCACCGATTGCTCTGAAATTTTGTTTACAAATAGAAATTGGCAATCTCTGCTTCTAGACAAAATTTCAGAGCAATCGCTCAAGAGATGGCTGAGGAAACGAAGGTGGAATTAGGCTCGGGTTGAAATTTTTCCATTTCTACTGTGTACCTGTAAAAAGAAGTACTGGATCTGGTGTTAGCGCGGGGTTTGGCGACGGTGCTGGCATCAGTGTTGTTGTCTCTACCGGTGGCAACGGTACAGGCATTGTCGGAACACAAGAAAACACAAGTTTCACTCCAAAAACAAGAAAAAAGATCATAAACAACATCCTGGTATTTCTAGAAATATTCCAGAATAGAATTCAAACTGAAATTGTGTATGGGCTGAGCGGTCACTTCGTTGTTTCCCCCACCGCTCGGGTCAAATGTGGGCCCCGAAAAGGAAAGTACTTGAAACTCTTTGTTCACTTTTTTTGTATGGAATTCCATTTTAGTTTTCAATCCAAATATTGCTTTGAGAGAAAGGAAATAAGGAAATAAAAGAAATGATGCGATAACTTCAGAGTTAAAGTTGATGACGCTAAAAATGAAACTGTTTAACTATTCATTGTCATGTCATGTTTAACTATTGGGTTGTCCAGTTATGAATGCGCGTTTTTTACTATTTTGTAAATTTCTCAAGATACCGAAATCAAGAAAAAGATATATATGAGTATTATTCGAAAGCTGAAGATCTCCTCTACATTTTGATATAAAAAGTTTTTGAATTTGTTCAGCTTTTGGGCAAATTGACTGCACAGAAGAAGAGGTGGTCAAAAAAATGGACGGTGCCTTTGGATCCAGTTTTGGCTCCTTTCAAATTGAGTTAACCGTTTGATATTTGGCCAATAGATATATCAATACAACTTTTTAAAAATATAACAATTTCAGAGCATCTTTACTTTTCTTTTCTTTTCTGGGCGCTTGCACCATAAAACTTGAGGAATAGCTAAGCTGAAATGAGTTTTTTTCGGAAACGACCTCTCCCTTTGTGCAGTCAATTTCCCAAAAAGTTGAATGAATTCAAAAACTTTTTTATTCCAAAATGTAGAGGAGATCTTCAGCTTTCGAATGATATATAACACTCATATACATCTGTTCGATATCTTGAGAAATTTACAAAATAGTACAAACGCGCATTCATAACTGGACGACCCAATAGTTCAATAGTTAATTGAGAGAAATGATCATGACCTTAACTTGCATAAGTTAAAAGAAAAACTCGGCAATTAATACTAAACACAAAACGAAAAGATTCAAATGTGTTACTCCTAGCTTAGGAGTTGTTGTTGGTGTACTCGGGCAACCCGCTGGTTGATTTGCTGCAAGAAGTACAAAAGACCACAATTGAACAGCATCTGATTCCATTGCTTTTGAACTCAATTCCGATGGAGTTTTGATGACAAACTTGCTGCTATCATTGTCATAATCCCATGACCAAGTTTCTTCTGTTCCAGCAAGGGGATTTTGTGTGATCACTGTCCATAAATTGCATTGAGCAAGTTTTAGAGAAGAGACAACTGATTGATCGTTGCACCAGTCGGGTTTCGTGTCCAGAGAGCACAAGTTTAGTTGTCGATCAATTCCCATTAAAAGCATTGATTGTTGGAAAGCCCAGACGCATGATCCATGATAAGCTTTGCGTGAAAAAGTGTCCCAATTTGTTTGATTGTCATAATCGTAAGCGGGATTGGCGATTAGGAGACCGACACCGTCCATCATTAGGCCTGGAAGAAAGATACTAGATTGAAACTCAATAGTGAAGCTTAAATCCTTACAAACCTCTTGGAAATGGCTTCATTGCATCGAGAACATATCTCATATAATCCGTCGTCAAAGCATTATGATACATCAAATTAAATGAAATATCTGAGTGCATCACGACAACGGGACTTCCATCAGCTTTCAATGAAAGAGCATGAATAGTCGCTGGTACATCATCAACAACAGAATACAATGTGGAAGGTAAAGAAAGTTTCTCCAAATACTTCGCCAGGGAATCTTTTGGTTGTTTTGGTTTCACAAAGAAAAATTGGAGAGCTTTGTCTTCCCAAACTTTTCGATAATTAGAAGCTGTGGTTTCCAGGTCTGCGGAAAGAATTTTAGCATTGGATAGTCTTTCAATAGCCAACAAACAGCTAGGTACCATTGCCACATTGATATCGTACGGAAAGCGGCCATAACCAAGACCAGCTGAATTTAACTTGATTACCGTATTCTCTCTAATAGAGGTGCACCCTTTAATAGTAGTGCACTCTCTAACAGGAGGGGGTTCAAAAAATAGTAGTGCACAATACTATTAGAGAGAATACGGTAAAGGAGTTTTAGATCTTGAAGGCTAGATCTAATCTACAGGGTGACCAAGAATTACCGCAACAACGTCGTATTATACTATGAGCCCCATTTCACTTTTTGCTTACCTGTTTTTATGGTTTTTGTGTATTTTTCTTATTTTATGGCATGATTACTAACTTTCAATACATTAGTATCGTTGTTTTCAGGAATGGTCAAAGCGTCTCCACATCGACAATCGATCCTTGAGCTCAAGCGACGAGCGAGCGAGATCTCAAAGCGCTTGAATATCCCCAGAAACCTAGTTTCTCGAACCAGTACATTAGTATCGTTGTTTTCAACGTTATGAAACTCTGGGCACAGTTTCTGATCGCCCTGGAAGAGGTGCAAAACGAAGAGCGGTTACTCCGGCTAATGTCAAGAAAGTGCGCGATTAAGATTGTTGGCGTAGAAAATTCGCTGAATTTCGGACTCTTTATGACTTTATGACGGGCTTCAAAGTTCAAACTTCACAAGGAGGAGTAATTTTGAAAGATACTGAAGGTCCGGAAGAGGAGGAAAATGTTGAGAAAAAGAAAAGATACAAAGTATGTGCAAAATCAGCAAGACTACAAGAAAGCTATTGTATTGAAGAATTAGTCCCGTCAAAGCACACAATGATTCCATTACCAGCACACAATGATTCAAACTTCAAAGTTCAAAGTCTAAGATTAAACCCTAACCAATCGGCTCGAGGAGTGACACAGAAAATGGGTCTGAAGAGAAGTTGATTGATTGTTACTGTTATATGTTGAATAGAGATATTTAAGTTAACTTTTTGAGATAGGTTGCATATTTGGTTAAAAGCCAGGCCTTTTGTGTGTTGCGGTAATTCTTGGTCACCCTGTAGATCTAGACATTATATACTATCTAGATCTAATCTATAATAAACATCTAAATATCTAATAGGTTTTAGTAGTTTCTTTAGCCATTCAGTCCAAAGCTAAACTCACTATCTGAGTCTCTCCAATTGCCAACAGGTTGATCTTGTTTGATTTGAACGAGATTCGCAAACGTGCTCGGATCATCAGCAAACTTTTTCGCATGTCCTAGCACAAGATTCACATTTTTCTCTAACAACATTTGATAAGTTTGAGATCCTTTTTGATTAGCAAGGAAAGCTGTAGCTCGATCTTTTCCAGTTGTCTCATCCAAGAAATACGAAGCCAATAAAGGTAAAAGCTGAAAATTCGTGTCCATCATCTTATAATCATAAAAAGGAGTTGATCCTAATTGCGGTTGTTTATTTTGTTGATTGATATAAGTGGCATAGTCTCCAATTGTTTCCTCGTGACAGAGCTCTCCATTTTCGGAATTCATTCGATCTGAAAACTGAGAAATAAGTGATGAAATGGAAAGGATAAAAATTGAAACTTATAATCTATGTTGCTCTAAAGAGCCTGGAGAGGAGAGCCATAAAGTAGAACAAACCAAAGACAGCTCCCATTGCAGCCTCAGTCGCTTCAGAGGAAAGAATCGGCAATAAAAGTCTCGTCGAGATGAGTGAATCTCGTCCAAAATATGTTAGAAAATGCCACCCACCAGCGAGAAATTTGTCTTTATATGTGAGAAAAGCCAAAGTTTTTGCATTGATATTAGTAAGTAAATCCTTTCTTTCCGATCGAATCAGTTTATCAACAGGCAATGGATTCAATGAAGCGATGTTAAAAGTGATCTCAAAATCGAAAGTACCTGCTGGTAAATCAGTTCTTCCTGTAGGGCTATCAAACAAAGGAAATTTATCGGTATTTGTTGTTGAAAGAGTGAAATTCATTGATGTTTCTTTATCCAAAAATATATAGTTAAAAGAAATCGAGTTCGGCGTTTGTTGAAAGCCAGTGGGAACCATTTCATCGTGTTTCACACCGGCTTCACTGAAATCCCGAAGTGTTCTCACAGAGCCCATGACTGGCATCATAATATAGGAGTCTTGATCCAAAGTGAATTGCCCAATCAAACCAGTGAAATTGTTATCTTTTGCAATAGATTTCAATGATCCATCAACAAGTTGAATGACTGGATTTAATGGATTTCCGTTGGGTTTTGTTAAATTGAACATAGCAAGAGCTCCGGAGTTGCCAGCTGGAAAAGCGACAAGAAATCTCGTTTGAATTGTCGCTGAATTTGGATTCGCTTTGCTTATTACCACTTGTGCTGCAGTTTTGTCATCTCGAAAAAGAAAATTATCGTAGTCAGCTGGGGATAATTTCAGAAGATCATCAGCAAAGGATAAGGAGACAAAAAAGAATAAATAGATCAGTCGCATACCCTAAAATTATGGGGATTAGATTAAAGACGAGATTTAAGTGTTTAAAGAGTTTTGATCTTTGTTTAAAGTCTAAATCTTTGTTTAAGGTTTAAATCTTTGTCTTAAAAAAGCTTCCATTAAAAACTAATGATTGAAAGAAACGGGAATCAATGAACCAAAATGGGAAAATTCTTTCTTGATAAGCAGAGATTTAATGAGTGAATCGAGTGGTCTTTGAGATCGGAGATTAAAAAAAATCAAGGAAAATGAAAAGAAAAATTATCTAGACAAGGTCATAAAAATCTAGACAAGGTCATAAAAATCCAATAACTTTAATGAGTAAGTTCAAAATTCTTTCAATAGTTTGACAATGTTAATATTGGGTTGTCCAGTTATGAATGCGCGTTTTTACTATTTTGTAAATTTCTCATGATATCGAACAGATGTATATGGATGTTATATATCATTGTTATATAAAACTTGCTCAATGCAATTTATGGACAGTGATCACACAAAATCCCCTTGCTGGAACAGAAGAAACTTGGTCATGGGATTATGACAATGATAGCAGCAAGTTTGTCATCAAAACTCCATCGGAATTGAGTTCAAAAGCAATGGAATCAGATGCTGTTCAATTGTGGTCTTTTGTACTTCTTGCAGCAAATCAACCAGCGGGTTGCCCGAGTACACCAACAACAACTCCTAAGCTAGGAGTAACACATTTGAATCTTTTCGTTTTGTGTTTAGTATTAATTGCCGAGTTTTTCTTTTAACTTATGCAAGTTAAGGTCATGATCATTTCTCTCAATTAACTATTGAACTATTGGGTCGTCCAGTTATGAATTCGCGTTTTTACTATTTTGTAAATTTCTCAAGATATCGAACAGATGTATATGAGTGTTATATATCATTCGAAATTGCTTGCTATGCCCTTTGGACCGAGTCGTTGTCCCATTGTTACAATTCCGAATAAAGCTTAATTGAATCCAAAGGGAAGTCACAAAAAGCCATGGTGTCATTCTCATTGTGAAAAAACAAGTAAACGTACCCAAAAGCAGATATTTTAAAGCTTTTTCTTCTTTAATAAGCTTCTGCTGAATAGATTTAAATTTAAATCCTAGATGACGAAAGAAAAGTGCTCTTTTTTGAACATTGAAGTTCGGAATGAGGTTCAATTCAATGAAAAACTTGCATATTTCATCTTTTTGTCTCAAAACGGAATACTGTTTCTGAAATTATTGGAGCTGAGAAACTCTTGAGAGTTTCGTTCGCTAACTATAAGTTTATCTTTGTTCGTTAGTTTTGTTAGTTCTGTTTAGTTTTGTTCTTTGAATGCCTACCAAAGATTTATTGCTGAAATCAAGCAACCTCATTCCGAACTTCAATCTCAATCTTTGGTCTTCTCCTCGTCTCTCTTAATTGATCCTTTTCATTCGATCTGTCTCGCTTAACCGCTTAAAGCAATTTTCCAAACAATTTCTATTCAAAGTGAACCTGATAGCATCGGGAATGATTTCTGCATGATAACTGATGACCGTTCCAACCTTTTGGGAAATGAATGTGTGCCTCTAAAGTTTAAAACTTCAAAATGCAACTCGTATTCTTGATTTACCTTGATAGTGAGCAAAGTTCATCACAGAATCTTCCAAAATCTATTGCACTCAAAATAGAAAAGATAAAAATCTTTATTTTCGATTAAAGGAGTAGTTGCTTTTTATTCGCTTTTTATTTGATTTTCGTATTTTTATTTTTGATTCTAGAAGTAGAAATATGACAAAAAGGATGGTCTGAATTGTGATTGTGTTTATTGAGATCAAAAAGTAAACTTTTATTTGTCAAAAGTTGAATAAGAATTGCACTCAAAACGGGAAATATCAATAAAAGATAAAAGACCGATTTGAGCAAAGATTTCACAAATCTATTAGAAAGATTTGTATTACAGGAGAATAAATTTATATTAGATTTATTGAGCTCGTGTAAGGGAAAACATTCTTTAAAACCAGTCTTAGAGTCGGAATGGAATCAAGGAATTTCGAGGAAGACTTTGCAAATAAACAAAACATTCGAGTTATCCAGTGAAACATCCAATAGTGTTAATGACAGCCGTTGCCCCATTTCCCGTGTGTGTCCATTGTCCTTGTGCGTTACAGATTAGTTGAGTCGAGATCTGATCCGTTCCTGTGTCCACTCCATTCGCATCCGCATTGTACTAAACCATTTTTCTTGTACAGTCTCTTGTACATTTCTTTCTTGTTTACAGTACGACTTTCATTCATCAGTAGGAAAATTAAAGAAAGAACCAAAATTCCTTACTGAAATGACAGTCTGAAATCCGGGATTAATCGATGTACATGTGAGCGTTCGGATTAAACAACCAGCAGCCGTTCTTCTGAAAAATGTCATTGAGATTATAAATGATATTGTAAATAATATTGTAAATAATATTGTAAATAATATTGTGAATAATATCGTAATTTTACAATCAAATTTACCCAGTGATTGTATCTGATGAAAAAGGTGTAGCTCCATCAGCAGCTCCTTGAATTACCGGAATAGCCATTGAACACATTGCACAAGGACCTGGAAAATTGTGAAGTGAAAGCTTTAGAGCTTAGTCCGTTTGATATATTCAAGCCCCATTCACTCACCACCAGGAGTCGGTGTCGGAGTTGTTCTAATACAAGCGTCTGTCAGCTGTTGGATACTCAATAAAAAGACGCATAACGATAACGTTTTCTGCATTCTCACTAAAAGATACTTTCTCACGTGGTTACCATAAACAATTTTATTCTAGAAAGATAAATAATCCGGAATGATAAAGGAATGATTAAAGAATTTAAGATTAAAACCTGGTAGTCTTTTCTCACTTTTATAATGCAGCTTTATTTTAAGAAGTTACGGTAATCAGCTTCTGGGATTATTTTGGAAAAACAAGATCATCTGGGAACGAGTGTTATCGAATGACCCCAAAAGTATCTATAATAAGTAGCATGGTGGGAAAAATTGAAATGCAAATCGAATCGAGCCGATGAGAAAGTTTTCTTGATACATAATACTGTAAAAATAAGTGAGAACGAAGATTACTAGACGTCTTTCCAAAAAGTATTCAACTAAAGTCTCTACTCATAGTACAGGCTTAGGCTTAGGCTCAGGCTTAGGCTCAGGCTTAAGCTCAGGTTTAGGCTTAGGCTCAGGCTCAGGCTTAAGCTTAGGCTTAGGCTTAGGCTCAGGCTTAGGCTTAAGCTTAGGCTTAGGCTTAGGCTCAGGCTTAGGCTCAGGCTGAGGCTTAGGCTTAGGCTCAGACTTATTCGAATAAAGTTTCTACCCATAGAATACTCATTTATAGGTGAAAAAAAACTGTAAATAAACATCATTCAGCAGATCTTAATATGGTAACAATCAAGTATTTAGATAGAATAGAAAATTAAGTGGATCAGAGTTCGCAAAGTTTAGAGTACTTACTGTTAAATTGGTTTGACACGCTCGAAGAATTCTTAGAAAACGTGACAAAACTCTAAATGTAAATCAATCTCTCATGGAAAGTCTTTTGCACCGTTTAATGGCACCGCACTCGCTAATTTATGCAACTTTCGCTTCTATCATTGTTGATCAAAGAATTTCAATGCTCAAAAAGCAAAGGAACCAAAGAAACAAATGCAAAGAAAATAAAGAGTGAAGTCTTAGGCTTAAAAATACGGAAATAAATGTACCACGGGTCAATCCTGATCAGAAGCCAGTCCTGGTCTGATATTTGGTCATTACTTGGTCTGGACAAGCTTGAGCCGGTTTCACTGAAAGCTTGGCCTGCAAAAAGTCTCTGAATCCACCACAAGATAGGGCTAGAGCTGGCTTGAACTCTGGCCTTGCCTTGTCTGACCTGGCTTACAGACTTACAGGAATTTCTTGCTTGAGATAATAAGGATAAACTATAAATATGTAGAAAATGTTATGTTATTGTTATAGAAATTGTTTTGTAACAAGCACAACAATGATTACTTACAAAGGGGAAATTTAAACAATACAGAAACAAATACAAAAATTAAATCATTTAATAAATGTAGTTGAATCTTGAGATGACAAAAGAGATAGGCTGAATAGCTGAGACGAATCCGAATAAAAGGGGAAAAATTCACTTTCATTTGCCTTCATTGCCATTTACACCACTCATTGAGAGGAGAAAAAAAGAGGAAAAAAGACAGAGATCCGATCGACGAGTCGACACTAATTTCGATCTCTTAACGAATAGGATCTTGTCTTGTCAACTAGCTATTGGCACGTTGAGCATTCTCTTGGTATACTTTGATTGCAAGAATTGAGTACAAGAATTGAGTAAAAGAATAAGTTTAAAATTGCCATAGTGACTGTGCAGATTCCTTATCTTCATAACGTTATATTAAGCTGTTCAGAAAGTCTTTTCATTCCTTTTCGTTAGATTAAATAAATCTTTTATTTTTCAATAAAAGGACAGCTTTATACACTGTTTTTGCGTGAATTGAGCTTACAAAGAAAAATTTCATTTGGTACAACAAGAGTTGAATGAAATTACACTCTAAATGACAAGTACTAAACCATCAAACATTCAGTGGTAATTCAAACAAAACTTCTACAAAATATGCATTAGAAATTGAGCTCAGTGTTTAATGAATCATGATACTCAATGAGTATCATGAAAATGACTGAAAGCTGTAATGGTTTCTTAATTTGGTAATTTTTTGTTTCTTTAAATTATCCAGTGAAACATCCAATAGTGTTAATGACAGCCGTTGCCCCATTTCCCGTGTGTGTCCATTGTCCTTGTCCATTACAGACTAGTTCAGTCGAGATCTGATCCGTTCCTGTGTCCACTCCATTCGCATCCTCATTGTACTAAATAATTTTGTTTCTGTTTTTGGTTCTTATGAGTTATACATTCATAGCGACTGAAATATGTTACGTCCGATTTTGAAATTATTCAAATCGGATCTGATTTTAAAATCATTCAAATTGGATCTGATTTTGAAACTATTCAAATCCGATCTGACTTTGAAATTATTCAAAGCAGATCCGACTTTGAAACCATTTAAATCCGACGTCCGATTTTAAAACCTTTATAACAGAATAATGTTTTTACATTAGAATCACTTCTGTAACAAGTTATAATTTTTCCAAAAATTCCGTCAAAAATGAAAAAAATGCATTTCTTTTGTAATGTTTTTGATAAGCTATTGTTTGAAATTTGTTTAGTGTATTTATTCGACACGAATAATGAATTACAACACAACGGAGGAAATTTTGATCCCTAATTACCCCTATCACTCAAATGTTGTTAAGAAAAAAGCTCATAATAATGGGAAAAAGAAGCAATCTTTCTAGCCGCCAGGATCGAAAGATTTGTATTACAGGAAATTGAGGTCGTGTAAGTGATTTTTTTAAAACCAGTCTTAGAGTCAGAATGGAATCAAGGAATTTCGAGGAAGACTTTGCAAATAAACAAAACATTTGAATTATCCAGTGAAACATCCAATAGTGTTAATGACAGCCGTTGCCCCATTTCCCGCGTGGGTCCATTGTCCTTGTGCGTTACAGATTAGTTGAGTCGAGATCTGATCCGTTCCTGTGTCCACTCCATTCGCATCATTATTGTACTAAATAATTTTTCTTGTACTGTTTACAGTATACTGTCGTACTGCAGTACGACTTTCATTCATCAGTAGAACCAAAATTCCTTACCGAAATGACGGTCTGAAATCCGGGATTAATCGATGTGCATGTGAGTGTTCGGATTAAACAACCAGCACCCGTTGTTCTGAAAAATGTGAATGAGATTATAAATGATATTGTAAATAATATTGTAAATGATATTGTAAATGATATCGTAATTTTACAATCAAACTTACCCAGTGATTGTATCTGCTGCAAAAGGTGTAGCTCCATCAGCAGCCCCTTGAATTACCGGAATGGCCATTGAACACATTGCACAAGCACCTGGAAAATTATGAAGTGAAAGTTTTAGAGCTTAGTCCGTTTGATATATTCGAGCCCCATTCACTCACCACCAGGAGTCGGTGTCGGAGTTGTTCTAATACAAGCGTCTGTCAGCTGTTGGATACTCAATAAAAAGACGCATAACGATAACGTTTTCTGCATTCTCACTAAAATGAGCTTTCATAAGCTTTGCTGGAATCAATTCAAATCTACATGAAAAGAGAAAAATGATCTGAAATATTTAAGACTTCAAAGATCAAGGATGTTCTTCTGTTTTGTCATGTTTTGTCAAATCTTGATTGTTCTTTTCAATCATTCATTTTTACATCATAAAGTCTTTACTTTCAGTCAAAGCTTTGTCAAAGAAAGTCAAAGCTGTTTGATCGACTCATCCACTCAATTTCGATTCCATTAAAGACAAGTGAATGAAAAAGAAGAGAAAGCATAAAAATCCAATAGAAAGAACACGTATCCCTCATTTGGCAGCACTCACAAAAGAGATCTCAAGAGATTTTCTCTTCAATGCACTGTCTTTTTCATTCTTTTCTTGTCTCGAATGCCCGCTCTTCACTTTGTGTGTTCAAGAATCGAATCAAGATGGAGAAGAAGCTCAATTGACCTTGGTTTTGCAAAGATTCAAATCATAAGATGAATTTTTGAGTTTCGGTGAGAAGTTATTGGATCGCGCAACGTTTGAAAACTGGAACTGAAAGCTTTGAGAACAAAGTTTACAGTAAAACTAGCATTGTGCAGAAATCTATAGAGTGGATTTTTGATATTTCTTTCAATTCATAATCTCTAGCTTTTATTGTGTTTTATGTGTCTAAATCTCTTTAATTTTCTCTGGAAGATCTCTTTGTGTAGATAAATCAGTTTCGAGTCTAGATTCATTTCTATCGAGTCTATATTCTATATTCTACCACTGAACTACCAGCAACGGAAAATCCAACAAATATGTAATTATTCTTATTTTCCACAAGCATCAAGTTAAGCTTTCTAAATTGTGCCAATATCTTGTCTAAATCTGCTAAAGCTACCGTAATCTTGCTTCTACTTAATTCAAGCATTCAAAAGTCACATGCAAACATCAATCAAGCAATGATTTCTAATAATACTTAAAATACGTAGTTTCCCAGCAACATTTTTGATAAATGACCTTGACTATCTGCTTGGGGGAAAAGGATAAAGATGCATTTTTTTTTTGGTGGATAAAGAAAAGAGCTGAAGAAAAGAACCAGCTTTTCCTTTTTCTCTTTCCTCTTATAAGTCTGAATCATCGTAATGACTGAGATGCCTAATTTAATCCCTTTTCCTTCCCATGAAGATGCTGGCTTTTGAAATATGACGATGAATAAGACAACAAAGATCAATTCAAATCAGTAAATTCAAATAATTGTAATAAGCTGAAGAATGGAGAGCTGAAGAACTGAAGAGCTGGAGAGCTGAAGAATTTAAAATCAAAATGCTAACTGAAAACCTTTGGAAGTAACAATAACCTTTATGTTTTCAGTTTTAACCGCAATTTTCTTAAATTAGACCCTTACAAGCAGTATAATCAGAACGAGATTTTGATAGGTTAACAGTACTTCGCACAGAAGAATATAAGAAAAATGACTTCATTAACAGAATATAAAAGATCCTCTGCGTGATCTTTTGACAAATGCACCTGAAATGGGATTTGTCAAATAGGAATAAAAGGACTAGCCGGTCCATTTATTGTTCCTTCACCCCTTTCCATTCGATTCCTGCTTTGCACACTTTTTACCGCTCACTTTTCTTCTTCTGTTTTCGGAAAATGGCTTTGATAAAAAACATGAAAGGATTCAAACTTTAATACGATGATGAAATTAATGTGATCAATGAGTTTTTGAGAAACTTTTTACTGACTTTTGTTTAATCTTCACGTCTTTTTAAAATCTACAGCTTAGAACCTAGTGCTTAGGCTGACATTCTTTAGGAAATGTTAGCTAAACTCTAAGGAAAGCAAAGAACTTGAAATACTTATGCATGCATGTAACTTCAGTTATGCAAACAAATTGCTTTAATGAAGTGTTGCAGTCAAAATTCAAAGTCAAACTAATAACTTGCATATCTTAGCAAGAAAATAATTCACATGTCTTGATTTTGGTGACAAGAAACTATTCATCTACAGGATGACTGAAAATTTCTGTCCGCATTAGTGTTTGTCTTTATAATAAAACTAGTAAAAGCCTAAAGTGTCTGAAATTTTAATGGTTACACAATTTTTTATTCTATGCCAACCATAATAGACCTGGAGACATGAAAAGTATGATCAAAGACTTTTTAATTATTATTTCCTTTGAGTCAATACCGTTTTACGTTTAGTTTCGTCAATTTCGTTTTCTAAAACAGTTTTAGTTTCCTTAAAAGCATACTTTGATAATCTATCTGAAAGAAGAATGGTTTTTCTTTAAAACTATACCTTGCATACCGTAAATACTGTAATAGTACCCCACCCCCATAATGACGGTGCGGAGTGTTGCGCAGTCTAGCTTTGAACGAGTTTTTCTCGACACTGGTTTATGCTACAATGCGCGCTTAGGTATCAAAAAATAGCTGAAATTCAGGGCTATTTTTGATACCAAAGACACATTTTTGAAAGTACGGGCGCTTTGAAAAAAATGAAATACTAAAAAAGTTTTGCGACTACGAGAATGTACGAGGGCGGTGGGGTACTATTACAGTATTTACGGTAGTTATTGTTTTTGAAATTATCGACTTTGAGTGCCTCAAGTTAGTTGAGCTTAAAAATTGTGGGAATTCAAGGAAGTTGAGAAAGATTCGATTGAAAAAACATTGGAAATGCACTTCAAAAAGCAGATTCCTCTTGAAAACAAACATATATAAAAGGTAAAAATCGTCGAATTTTCTAAATTTGAGTTTTATTTTGCTCTATCTCGACGGAATTGATTATAAAGACACTTCTATTAACGCGGGCAAAACTTTTCAGCAACTTTTCAGCCTGTAAAGCAATCTTGAGAGTCACTTCAATGACGTCAGGTTCATTTCGCGTTTTCTAAGTTCGCGCTCTTTTGTTGGCTCTGGCTCTGGCTCTGGCTTTTTGTGAGAAGACAAAAATCTTTTCGAAACATTCTTTGAAGGAAACTGTTTGAATTTTGGATGGAAACAAAGACAAGAATATGACAAACATTTTCGATAATGCTAACTGATCAAGAAATGAAAAGTTTACAAGATGAAAGTTGACTGAAAATTGAGAATTTCTAATTTCCTTTTCATTCATAGATTCCTCGGCCATTGTATTTATAGTCCTGATCGCACGGACAAGGGAAACGGCTAAACTTGATAAATAAACCGAAATTGTGCAAGAGGACTCACAAGCACATACAGCTTCGGCTTAAGCCATCGACTGGAACAAATCCTGGAAAAGGAAATCTTGATCATTGCCAGCTTGGCCTAGATTTTTCAAAATATTCTAACAAAACAAGTTTCTAATAAAGTTAAAAGATATCTAATCAACTCACCGACAAGACAAATCACCAATAGTAGAAGAAGATATTGAGAAATCATTTGTGAATTGATCATTTCATTTTTACCAGTTTCCTTTATATCTACCCAATGTTTTGACAAAAAGCAAATAGAAAAATTTGAATTTAACGAGTTGTTGTCTGGCCGTATTTTGACATATACTCTTTAGCAGAAAATATGAGTCATTGAAAAAAGTAAACATTGAAAACTTTGTAAGAAAACTTTACCGAGCAATGTTTACGAGTTTAGCTGGTAAATTTCATAGCAACAAGTTTTTGAAGTACTAAAAGCTGATGCATAAATTGGATGGCCATACCAACCAGCCAATATAACAGTTTTTGTGATTCGGGCAAGTAGAGTGGAGTACATGAAATTAATAAACTTGTAGGATCGACCAAAACATGAGCAAAGTCCGAAGTTGTTGTGAGAATTTATTGAATATGCATTTACCAGCCAAAAGTCTACTTGGGCTTCCGAATGTCGACGTGTTTTCAGCAATCATGCATGTGAATTTTCCTGCACAAAGGCGTAGGAGTTCGATGGGTGCAAGGATGACAACGGAACAAGTGTGACATGTGAACAAGAGATGACGGGTGATCGCCTTTTTGCCAAAACAAATTCAATAACCCGGAGGTGTACAGACAAGTGATGACACAATAGAGATTTCCATAACATCCAAAAAATGCAATTTCAGCTTGTTCGCCTGTCGGCTGTCCACTGGAATCTAATACCTGACTTTTTGGAAAACCTCCAAAAAACCAATCATCTTTTTGTGTGGGCAGAACGGCGTTCAACTTGATCAGTATAAATATTCAAATGAATTGGGAAAAGTCATGTTGAAGCAAAATGCTTCGAATTGTCTATTTTTTGCTGACATGTGGTTAGTGATTGAGTATCTTGCTGAGTAATGAATTTTGTAAAGGAGTTCTCGTTGAATCGACGGCTACGACGGTTGCACCACCGGATTGTACGGCGTGTCCAGCTGGAGGTAGAGTTTAGGTAGAGTAGAGTCAATTCAGATCAATTCGTCAAATTTCTTTTTATCTTACAGGTACCTGGTCTGACTGGTCCGATCAAACATCATGCTCTGCCACTTGTGGACTAAACGGACAAAAGGTTCAGACAAGAACCTGTACTTCATGGACTGATGGATGCCCTTGCACGTAAGCTTGAACTTGGAAGAACTTCAAAATTTGGAAGTCAACTGATAGTCTCTTGGTCAAGCCATAAATTGCCATTTCAGTGGAAACTATTCTCGTGTCTATCCCTGTCCCGATTCAACTCTTTGCCCGTTCCCAGCCCCAACATGTACCAGTCCTTACACCAAAGTGAGCACTTAATCTAGTTGTTAATAATCCAACGGTTTTGTCAATCAACTACTATTACTGTTTAGTACCCGGACTACACCACGAAAACCTACAAATGCGGAAATGTGACTATGGCTGATGATTATGTGGCAGCAAATTGTACTTTGAACAGTATGTTGGCTACTATTTGAAACTATTTTATTTAACCCAATTACAAATTGTCTGTTTAATCTGTTAATTACAACTGTTTAACCCAATCTTATAGGTGTTCTCGACAACTGCCCATGCCCAGCTGGAGGTTTGTCTTGAAGCAAAGAATTGATCACAACAAGTAACAAGTTATTTAGGACTTTGGTCTGCTTGGGCCAATTCTGGCACTTGTTCAGCAACTTGTGGTCTTTGTGGAACGGTGACACAAACAAGAACCTGTAGATCAACAAGTTATGGATGTCCGTGCACGTAAGTTACAATTGAGCTTTAACCTTGAACAAATGAGGATGCTATGAAGCTATATTAAGCGGTCCAACGACACAAACCTATATCTGTCCAAGAACGCCTTGCGCTAACTCTACGTGTTGCAATGATGAACCTGTGGTTTGTAGACAAATCTGAAAAAGACTCCCTTGTCTTTAGGTAATAACACTGTCTAACAACCAAACTCGATGTGGTGTCCAATTGGCGGCTGATCCTGTTCTCCCGCTTCCATCATGCCCTACGGTGATCTTCTCGATTATCTAAAGTCGAACAAATTCAATGCTTTATAAGCTGCCGGTTAATGCAAGTATCTTTCAGACCACAACTACAACTAAAGCAACAACAACTACCAAAGCCACGACGACGACCACAACGACCAAGGCTACAACAACCACAACTACCCCTACTACCACGAAAACTACAACTACTATTACGACTACAACCACAAAAACGACGACAACAACCACACCAACTACGACAACAACTACCACTGCCACGACTACCACAACGACAACCACAACAACAACTACGACAACGACAACAACCACGACGACTACGACAACAACAACTACCACAACGACCACTACAACAACAACAACTACTACTACTACTACAACGGCCACCACGACGACAACAACTACCACTACTACCACTACAACGACAACTACCACAACCACAACTACTACGACGACAACAACTACCACTACAACAACAACAACTACTACTACAACTACTACGACAACAACGACAACAACGACAACAACCACGACGACTACGACGACAACCACTACGACAACCACTACCACGACCTCAACGACGACTACAACAAACAACTACTACTAAACAAAAGACCACCACGACGACAACAACAACAACTACTACTACTACAACGACCACCACGACGACAACAACTACCACTACTACCACTACAACGACAACTACCACAACCACAACTACTACGACGACAACAACTACCACTACTACGACCACAACGACCACTACAACAACAACTACTACTACAACTACTACGACAACAACGACAACAACGACAACAACGACAACAACAACTACAACAACTACGACAACTACAACAACCACGACGACTACGACGACAACCACTACGACAACCACTACCACGACCTCAACGACGACTACAACAACAACAACAACTACTACTACAACAACAACGACCACCACGACGACAACAACAACAACTACTACTACTACAACAACAACAACTACTACTACTACGACAACTACTACCACTACTACCACTACAACGACAACTACCACTACCACAACCACCACTACTACGACTACCACAACAACGACTACAACTACAACAACTACCACGACGACTACCACAACCACCACTACTACGACCACGACTACCACAACGGCCACAACAACAACGACAACCACTACCACTACTACCACCACAACAACTACTACAACTACGACTACCATTCCCGGTAAGAATAAAAACTTCATAAAGTTAGATGAAACCAAAAGCTTTTAGGCTGCCAACTGTGCAAGCAAGATTTCTCGAGCCATTACATCACAAGGCCAATTAAAAGTCTACAACTTAACATCACCATTACGTGAGTTTTTATTTTCAACAACCAAATTCCTGCATCACTCTAGGCTTAACGCAAAGAATTGCTTGCAAGCAACGTGGGTCTGTCAAAATGCACCTCCAAGTTCCACAGATTCAGTGAGTTTAGCTTGTCAAAGAGAAAACGCTTTGTTGTTTAGATGGTGTTCGTTGTGCAGAATTACACAAACACTGGAACGGTCGCAAACTTGACTGGATGTGGGCAGGTGAGGCAATTGAATAAATAACTGATGTTCTGTACCTTGAACTTTGGCAATGTTAAGGAAATCCTAGTTTTCAAAATGGTCTAACCTTTTTCAGATTGCTTCGGGACCAGCCCCAGGCACAATTCTCACTTGTGGAGCTGATCAATATTGGAGAATGAATGGGGTAAGTTGAATTCAAATTCTTGCTTATATTTTTCTCAATTCATTTCTATTTTCAGCAACGAATTGGTATGTGGGGATGCTACGAGAATCCATTGTCATCCTGTTAATATTCATTGGAAAAGATAATTATGCACCGATTACATGTCAGCATAAAAATTTCTGTTTATCGGCTTAACAAGGCGAAACAAATGAAGTGATTAAGTAAATTTCGTAAGCGAATCAAAGAAAGCAGTACCAGATAGGTAAAGTCTTGCTATGTGAAATCTATATTAGCCTGCAGAAGTCTACAGTACCTACAGAAATCTATATTACTTTATCAACCAGCATTAACTACGTGTTACTGGCCATATTTTAAAATTCAATCACTGCAAAAAAGCGTGGGAGTTCAAAATGATCAAGTTTTTCAACAAACAACAAAAAAACAAACATTGAGGTCTTTCAGACCACAACCACAACTAGAGCAACTACAACTACCAAAGCCACGACGACGACGACAACGACCAAGGCTACAACAACCACAACTACCCCTACTACCACGAAAACTACTACCACGAAAACTACAACTACTACTACGACCACAACGACGACTCCAACAACAACAACTACGACCACTACAACTCTGATGTGATTTCTTGGAATGTTTATAATTTGATAAAGTCTAGCCTATTATTAGGTTGTTCGGATACAAACAAGCATTACTAAACTTATTGTTGCGTGGGAAGCTTTTAAAACATGTCTTTCTGTATTTAAAAGTACGTTATCTTGTGTATATTTGGAATCTTTTTAAACGGATAATTTCTTATTTTTAAGTTCTTTTTTCTTGCTTTAGATGACCGACTTCAAATATATCAAGTTCGGGCCTACTTTACTTATCAATAAGCCTACTTTACGACTTCAAACTGGTCAAAACAGCCGCGGAATCCCATCGAGATTTGGTCAAAGCATTTGGGAACGATGTATTGTCCGAAAGCCGATGCCGAGCCTGGTTCCAAAGCTTTCGGAATGGTGATGAAAGTCTCGAGGATGATGAACACTCTCGTCGACCTCAAGCGATAGACAACAATATTTTCATTATAAAGAGATTTCATAATAAGTTAAATTGTATAAGAATTTATTCACAATTTTTAGATCAAACTCAATGCACAGAACTTATGCAACATTTTTGAAATCTCCAAGACAAGCCACTTGATCGATCTGAATTGTGACTCCATTTAGAGTGAAAGTCCAATATTTGTTCGCATTGCACACCAATTGAATCGATCCTGTTTGCGTTTTGGATTCCCACACACCATTTTTGTCATCGTTAAACTGAAAATGTAAAGATGCACGTTGTACATTCCGATCCGATTCAAATGAATCCGATTATGAGTTCGATGTTGAGCTTTTTTTGGACTCACCGAAATTACAGGCATAAATCCGGCTGTGTTCGAGGTACAAGTCAGGTTCTTTACCAAACATCCGTTCTTGTTTTTTCTAAATATTTTAGCAATGCAAAAGTGGTGATTGTCAGAAGAGTTTCAATTATTAAACATATCGAATACGAACCCAATTACGGCATTTCTTGTAAAAGCGGTCATTTGCGGGCCTCCTGTTTGAACAATCGGTTTTGTTGTTGGGCAAAGATCACAAGTAGTCTGACCTAAAATTACACTTACTTGCTAATTGCATTTGTTTATTTGATTTCTTGTTTTATCTATGAACTCACCCAAAACTAGTGGAAAGACCAAAATGAGGATAGCGATCATTTGAGAATGCATTCTTTTCTTTGATGATCCTTAAGTGAATCTCTTTTATAGCATAATTCTTCAAAATTTATTCATTGAATCAAAAGGTTTATGGTAATTTGAGAATGGAAAGGAGAAAGGCCAAAATAGGAAATCGTTAGGTTAAGCTGGTGGGAAAACAACACAAAAATAGAAAACGGATTAATGTAATGTGATCGAGAAGTGACTCAATATGGGAATTTTAAAAATCTATCAATATCTATTGGGTTCGTGAATTGAAAACTGCAGGACTTTGAACTAAAATTTATTCAACATAAAACCATGAATTCATTCTAGATAATTTCCATTATTATTGACGACTTCTGCCCATTTTACAGGCAACTTGCGGATTCCTCTTTCGTAGTAGGATTTTGGTTTGTGTGTGAGACAAGTGTGAGACTCAAAAATGGAGGACTGGAGATGTCCCAGTTCGAGCACTTTCTTCAAAAGAAACCCATTTTGGTGTCAATAGAAAAGTTGTAGAGAATCAAAAATTAGGCTTATAGCCAAATTTCCAAAAAGATACACTTAGTAGTTTCGCTTAAAATGCAAGTTTTGTGAAAATTCGTAAATTTGGCATTTCTTGAAAACCAGTTTTTGAATCGTTCTGAAAATTTGGATATAAGCTTGATTTTTGATTCTCTACAACTTTTCCATTGACACCAAAATGGGTTTCTTTTGAAGAAAGTGCTCAAACTGTCACATATGACAATAGCCAGCAGTTTTCGATTCACCAACCCAATAGAATGTACTGTAATTGGTGTTAATAAAATTTGGGATTTTTTAAAAAAGAAATCGAACTTAAAAATGGGCACAAGAAAGAATACGGTATGAGCCAAAAAAGTTGACAAACAAATAGATCTTTTCGAAACAAACAGATAAACAAACGGATCCAAAAAACTTTTCTGAAAATAAGCTTTCTAAAACTTTCTCCTTTTAAACAGCTTTAGATCAAGAAATGTTTTTTCTTGTTTGTCAACTTCTTCCAAAATTTCCGGGTTATCTCGCGAGCTCTGATCACCAAGGTTAGCGCCATTTTTCTGTATTTTCGCAAATATAACAAAAAACTCAATTTCAAGGTCAACTTTGGTAAATGGTAAGCCAAGTGAATCCTTCAACAAAGAAAAAAAGAAATATTTCATTTGATTACTCTGAAAGAATCTGAAAATCACAAATTTAAGACTCGTATTGGATTGGCATTGAATTGAAATGTTAATAGATATCAAGAATAGATTTGATACGATAAAACAGTTTCTAGAAAAGTTAAAGATCTGACGGGGGTAGCTACTTTGCACGCAACTGGGCCTTTTGCTCAACTCGCCATAACTTTCTTCTAAGTGGGCTAATCTGTAATTAATTTGAAGAGGAAAAAACGGAAAATATGAAATGTAGAACTAAAGCTTACGCAAAAAATAAAGCTTAGGGAAAAAATCGGCAAAAAAATCAATGTGCAAGCAAATCAGGCTTTAAGTAGTGTTTTCTAAAGTTGTAGGAGATTAGGCGATCCAAATTCAGCAAAAACCTAAGACGAAACTAGATTACAACTCTGTGTGCGCCATAAAGAACGAAAAAAGATAAAGATGAAGCTCTGAAAAGCCGAAATGAAGCTCTGAAAAGCTAAGCGGAGGTCGGCTAATTTCTGCCATTTTACCACTTGCTATAACTTTCTTCTAAGTGGGTCAATTTTTATGATTTTGGTGTCATTTTGTAGATCTCAACAAGTGCAATAAAATCACACCAAATCATAAGGATTGGCATACTTAGAAGAAAGTTATGGTGAGTTGCGCAAAAGACCTAGTTCCGCAAAAATTTGGTGCAAAGTAGTCACCCTCAGATCTGAGGAATAAAGTAATAGGTACTGAAAATGTAAAGATGTACGTTGTACATTCAAATGAATCCGATTATGAGTCCGCTTTTGAGCTAGTCACCCTCAGATCTGATGAATAAAGTGGTACCGTAAATACTGTAATAGTACCCCACGCCCATAATGACGGTGCGGATTGTTGCGTAGTCTAGCTTTGAACGAGTTTTTCTCGACACTGGTTTATGCTACAATGGGCGTTTATTTATCAAAAAATAACCCTGAATTTCAGCTATTTTTTGATACCAAAGACGCATTTTTTGAAAGTACGGCCGCTTTGAAAAAAATGAAATACTAAAAAACTTTTGCGGCTACGCGACTGTACGAGGGTGGTGGGGTACTATTACAGTATTTACGGTAGGTAAGTGTTGAGAGAAAGGCGGAAAAAGCACAAAATCGCTGCTTACTAGACAGCTTCAAATCAATCTCAAATACTATTTTAAGAAAAGATTTCATAAAATAAATGAAACAGTAAAATCTTATCACTAAGAAGTGAAACATCCGACTTCAGTGATGACAGCCGTTGCTCCATTTGCCGTCTTTTCCCACATTCCTTGTGCATTACAAGTCACAAAGTCTGTCACTGTTCCAAAATCGGATTTCGTTCCTGCTGCATCGTCGTTGAACTAGAATTTAATGCTTTCGAAAACCATGATACAGTCCATCTCTCTATAACAGAACTCTATATAGAACTCTAAAACCCTATATAACGGAATGGAATTTTGGTCCCGGCCGACGCTAAGCTAGATATAACGGCACTCTATATAACGGAAAATTTTTTGGTCCCTTCCATTCCGTTATAGAGAGAGTCGACTGTATCTAATTTTTTTTCTCAGAATAAATTCTCAAAAGTTTTTAATATCTAAACTCGTAAATCTTTTCATTTTCTTGAACCTACCGATAGCACAACTTGAGCTCCGGCAGTAACCGAATTACACGTGAATGTGAGCACTGAACAACCATTCGCATCCGTACTGAAACAAATAGCTGCTTACGATTCGAATTGGGTTTTATTTGCAATAATGTATGAGTTTAAAAATGTAGAAGACTTGATTGGGTCCTATTCTTAAAGTTCTAGAGAATCTAGACAGGGCCTCAAGCACGAACGTTGGTCCTGTTCTTCCTGGATCGACAGTGCCCGTACTCGTCAAGTCAATCGTAATCAAGTCAACATCACAAGATGCACAAAGAGTTGCCGCTGTTGTTGTAGCTGAAAATATTTTCTAGATTAAGATTTTACTACTATACTTGTAGTAGTTGTTGTAGTTGTAGTTGTCGTTGTGGTGACAGATGATGGCGTTGTTCGAATGCATGGAAGAATGACATCGATGAAGAGAGAAATCAAGCAGGCTATTGTCAAGAGACGAGTCATCTAAAGGGAATTGAAGCGATAGGAAATCGAGAGTCAAAGTTTGTCAAGAAAAGGTTACATAAGGAAAATAAGCAAGTTGTGAACAGCAAACTAGTTTTATTAGAATCTCGTCATGTAATGAGATCAAATAAAGAAAGTGTGTCTAAACAAGGAAATCTGGTCATTGGCTTAAGAATAAAAGTTCTTTGAAGTTCTCAGCTTGAAATTTTCAAGCATAACATATGCATTTGTCGAAAGCAAATAACCGAACGGAACAAATGCTTAAGAGAAAAAGCAATTCCATCAACGATTTAGCTATCCATCATATTGAACAGCACTTATGGAAGAAAGAAGAAAATGGATGGTCAAGATTGGATGGAGAGACTTTGAACTTGAAAGTGCAGAGAACAAGATTGGGCGGACTTTTTAAGATTAAAATAACAGTTTACATCAGATTTTAGTCATTTAAAATGGCATTGGCAAATAAGGAGCTGATGAAAACATTCAGAAAGAGAAAGTCGAGTTATGGAAAAGCTTTTTGACCGGTAAATTTATGTATAATCTTCGATTTTTCTTGGGAAATTGTGTGCATTAAGCAAAATTGTGGGCATTAAGTTCAGATTTAAGACTTTAAAAAGCACGCATTATACAGCATGAAGATCATACAGTATGTGAAGGAATAAGACTTTGAAATTCTAAACGAACTAAGTCAGAAGCCAATGAAGAACTCATGAACTGCAAATCAGAAGAACCAAATTTTTGTTCGACTAACAGCATTTCCGAAGGCAAAGCCTACGAGGGTTACGAGAAAGAATCAGACCGGTCATTCACTCATCTTTTTTCCATTCCTTTTCCATCCCTTTTTCATTCCTTCACTACCCCTTTTTCCCTTAAAAGAACTCCTTTTCTTCAGGTGGACTGTCACCTCAAACAAAGCCAAGAAATCCTTTTGAAACAACTCGAAAGACCTCAAAGAATTCCCCTTCTTTCTCAATTGGCCAAATTGAGCCAAATACGAAGTGAGCCTTTCTCACCTCGAAGAATGGGGATTGGCTTTGCTTTGAACTGTTCAAATTGGGGAATTGAGGGAGAGACGAGATGAACTTTTGATCGATGGAGTTAAAAACAAAAACTTGGCTAGAACTGAAAGTTAAGTTAGATTTGGAAATACATTTACAAAAACACAATCATTATCAGCTTAAGTATTGGGATCAAAATTATACCTTTGCTGCCTTATTTGTTTTACCTTAATAGCTAGAGAGTTCCTGACTGATTCAGGCTTGATCCAAGGGCGGGGAGGTTATCATTCCAAGAATACCAAGAGTATCTCAAAGCAGCTCTAAAATCAGTTTCACTCATTTCAAAGGCTTTTCAAAGCTCTAAATATTTCTATTGATTGTTCTAATTACTAAAAGAACCAATACTCTATTCTTCTTTCCTTTCTTTTCTTTCTTTGATTGCGGTGAACGGTGTTCGGTTTGTTGCTTTTCGTGTTGGCTCTTGTGAACATTGTTGACCAATCAGTCTTGAATAGAGATTAGAAAAGATAGAGAGATTAATGAAAAGATTGAGAATAAGAAAAAGGAAAGAAAAGCTGATCATTGATGAGAAGAGAATTCAGAGATGAAGATGAATGTTGACAGTGATCTCTTGCAATCTCTTCGCATCTCTTTCCTTTCTCTTCTTCATCCAATCATTGCCACTCATTGTCGGACTGATCTCGAAAATCCCTTGAGGGGACATGGGATGAGAGAAAAGACAAAGAAAAGACAAAGAAAAGACAAAGAAAAGACAAAAAGAAATGAATAGTGAAGGGCCCATTCTTGTATTATCTATTCCTTCAGACATTACAAGAGATTACTCATTCCTCGATTTCTTGATGATTCAACCTTATAACCTTAATGTTTATTACAGTATTCGCTTACAAATTTAACTGTTTTTCAATTCAGTCTTGCCTCTTGACAGCTTTATTTTAGCATACTGTAATGAGAAAGACAGGGAACTGAAAATTTGATGTCCCTTTGATAACTTCGATAATTTAATGCCAATTATAGGTTATAATAGCCTGCTGGAAATCCATATTTTTACCCTATTCTCATCTTTACTATTTTGTCTAGACTTTCATTACTTTTTCCATCCATTATTTGTTTTCTCTCTTCTCATCAGCTCATCATAATCTCTAAATACTAATCGGGTTTCGTTTCGATCGAATTTTCCTTTCCTTTTCTTCTAAAATACTGAAATATTGAGAAAATGGAGAAATTGGTCAAATAGTTATCATTTATCGATTGAAGAATCGAAGAATTGAAGAATTTTTCATCTTTTCATCTTCAACTCTTCCATTCAATCACCAGATTTCAAGAGTCTAATGGATGCTATTTCTTAGTTTGTGTTCAGTTTTTAGCAGAACCGATTTTATTGATTTCTATGATGTTATTCTAAGCTTTAATTCCACCTGAGTCCACTTTGAATAAATATTTTCAGTGATGGGAAAAGTCTTATGGAAGGCGGCGTGTGACCGATGCCCATTACGCGCTTGTGTTTATTTTGGCGGGGAGAAATAAGGGGGAAAAGGATGTGGCCGATCACTGGGCATCACCTATCCATTGAAAAGAAGGAAAAAAAGATATTCGGAAAAAGGGAAAAAGGGAAAAAGGGAAAAGAGGGATAAATCAGAAAGCCGGATCTGTATCCGCGTGCTTCATCGGATTGAAGGGAAGACTGCCCGCCTGGGTATCCCTTTCATCATCAAATATCAATCTGTCTTTCATTTAACTTTTCCAAATTTCCAAATTGATTGGCTTTTTGTTCTTTGATAAGCAATTGATAAATGTTTAAATTCAAATAATGATACTTTATTAGTATTCGATTTTGCCAAACTTCAACCCATAATTTCAACACTTTTTTATGAGAGATTTTGAAAAACTCAAAAACTATTAAAATCTACAAATCCTAAGCTATTTAAATAATGCTTTAAAGTCAAAATTGGACAAGTTTAAGATAACTAAATTAGTGAAACAAGATTGGCAAATTTATGCTAAAGAAGCACGCAAATAATTATTAGTTTTTTCCAGTCAACTTTCTACTGTTTACTAAGCAATATGTTTTTTAGTTTAATCTATTAAATTTTCAATTACTCCCAGGTTTATTTTCAATCCAATCCATTTCTAGATCGTGTTTTCTTCAACATCTCATCGTGATGATCTTCTCAGTCCGTCAAACACTTCAATATCATTTCAAATAGCTACACCAAAAAGGATGAGAAGAGATCGGTCAAGAGATCGAGTCAATGATGGAAATCAAGATTATCGAAGAAATTGGATATTAGTTGATTCGACTGTTTCATCCAGACATAATCCGTATGAAAGAGACAGGTCAGTGGGAAAGATCTTTTAGAAGATTCATCTTTTACAAATTATAGCAAGTTACCGTTTTTGATTCAAAGTTATTCAAGTTTTCACAAGTTTCTTTTCATTTGCCAAGGCTTCTTTCGATGGTGACTACTTTGCACCAAGTTTTTCGAGCAACTTTCTTCTAAGTAAGCTAAAATCATAAGGATTGGTTCCCTTAGAAGAATTTTATGGCGAGTTGCGCAAAAGACCCAGTTCCGTGCATAGTACCTATTACTTTATTCGTCAGCTCTGAGGGTGACTACTTTGCGCCAAATTTTTTTGCGCAACTAGGTCTTTTGCGCAACTCGCCATAACTTTCTTCTAAGTGAACCAATCATTATGATTTTGGTGCCATTTTGTTGCACTTGTTGAGATCTACAAAATGACACCAAAATCAGACAGATTAGCCCAAAATCATAAAGATTAGAAGAAAGTTCTGACAAGTTGCGCGGAAAATTTAGCGCAAAGTAGCCACCCCTACCTCTTTCGATTCTCAAGATCTCAAAGTTTTGCTTATTTTAAAGCTTTAAAAAAAGGAGAAGCTAAAGCTCAAAACTAGGGGTCAAGAGAGCCACAAGAACACTTTAGTCTTTGAGCTTACTAGGAAACAGTCAGATTTCATCATCGCCAATCTGAATCAAATCAATATCAAATCAATCGCCAGTCGAACACGATGGCGTTTTTAGTTTTTGCCTAAACACTCTAGATTTTTGTAAAAACACAAAAGAAATTTGAAGCCCTAATGCACTGGACGGCTCTTATATGGCCGCCATCGTCAAGGGTATCAACTAAGTCCGTAGTGCAGTGGTAGTGCCATCGTTTCTCATTCTTAGAATCCGAATTCGAGTTCCCCTTGGATAAACTTTTTGTTTTAATGTTTTCAAAAACTAAAACTCCCTAAACGCCTAAAACCAAAGCCTCAAAAACTCCATCGTTTTGCCGGTGTTCGACTGAAACCCATATTGGTTTGATTCGAATTGATCATGATGAAATCTGATTGTTTTCTAGTTAGAGAATAAGCCGAATGCAAGTTTTGAGTCTCAAAACAGAAGAAACTAAGTGAAAGTCGTTCTCCTCTTTCTATGTGCTACCTATTTCCTCTTTCTTCTCCCTTTCCTACCCAACAATTCACTCATCCATATGCTTTTTTCTCGTGGTTTTGGATCGAGAAGATGAGATGATGACTTTTGAGGTGTGGATGAGGGAAAACTGGACTCACCCCTTCCCCTTCCACTTTTTATTACCTATTCCTTCTTTTCCCTCTCTTTTCGATCTTCTTGAATCTCTTTCTCATCTCATTTCTTTTCTCTAATGACCTTTTCTTCGAGAGATTCCCACACTGACCATTCGTTACTTGTATGTTGAAAAACGAGAAAAAGAAACGAGTTACTCGCGACTGGTTCTTCTTTCTTCTTCTATCATTTTGTTTTAGTTTTCACTCTTTTTTTGATATAAGCACTTCAGCATTACTTGGCACGATTTTTAGAAAGGAATTCTGAATTTAAACTATACTCTATTTAAACCTTACTGACAAGGGAAGGTCAACTGGTTGAGCCGGCCAAATGCGATCTATGCCATTCGAGGCAGAATTTGATGCTCATTTCGATTACATATTCCGTTTTTGCTAAATGACAATCTGCCAGGAGTTATAAGTGTCTAAAGTTTTGTTAGACAAATAGGCATATGAATAAATATGGTTATTTGGGTCTTAGCGGCCTCTTTGCCGAGGTGATTCGGTGCAGCTGTAGCCAATTGGTACAGCGTTGGTTTTCAGACCTCACAAGTTCGATCCCTATTTTGGATTTTCCTTCAAGAAGTGCTGACCATTGTTCTTTGTGCGCGCGCACAACATATCGAACAACACAAATGGAAAAAGGATCGAACTTGTGAGGCATCGCTCTGGAAACGAATGCTGCTCCACTCGAATTTGCACTGAATTAGATCCGCAAGGAGGCCGCTAAGACCCAAACATTTTCAGAGTCCTAACAAAACTTTAGACGCTTATAACTTCGGACAGATTGTCAGTTAACAAAAACCGAATATCTATTCGAAATCAGTATAAAATTCTGCGTTGAATGGTAAAGATAAAGCATGTGGCCGGCTCAGCCAGTTGACCTTCCCTTGTGAGTTTCCTTGATTTCTGAGTTTCCTTGACAAAACTCAAAAATCGATTTCATTTTCTTCAAGTAAATTGAGAGTTTTTGCAGAACTGATCATTAAACTGCTTGTTTTCCTTTGAATGCAAATCTCATTTAATTTAGACAAGTCTACGCGACTCCATCACTCGGCGATCCATCCACATCTAGAGCGTCTATCTTGAGCAGTCGACAAAGGGACAGGTTAAAGAAACATGTTTCACTTTAAATTAGCTCTCTATTCACTCATTTCACTAGCTTTTTATAATCATTTAAAATTTCAGAGATCCCGAGTCCCGAATTCATTCAATCAATCGATTGAACGACCGAATCCAGAGACGTCTTGCAGCTCAATATAACAATCCTATTGTAAGTTATCAAAAAAATCAGAAAATAGTTCATGGAATTGACTTTAATACCAGTCAATCATCTAAAGCTTGATACTTTTTTTATTCGGAAGTAGTCCCTTGAATAGAAACAATCAGTTCCTCGCATTTAATCATCGAAAATCACTTCTGCAAATGAGTGATTGATTGAGGAAAGACTTAGGAAGAAAGAGGAAGAAAGAAAGAGAAAGAAAGAGAAAGAAAGAGGAAGAAAGAGGGGAAATCTATTAGTCTTTGAGTGGAAAAAGAGGGAAAAGGGAACGGTTTGTGGAGATAAACCATTCATGTGGAAATGTGAGTACCATATTTGGAGGGAAGGAGTTCCCTTTTGGAGAAGAGTATCACAAGGATTTAGAGCCAACAAAGGATAAGTTTAGAAACTAGAGTCATTTCTAGAGTTGCTATCAGTGTCATTATACTTTCTACCATGCTTTGGCTACTCAGATTGATTTAAGACTTTTATCTTTTGAGATTACTTACGACTTGCATTTTTCCTAGCTTTTCAAAGTGAAACTTTGTTCGAACTTTTCCTTGAGAAAAGAACATCTTTTCACTGAACATCCCACTTGATCTCATCACCAAACATTCAACTTTCTTACCTTTTCCCAAGTTCTATGTTCAAGAGAAATTTCTCATAGTGTTTCAAAGTCTTGACAAGTGTTATATCCAAAGTTTAAAGTTTAGCATTGTAACTTCTAGATATTCCTCAATTTTCCATTTGTTTTTTTCCATTTTTATATTATTTTGCTTCAGTCATAAATGTTATTTTCCAACGAAGAACCAGTTTTCATTTGTAAATAAGTTTTTTGCAAGGCTCTTCTTAAAATCATTTAAAGTATGGTCAAACAAAGGTAGGTTTTATTTTTCATTTTCAGGTTTGGAAAGGTTTTGCTTTGTAATAGCTTTGTAATATCTTTGTAGCTTTGTAGCTTTGTAAAGTCATAGCTTTGTGATAGCTTTGTAAAGGAAATATCATTCGTTTCTTGTACTTGTATTGGCTGTTCAAAAATCTTTTTATTCCTTTTTATACTTCTGTTCAAAAATAACAAATTCATCCAATTAACCTATAGTTTACTCTTAATAAAAAGTTTTTCTTGTTCAATTTCCATCTTTTTTAAGTCAATCTTTTTAAGATTCACTTTCAAGCAAATTCGAGAATGAAAACGTGTCTTTCCTCTATAAGAAACTCTACGAAGAAATTGGTTGAATGAATTTCTCTAAAAATTTGACTAGATACCTAACTTTTTATGCTCTATCTTTTATCTATTGACACCAAGATAGATTTCCTTAGCTAAAGTGTCGAAACCGCATCATCGAACCTTTCTTTTTGACTACCCGACTTCATACTCGCAAAAAATGCAGACTTAAGACATTTTAAACCCATTTTAATGTTATTTTGCAGAAAAATAATTGGCTTTTCTAATGAAACAAACCGTAGTTCAATTGGTACATTTCTTGGTTTTAAACAGAAGTACGAAAATGAATGACAAGACAGCCTAATAGCCTAATAGTAAGCCTTTCTGGACAGCCTAATAGTAAAGACTTATTTGAAACTATATATTAAATAGGCATTAGGAATAAATTAATAGATTGCAATTGCAATAAAATTAGAAGTAAATCGTCAGTTATGTAAGATCCCCGGAAATCCCAGGATGCTAACCTACTGTCACTGAAATGAGGAGGGCTTGTTCTTTCTTTTGTTGAGTGGTGGTTGTAAGGGGAAAGGTGACGCTTGTCTGTACAATCTTTCATTTCTTTCTTTTTTTTTTTTCTTCTTTTTTCCCCTTTTCTGAGTGATATGGGATAGCAAACATCCACCCTTGAGACATGGCCTCACATTTGACTACCAACTCTCAAAATCTTGATCTCATCTACACATCCTTGTATCAATTTCAATTGAAATCGATTAGAAGTTTTGTCTATTCAAAATAAGTTCTTATATTCTAAAGTATTCACCTATTCATGGCCACAACTTACCGTAAAAGACGTAGTGTTGACTCACAAAGTAGCGGAGCGGCGAGAAGAAGAAAGGTTTGATGATTGGAGACAAAGTGACAGCTGTTCTTTGAGAAAACTTTGCATCTTTCTTTCTTCTTTTTATTGTTATTCTGAGAAAATGTTATATTCTTGACATTTTTAACTGACAGAGTTGCTGGTTACAAGCTTTTGACACCACTGTTTTACTTGCCAAATCCAATCCCATTTTAAAACTGGATAGATCTATTCAGACAAAACCTTGTTCTTATAGCTCGAATTTCTTATAAATTCGATTTTTATTTAGTATGCGAATTCGCCGACAATCTTAGAAGAGTCAGAAAGACCTCGAGATTCTCGAGAGGTTGAGGTTGACGTTGGCCCATCAACAATCCATCCATCCTCACACTACACTCACAATCAACAACGGCTTGTCGAACAGAGAAGAGGTTGGATAATCATTCATTTACCTTTATTTTCTTTTGTTAATTGATATCTTAACTTTCTTCCTCGGTTCTCATCGAGAAGAACAATATTATCTTTCTTGACTTCTTAAATCTACGATATATAAAAGAGCAGTCTGTCTGTAAGGGCATTTTCTCGACCGTGTTTTGATTAATAAAGCTAAAACTTCTTTAGAAAACCTTAGAATATAGTTTAGTTGTATCATTTAAAATAAAAATGAGAAAATTCAAAATTGACTGCCACTCCGCGGGTCGAATCCGGATCGTGTGCGATGTAGACCAGCGCGCTCCCGTTCGGCATACCCGAACGCCAGAAAAACACACTGCTAGGCGGATTTTTCGGACACTTGTTCTCGAATTCGAAAATTCAACTAAGGATTTAGACTTGATATCTTCTAAAATCAGTAACTTAACTCCCTCTGGAGTAAGGGAAATCAACTGCGTTGTAGTGTAATTGTTAGCACTGTTGGTCGGTAAGCCAAGGGTCACGGGTTCGAGTCGCAGCGTCGCCCAACTTTTTGACCTGCCCTAGTTCCAATTAGTAGTCTAACAAAATATAAGATTATAAATACAATTCACTTTTGTTTTCGGCTCAGATAGCTCAGCCGAGGCTCGTCTTGATCGTCTCATTCAACATCGAAATTCTCAAGGAGAAATCGACGCCGTGTATGAGAAACGCCCAATAGGTGAGCTTGCACAAATATTAATTGTATTAGTCAATCGAAACCTTTTTCATTATTGTTCCATTCTCATGCAATAGTTCCTTCCCATCCTTTCCTATGACTCAAATGACTCCAATCACCACGTGCGCCTTTCTCCTCTTTTCTCTGACAGGGCGCGATAATCGGCTTTTGTGTGATGATCTTCTGATCGTTGTTTTCCTTTTCTTCAATTCTTTTTCCAATTTCAGAAGGGACGCGCTTCGGCCGTCCATCCCAGTTGGGAGTGGGTGCTGGTGGAAGAAGGAGAGCACAATCGGCAAGATCGAGCAGACAACTCCCAAATCGAACAAGTCCTGCCATCACACAAAGAGAACTCCATGCAAGGAGTCGACTATCCCACATTCGGTTTGTTCAATTCAAGTTGATTCTATACTTCAAAGTTAAAGCTGACCTTGAAGCTTTTCATTTTTGTTTAAGCCTTTTTTAGATCCTGTTTAAGCCTTTTAGATAGAGAGACGCTTTTTTTAGAAAAGTTTATTGGAGTTTATTTATTGGAATCTATGGATTGACTCATCACTTTGTGTTTCAGAGCAGAGTCAACTCCTTCAATAGTCAGACCACAAAGAGCACCGCCAGCTGATCGACAGAGACATTTATCTCCATCACCACAAAGAAGGAGAAGAGCGGATTCTGTTGATTCGGGAAGTCTACGATTGTCGAGGTTTCACGAGCAAGTATTGCAATCTCTATCCTATTATAGAGAACAACTCCATTCTGGAAATCGGTGGCAGATCGCTGGCGGATCTTCCGAGAATTTATTGGATCAAGTTGTTGGTGAGGATTTGAGTTTACAAATGGATTTATACAAATAAATTGTTTTATATTTAGAAAAATGAATATTTGGATGATACGTTGAGCTGAAACATTTAGCTAACAATTCAGCTAACAATGAGCTAACAATGAGCTAACAATTCTAGGTGATCGAGGCCGTCCGCCGACCACCCTTCGACGGGCTCCTCAGTACTATTCATCGTGCGATGTATGCGCATATAAAACGCTGAGGCCTGGGGAATTTTGCCCAGTAAGTTCTGAAATTATAGAGTCTTCAACTAAAGAATATAAAGATAAGCACAATTTTTATCCGAAAGAGCAAAGAAAACTAATAAGAAGACTATTTTAGTTCTGTGCCCGTGGCGCTTACCCTCCACCTCAAGCTTCAAAACAATACTACCAAAGACAACAACAAAGAATGGATTATAGAGGTAAATTTATTGGGAAATGAGTAGCTGAATATTACCTATATTTTTCCAGATTACCCACCGCGACGAATCAACTACAACAGAGCTCCCCCTCCCCCGCCACCTCCTGCAATGTTCCAACCCGATCCCTATTATCCACAAGTTCAAATTTTGAGTGCCAGGTATTCGAATAACGTCTACGTTTAACCTACCCTTTTTTAGATCATTACAACGATCAGCTCCATATTTGAATGTTCGACCGCATATGATGGAGATGAAAGCACCGAGAAGGCCTTTGACGAGATATACAGGTCTCTTAATTTCTTTTAGTCTAATCAATTTTCTGATTTTCTATAGATCGCAAAGTCTATCCCCCGGCAATGTCATGGAAATATCGTCCTCCTGTTTGGGATCAACCTGTGAACGCATGGCATCATGAACCGCAGCTGCCGCCAAGGAGGATAAGGAGTCCAGTGTTTCGATATGGTGAGTGGTTGACACATCTGCGACGATACGGCGCATCGGTGCGCGTACGTTGAAACCTTTTTGAGACCAATTGAGCTGAAAATTTCGGGTCTTGCGTAGTTTCCGGGTATTTTGGAAAAATTCAAGTATCTTGACCGGGTCGGCACGCTTTGAAAGCCTATAACTTTGTCCAGAGATAATATTTTTGTTAATTTTTTATTCCATTATACAGAGAACATTTCAGGCTTTCAAATGATACCAAATAGAGCTTGACTGGCTTTTTTCATTCCCATGCAAATAAGGCGACACGACACGGAGTTGGATAGGCCTCATTTGCTCAAAATTAGCTCTGATTTTCTTGGACTAGATTACTCAATCAAGCTCTATTTGGTATCATTTAAAAGCCTCAAATGTTCTCTGTATAATGAAATAAAAAGTTAACAAAAATATTATCTCTGAACAAAGTTATAGGCTTTCAAAGCCTGCCGACCCGGTCAAGATACTTGGATTTTTCCAAAATACCCGGAAACTACCCAAAACTGTAACAAAATTTGCAATCAGGGTTTTTTGAGGATGGAGAATTCGAATTCGTTATTAGTTTCTAAAGAAAACTGCTACATTTCATATATTAGGTTGATGAATTGAAAACTGCGGGACTTTGAACTAAAATTTATTCAACATAAAACCATCAATTCCAATCCAACAATTCCAAATAATTTCCATTATTATTGACGACTTCTGCCCATTTTATAGGCAATTTGCGGATTCCTCTTTCGTAGTAGGATTTTGTTTTGTGTGTGAGACAAGTGTGAGACTCAAAAATAGAGGACTGGAGATGTCCCAGTTTGAGTACTTTCTTCAAAAGAAACCCATTTTAGTGTCAATAGAAAAGTGGTAGAGAATTAAAAATCAAGCTTATCTCCAAATTTCCAAAAAGATACACTTAGTAGTTTCGCTTGAAATGCAAGTTTTGTGAAAATTCGTCAATTTGGCATTTCTTGAAAACCAGTTTTTGACGAGCACTGAAAATTTGGATATAAGCTTGATTTTTGATTCTCTACAACTTTTCCATTGACACTAAAATGAGTTTCTTTTGAAGAAAGTGCTCAAACTGTGACATATGACAATAGCCCGCAGTTTTCAATGCACCAACCCAATAGTTTAGTTACCCAAGTTCAACCCCATCCTTCTATTTCATCAATATTTCACTTTCAGGACGATCACTACCGGAGGAATTGTATGATTATGATGTGCATGCAAGGGAAAGCGAAAGGAGATTACGACAGAGAAAAGTCAGAATTGATTAAGAATAGAAAAAGAAGTATACAGTGATCAGTGGATATGAAATTATGGTCATAACTAGCAACACAAGTGATCATTTGAATTGCAGGCTCTCGCTTTGGCCGTTGCCCTTCTCGCTTTTGCTTTGGTCGTTTCGGCGGGAGTTGTCCTCGCTGCAATCCATTATTAAATTCACAAATTTGAATATCTTTCCCAATTCTTTACTTCTAACTCTTGCCTTTCAGATGACTTTTGTTTTATACTATATTTATTCTCCCAAAGTGCAATTTCCCCATATAAAACTAGTCAAAAATCGGAGAGAAACTAGTGACCAAATCTTACTATTTTTGCTTTTTTCTTTTATAAATTTCCCATTTGAATTCAGTTCCGTTAAAATTCAGGGCTTTAGTTGAATATCTTCATTCAAATTGCAATCTAAAATTTGCTCATTTGAAACGCTCATTGTTTGATATTGCCTGATCATTTGAAAATCTATCTTTCCTTTGGTGCTTTTTTCGTTTTTGTTTGAAAGGTTCATTTGAAATACAAGGTTCATTCACAAAAAGACACAGTCTCTTCTATTTTCAGGAAACTAGAGATAACATTTGGTCAAAAAATCGAAAGAACTTCATTGTAAACTAGTAAAGAATTAGTAAAGATAGTAATATTTGTAATTAGTAAAGAATTTTTGTAAGGAACGGAAGGAGAACTTCTAAAATTTGAATCGTAAACTAGATGTATCAGAGAATTTTCTACAGTAAACTTCCTTTTTTCAATTCTCCGATCCCTTCATGGTTAGCATTTCTGTTCTTATTTAAGAGTTGTCTTCCTGAGTTGTCTATCGATCAAACATTGAATTCATAGTCAATCTAGCCTCAATACGGTAAGGTTTTAAGCATAAAAGTTACGAACAAATTGCTGCAATACCTTCTCAACAATGCCACAATGGTTTCAAAAGTTTTTGGTGAAAGGTCCAGGTCCAGGTCCAGGTCCAAGTCTTCGATTAGACCAAATTTTTGTCTATCGATCAAAAGTGAACCATTTCCTTTCACAGAGAAGCTGATCAAATATTCATGTGAATTCGTATAATATCATTTCTTTCCTGAGCCCAGCAGAGCCCTTATAGATCAGTGGTAGAGCGTTGGTCTTGTAAACCAAAGGTCGACGGTTCGATCCCGTCTGGGGGCATTTTTTTCATTTTTAAACTCCAACTTGCTCAAGAAACAATACAGCGCTTGTTTTCATTTTTCTATCTAGCTGAACAGCTTTTTGCTGACTGTTCAAATGATAAGAAATCCGATAAAATGCACAACGAAAAAGCAAGGTCAAAATCTTTTATCCAACGGGAAATCGATTTAAACCGAATTTTTGATAACTTTCGTACTTTTGTCTGCACTTGAATACATTTGAATAAGCCGCTTTTCATAAGTGAACTCATTTGTACAATAAAACGAGCAAATTTCCAGTCAATTCACATATTTTTGTTCAGGATTATTTGAAAAATTGTCGAAAAATGACCAATGAAAACGTGGCTGTCACAAATTTTCGTCAATATTTGCGCATCCGCTCTGTCCCTCCAGAGCCCGATTATGGCAAGTTTTTAAGAGAATTTTTAATGTATTTTCCAGATGATAACCTTATAAATTGTATAGGAAATCTATTTGTACTTGATTTGACAGTGCCAACCATCAAATAAGATTATTATTTTCAGAAGGATGTGTCTCCTTTCTCTCTGGTTTAGCCGATGAGCTTCGCATTGAAAAACATCGTTATGAAGTAAAAGAATCTTTTGGTAGTTTATGGTTAATGTCATTTAAGCCAGTGAAAGGATTTCCGTGTTTGGTGCTGACAATTCCAGGGACAAGCCCCAATCTTCCGTCAATCATGTTCTATTCTCATATGGATGTGGTACCGGTTTTTGAGGTACACAGACGGATAAACACTTTGAATGACTTTGTTTTTGCAAAAGAATTGGCAGCGAGAGGAGTCGAACCCGCGATTAAGAGATTGCGGGTTCGATCTCTCTCTTCCGGTCGTTTGAGAAACGTGCGCGTTAACCACACCGTCATGCTCTAGTAGATGGCGCAGTGCGAGCGCACTTATCTCTAGCCCACACGCCCCAAGTTCGACTCCCGCCCCCGTGCACTTTTGCTTTTTTAAAAATTTAAAAACATGTTGCATAACTACATGAAATTCGAAGCAAACTAACTATAAGTCATTTGAAATGGCCCACTGGGCGCGGAGGAGTAGTACACACAGACAGACAGACACAGCTCTTTTATATACGGCAGATTATCATCTTGAAAGAATAGGAGCTTCAAAACTTGAAGACTTCCCTATGACCAACCATCCGCCTCTTTTTCTATCCGTTTTCCGTTGGCAATCTACGAATTCCGCTTGTATCTTAGCTGGGTTTGTTTGAAAAAGGTTGAATTTGCTTTCATTCAAAAGAAAATTTGATTTGAAAGCAATGAAAGCAAACTCAAACCCGGCTAAGGAACGAGCAAAATACGTAGATTGTCAATGGTCAACGGACTAAAAAAGGGAAGGAGTAACATGCCTGTCTATGACATCCCTATATCAGTTACAGGACCCTTTTTATCAAGGACAGTATCCCTGACTGGAAATGCTTCTCGATTTACACCTGGCTTTTAAGCCTAGACATAGTTTTTCTGCATTTTTTGCGCTGATTCCAAATCTCTAGGTAAATTGGCGACAAATGAACAAAAAGACAACTATAACTTTTTACTCAAACAAGCCATGTAAACTTTGGAGCTGAATCTCTCGCGAATTTCAACACATTATCCCCAAACGATCGAGATATTCGGAATCAGCAAAAACTGCACCAGAAAAACTGTCTAGGCTCAAAAGCCAGGTGTAAATCGAATCTAAAAACCATTAGATTCATTAGATTAAGCTATCCGAAAACTTCTTTAGGAACACTGGAAACACGATCCATTCTCTGCAGTCAAAGAAGAGAATGGGGATATTTATGGAAGAGGTAAAGATCTTTCAGCAAAAACATCCAGAATTCCAAATGAAAACCTTTCAGGCACACAAGATATGAAATGCGTGGGAATTCAGTACATTGAGGCGCTACGGAAACTCTTCGAAGATGGAAAAAAGCAATTCCTTCGAACAATTCATCTCATCTATGGAGCTGGTTGGTTTCGGAAATGTCCAAGTACAATATAATTTAGACGAGGAAATGGGTGGATACAAAGGAATGGCTGAATTCACGAAAACCAAAGATTTTGAGGTGAAATATCGCTTGTTTATATGATTTTCTTTTCTTTTTTTAAAAACGTTTACTGTTTATAGGAGTTGAATGTCGGTTGGATAATGGACGAAGGATTGGCGTCACCAAATGAGACATATCAAGTCTATTATGGCGAGCGAAATCCTTGGTGTGCGTTTCATGAAATTCTTGAATATCCTAGGCATTACTCGGCAATTTTAAATTGTATTTATTTCCAATTTTTTTAAAAATAAAATTAAGGGGGCCGAGTGACCTTTGTTGGAAATCCGGGTCATGTTATGGAGTTCATTGAAAACACCGCTATGGAAAAATTGGTAAATCTAGTGTTTCAAAGCTTTTATCACCTTGATTCTTCAATGATTTTGAACTGTTTTTGAACAGAAAACTTCTTTAGAATCACTTCTTGAACAGCGCTCTCGCCTATCGCGCAAAATGGAAGAAAACCCTTGAATCGGATCCAAACTTGAAACTCGGAGATGTTCCAACGATAAATCTTCCAATTGTCAAGGTTAATGGCTCACTGAAATTCATTTATAAATCGAATTTCTAGGGAGGAGTGCAAGCAAATGTGATTCCCGATAAATTTGTATTGGGTCAGTTTCTTGTTCAATCTACTAAATGCTCTTTTACTACTGTACTACAGGCCTCCATAGTTAACCTCTAGTACTACAGGGTACTACAGACTACAGACTAGTACTACAGACACTGCTCTGTGTCTGTCTATATGGACATTTTCTCGGCTGTGTTTTGCCCAATAAAACTAAAACTTCTTTAGAAAATCTTAAAAGATATTGTAGCCGTTCGGTAGCCAGAAAAATCCGGTATTAAGGGGTTTATCTATAAGCTTTCTTACTTCTTAATCGAATCCTAGCTCACCTTTTCCCCTCCTGTCGATAGCATATGTTGAATGGGAGCCGGTTTCCCTTCATCTCCCTCATGGATTAAGCTTGAAGAAGCATCTGTACTATACATCTGTACATCTGACCGCGCCACGGGGACCGCCGTTGAGTAGTCAGAAAAAGCCAGAAAAGAAAAGCCAGAAAAACCCAATGTTAGGCGGACTTGTCGGCTGATTCTTATCTATAAACTGTCTTACTTCTTAATCCAATCCAATTTTAATACCCACTGCTCTATTTGCCTATGCATAAGTTGAACTGAACTTAATTTGATTGGCACTAAGGGGAGGGGGGTCGAACCGTAGGTGTGGGCCGTAGACACGTGCACTACTGATAGAGACGGTGATAGAGACGCGCCACGGCGATAGAGACATCCGCCCTAAAATATTCAGCCAGAAAAACCGTTAGGCGGGTTTTCGGCTGGTCCAATTATAAAGTTTAAAAGCTTGGAAAAAGTCTCATTATTTCAGAATTTTCAATCCGCGTCCCACCAACAATGCATTTTGATTCAATCAAGAATGAAATCGAGGGATGGGTGGAGGCAGCTGGAAGAGATGTCCATTTGGAATGGGTTGCTGTGGGTTTTTGATTCAAAAGACGAGTTTTAGAGTTGTACTCTTGCCTCAGTTTTCAAAATGTATCTTTTGCTGCTGATTTATGATTACCCTCAATTTCCAGAGGCCTTGTGTAAGCAATATCACCGAGACGACCAACGAGAATCCATTTTGGGTGGCTTTTGAGAAAACATTGACTCAAGAGTTTGATTCTACCAGAAACTAAATAGAAATTCCCATTTCAGAGGCTGTAAAATAAACAAAGCCATTTTTCCGGGATCGACCGATTCAAAACACGTTCGACAAGTAGGTTTACTGTTCACGCAAATCAAGAAAAACGTTTAGAAAGGCTACAAATCGCTCGGGTTTTCTCCGATGAACAATACTCCAGTGTTGCTTCATGATCACAATGAGTTTTTGAATGAAAAGGTTAAATATTAATAACAAATAGATTGTATTATGCTGAATAACTTTGGTTGTCTTAAAAAATTAACCGAAAATCGCAGAACGCTTTTCTTTTCAAAAGCTTTTCTTCAGGTATTTCTCCGAGGTGTCGAGATCTACGAGAAACTCATCGAAAATCTCGCCAATGTCTCATTCCAATGATTAAACTAAAAAAAGAATATAGGAACCAAATAAATATTTCTTTTTTTCCATTTCTTATTGGCTCGTGCTTTCCCATGAATTGAAATCAAACGTTTAAATCAGAAAAACAAGTTCAATATCCCGTTCCATCCACTTTCACCACAATATTTGTGTATAAAGATGTCGAATTTTAACTTTATTTACTTTCCCAATGAAATATTTACTTCCCCGTTTTATTTTTTTACTTTTAGCAATTTTTGTCGTTTTGAGTGAGGCGAAAAATCGACATCGGTGAGGATTTCGATAGGGTGTCTCAAAATTATCCCAGCTTTTTGAAAAGCTAGTTGTTGCAGGCAATTTATTCAAAAGTGTTAACTGTTATATAGTGAATTGTAGCCCTTAATCTTGCCTACATTTATCTACTAAAAACTTCCCAATCGGATTGATGCAACTCATTTAACAAGTCCTTGAATGCGCACTTATCGAATCGATACCTATCCGGCTGTCAGCTTGATTTTGGTTATAACAGGTTAGCCCAAAACAGTTGAAAGTTTAATTTATGTTGTTAAATGATAGTTTTACATTAAATAAATATTGAAAAAAAACTTTTTCGAACAATTTTTTATGTAGAAAATCGTCAAAAATGGCAGCGCGCCGAATAGGGGATTAGTGCTCATTCAAGGACTTGTTAAATAAGCTGTATACATCTGATTGTGAAGTCTTTAGTAGATAAATGTAGCCAAGATTAAGGGCTACAATTCTATATATAACAATTGATACTTTGAAATAAATCAAGTAGCAACTACCTTGCCAAAAAGTTGTCCGGGGAATTTTGAGGCACCCTGTAGATACAAGAAGCTAGATAGCCTCCAGTTTCTTTTTAAAAGCAAAATTTGACAAACCTACAATGTCATTTAGGAGATATTTATTGAATTCTCAACTCTAGGCGTTGTTTTTATATCGTTTTTTCAACTCGAAAGATCTCTTTCAGCCGAAGCAGCAGCAGCAGCTGGTCACATGAATGGAAACGACCAAGATGGAATAATTACTACCAATCGTATCCATATTATCAATCATATCCCTATTATTCCTCATATTCTTCCTACTATCCACAACAATCATGGGGATGAGGCAAGAAATGAGTCTGATCAAGTAAAATTTCCTTGTTTGATCAACAAGTTTTTCATCGATCATAAAATGACAATAAATTTCTCATTTTTTGGTTCGCTGCTTGTTTCTAAAAAGATCGAAAAGGAGAAAAGTTATCAAAAAATTGAAAATCTTATCATTTTCATGTACAAATCAGTAGTATGTAAAGAGTTGTTTCTGGCGCACCTTTTTGCCCAAATGACGTTTTTGCAGATTTTCAGCCATTTAAAGACATTTTTGAAGTGAAAACATGTCTTAATTTTCTCAAAATGTGTCATTTTTGAAAAATGACCAAAAAATGACTGGCGCAGCTGTTGTCCATTTTGCCCAGTACCCCCTTTTTTTCAAATTTCAGCTTTTCAACATTTTCAAATAAAAATAACCTTAATAAATGACTACTCTGAAGAAAGACCTGAAACCATTGACCAAAATCAACCTCGAAGAATTAGTAGAAGTGCTGGGAATCAAGAATTTCAGAGGAATCTTTATGAGAGACACTTTGCCAGATAAGATACTATCAAGAGAAGTAGGTATTGTAAATTTAGACTCGATTAGCTGATTCCGATCAGAGTTTAAAATTGTCACAAAATGATAATAAAAATATAGAAAAAAATGAGAATAGTCAAACTACAATTAAAAGACCAAATACTTATAAAAAGAAAAATAAATCAACCAAAGAGAACCAAGAATTTCTAAATGGAATAATTACTGGTTCTGGATTTAAAACTATTTCAAAGCAATAAATTTATATCTCTTTTAAATTGAATTCTATAAAAATATTTATATTATCATATTTAATCAAATTATTTTTATCATCTACAAGTCTAATATTAATTTTTTTTTTATTTCATTAATTACTTTATGATATATTAATTGTTTTGGTTCAATACTAATAGCTCCAGTCTTATTTCTTATTCTATATAACGAGTTAATATTATTTTCATTAACATATGAATAATCTATTAAATTGCAATTAATATAAATATTATCTGGAATATTTTTATTATTTTTTTCTTTAATCATAGTATTCACTAAATTATTATTTTCATCCATATTTGTATTATGAATTAACAATTCAGGTAATATATATATGTTGTGTCCGATTTAGATTTCCGTCCGATTTAGATTCAATCTAAATCGGACGTCCGATTTAGATTGAACTTATCGCGGACGTCCGATTTAGATTACAGTCTATATCGGACGTCCGATTTAGATTCAATCTAAATCTTATATGGATTGAACAATAATATAAACATGCTTAATATATGTTCTTAAGCGTTTTCTGTAGTTTTCTGCATTTTTCAAAGGTCTTTTATTGATTACAGTCTATATCGGACGTCCGATACAGATCGAACAATAATAAACGTGCTTAACATATGTTCTTTGAAAATTTCTTTGAAAAGCGCAGAAAATTGCAAAAAAACGCTTAAGAACATATATTAAGCACGTTTATTATTGTTCGATCTGTATCGGACGTCCGATATAGACTGTAATCTAAATCGGACGTCCGCGATAAGTTCAATCTAAATCGGACGTCCGATTTAGATTGAATCTAAATCGGACGGAAATCTAAATCGGACACAACATATATATATGCTTTATTCAATTGAATAGCGACAATACAAGATCACAATAATTACCCGGGACACCACTCAAAACACACCCAAAAGATAAATAGATACTAATGAATAGTACTCAAATGTTTTATCGTTAGAAGTTAAATGGAGATTTAAATAAACCATTTAATTAATAAAAAATTGCAATCCATATTTTAATCTTACGACAATTTATCGCTTAAATTATAAAAAAATTGTAATTTTTCTATTACTTAATTTTAAAAAAGTCATAAATTATATTGTTTTCATGAAAGAATTTATTTATATATTTTAGACATATTCAGCAAAAAAACAATACGAAGATTACTGTTTACTAAACAATGGAATTTAAAAGAGTTTGAAGATTTTCCAAATTTTTGCACAATGTATCGATGTATTCGTTCAGTTGGTCGGTGGGACTAAACCGCAATTGCCGCTTCTTGAAGCCAATTTCTAGGCTTTTAAGGAGGACTTTAGTTGGATCGAGTTGTTCACGAGCCAATTCGATCTTGCTTGAGAGATCCCACTTATCCAAATACACCTTTGCGATCTTTAACCAGGAGTTGTCGTCGTGTTGATTTTTCATAGCAGAATATTCTTTTTTCCATCCTTTATGTGGAAAAGTTGTGATCATTTCGCTTTTGATATCTGGATAAATCTTAAAATCGTTTGTCGGGGCAAAGTCAACAATTGCGGCGTGCTTCGTCCCTTTCCACCTTCCTAAAATCAATTATATTTATAGTTTTTCAGACTCTGAAACAAACCGCAGTTTTCTTCATGTAGATCAGAAATGAATAGAAGCACTCTAAGCATAACCAATTGAACAACGACATCCGCGCAAAGGCTATTCTCATCAATAACGTTTTCAAGAAGCTCAAATTTGTCGTCCCATTGAGTAGCAATGTACCTAAAAAATGCAAAGATGTATATGTCTCTTCCTAAACTCGTTACTAATATGTATACGCAAAGCTGTAAAATCCTTACGTGCTTGTTTTGGTTCCAGTCGACATGCTAGGAGGAATAATATGAGATTTGGGACCGACACCGATTAATGCTAATAATTTATAGCAATAGAATTCGGAGACGTCCGGCACCTGGACTGAGCTTGTGCCTTTTGGGCCATAATGGTGGCATCTAAACATTACAGAAATGTTTTCTGTTTTTATGTATTTGATTCATATCGTCACATCAATATTGATGTAGATAAAAATAAATAAAATAAAAAAAACAGAAATGGATCTTGAATGAATGAATAGAAAACATACTTAACGTTGTACTTTGAAACCGAACCTTCCCCATGAATCCGGACAAACGCAAGTGTGTTCGTTGACCTGCCTCCTAACTCCGCGTCTCGTTCTTCGAAATAACAAGTGAATTCGGAATCTTCATTTCCCCTGTTTTGATCATGAAGATTGTGGAAGTACTGCTCCGTCGCTTTACAAATTAAATTTACGTCGCCATCGGTCCAAGAAGCGACTTTAGAATGTTTCTGTCTTCGAAAGTTATTGAATTGGGCGTAGACATTGAAGAATCCACTTTTGGTTAAACGTTCGTGATGTTGGACAGCTTCTTTTGCAATTGCAACTTTGTTCGAGCACTGCTTCAACACTAACTCAACACATTCTTTGTACTCAATCCACCATGGAAGATCTGCATGTTTCTGAAAATAAACAAATAACTTGAGAGCAATTTTACAGAATTCACTAGCTGTATAATAATTGTTTAACACAATTTTGAATCTCAAAAATTTTTAAATTTATACTCTACTATATCTATATCCAATAAAAAATATAATAAAAATTTGAAAACTTATCACAATCACTTTTCCGCCATGCTTAAAATAACTTTTCTGTTGAAAGTGTTAACGAACTTATGGGCCACCCTAATAGTTAGACCATTGTGAAAGTAAAGAGTGCTTCTAAAACACAATTTTTAAGCCTATAAGATCTTAACAAACTTAAACGCTAATAAAAAACCTTAAATTCCACACAAATAAACTTATACATCCTAACAATAAACAGTAAATTCTAAATATAAAAATTCAACTTACCACAACAAGTTCTTCGCCAAATTTAATAGTTTGAAGAGGACGCTCGACAACGGGTAGTTTTTCACCACGGAATTGGACTTGTTGAAAATCGGCAGGAATATTCGTCACAGTCTCAATCCGCTTCTTCAGGTCAACATACAGAATCTGAAAATATAAAATAAGTCAATTAGAATAAATTATCAAAGTAAAACCTGATTATCCGCTTCAATGCCTTCGAATAAACGATCTTCTTGTTCTCCAACCAAACGAATAATAATCGCGACCATGTCTAAAACCAAAGAATTAATGAAATAAGTAAATTGAATAAATAAAACAGTTTTAATACTAAGTCGTCGATGTGAGGATTTTGGATGAAAATATGTTTATCCAATACCATCTCAATATACCGTATTTACTCTATTAGTGAGGTCCCCCACTATTTTTTCAATCCACTTCCAGACGACCCCACTATTAGAGAAATTTAAAAGAACATAAAACCAAAGTTTTAAATTGAAAAGATATCAATTTTTCTCCGAAATTCCAGAGATCCAGAGACAACAATGGCCTAAGTAGGTATACGGTAGCGTTTTATGGAGCGCGCACTTTAGAAAACTGATTTTCACTAATCGATTCCACTGTTTTTTTTTCAACCCCCCTCCAAACGACCCCACTATTAGAGAGGACCCCACTAATAGAGTAAATACAGTAAGTACAAAAATAAGCTTGACTTTTCGGAAAACTTGGCTAGCTAAAATGCTTTTGAAAAACTGAGACATTACGCCAGACAATAAGATACGGAAAAGTTGTTAACAAACTCAAAGTTAAGGAGAAAATAACAATGATAATCACGGATGGGAAATCACGAAATCAACGCGAACTACAGAAGAAAAGGAAGTCTCTTTTCTATTCACAAAAGTTAATGGAAGAATGCGATGTTGGCAGTTTCTCGCCTTCCTCTGCGTCTCTGCTCACAGATGCGTCACTCTCATCACCCTTCCACTCTAGCCCAACGCGTTTGCGTGTCGGTGTGCGCCTAGTTTAACTGGAGCAAATGTGTGATTGTGCTCGGTCACAGTGAGGAAGAGAAAAGAAGGTCTAACAAAGAGAAAGCGGTCACACCTAAACATCGAGAAATTGTCAGGGCGAAGGCGTTTCAAGAGTTGTTGATAAATAAAAGAGAGAAGAGAAGGACGAAGTGTCTTATTTGAGAACGATTTTCGTCTCAGAATTTCTTCAGTTTTGCTTCATTTTCTCGCATAAATTATCTCATTATCGCTTATAACTTGCTTCAAAGTTGCTTCAAAGACTTCAAATTTAAAATTAGATCTTTTCAGACAAGTCCTATTCTCATAATGAGTATAGCTTTACCGGTATTTATAAAATATAACTATACTGATACCTGTAATTGTTAGGGTATTGAGCTACGACCGATCGTCATCGATGATCTCAGAGAATGACATGCACTGACATCAAGTGCATACATTCTCTACAATATTGTCAGTGATAACAATCGTATATATAAACCCTTGTATCTCTGAATAAACACTTTTGAACCTCTGCTGTAGCCTTTAACTGTAATAATATATACAGTGGTCCACAAAAGTATTGTCCCATTTCCATCCAAAAGTTTCTTTCGTACGAAAATCTTGCAAAAAAACGATATTCCCAAAAAGTGTAGGGTATTTTGCTTACCCATAATACTCTACTTTTTCAGATTATAAGATTTATCCATATAAATTGCATAAAAATTAAAGTATAAAACAAAAACAATAAGTTACTCAACAAATAGCTCCACAAAAGTAATGCCCCATTTGCAAAGAATTAACAATTTTTTCAAAAAATTAGTATTTGGTTGGTCCTCCTTTTGCTTTTATCGCTTCATTGAGTCGATCCGGCATGGAATCCACCAGATTTTTCAAAAGACTTGGGATGATGGTGGCCCAAAGACGTTGAATGTCAACCCATAAGGCGGTCGTCGAATCGAATTTCTTTCCCTTGAGGCGCGACTTCACAAATGACCACAAATGTTCAATTGGATTGAGATCCGGTGAGTAGGGAGGTGGATTGATCAATTTAACAAGATTTGCCGCAAACCATCCGGGCAGACGAGCTCTGGTACTATTTTGAAGTGTCACCAACCGTCCCATCATCAGTCTCGCCTTGTGTTTCGGGTCGTTGTCCTGGTAAAGCATCCATCCGGAAGGCATCGTTTGATTGGCAAAGGGAAGCATTTGGGTCTCCATGATATTCTTGTAAGCCACAGCATCCATCGTCGAGTTCACGTAGACTAACGGACCTACTGAAGTTCGAGACATCGCTTCTAAAGAAAAGAATTTAGATAACAAAATACTAAAAAGGTTCTCACCCCAACACATTATGTTTCCGCCGTTGAATTTCACGATAGGCCGAATGTACTTGAGTGCGTATCGCTTTCCAGTCGGCCGCCGAATAAGATGGTTTCCATCCGCGTGAAATAAATTGATTTTTGTCTCATCGGTAAATAACACTTTCGCCCAATCACGTGTCGTCCAACTTCGGTAGGTCCGTGCAAATTCAAGGCGCTGCTTCCGGTGCTTAGAATTTTTGAGAGGTTTACGGGCAGCCCTTCTTGCATATAATCTAGCTTGATTTAATCGTCGTCTGATCGTTTCTATCATATATAACAAAGAGTTATCTGCTGTAGAAATGGAGAAAACAAATATTGTACTTGATAAACCTATTTATGTTGGTTTTGCTATTCTAGATCTGAGCAAGTGGTTGATGTATGACTTTCATTACAATGTTATGCAGAAGAAATACGGTTATGAAAATGTTCAATTGTGTTATCAAGATACAGATTCCCTTATCTATGACATAAAAACTGATGATGTCTACAAAGACACTCAAATAGATATCTCTTTTCGAAGACACTTTGATTTCAGTGATTATCCAGAAGATCATCCTTTGTATAATAATGAAAATAAAAAAGTTGTTGGAAAATTCAAAGATGAATTGAATGGAAAGATATGACTGAACTTGTAGCCCTGAAACCCAAACAATATGCTTTTAAGATTCATGATGGTGAAGAAGTTAAAAAGAGTAAAGGTGTTAAAAAGAATGTTGTCAAGAATGAGTTGAATATGGATGATTATAGAAATTGTCTCTTTGATAAAACTGTCATCAGAAAGACTTAGTATACGATTAGGAGTGTTAAACATCAAATATTCACACAATGTCAGAATAAAGTCGCTCTGAATAATGACTCTAGTAAACATAAGCGTTATATCATTAAAAATAGTCATTCCACTATGGCTTTTGGGAATTTTGATATTAAACCAGATCTTTTATCTTCAAATTAAAGATAGAATTGTACTTCTAAAGTCATTATCTTCCAGCATTTTCAAAACAAGAAGGCAATAATAACCACAGTGATGTGTATTATATTCTTGAATTTGGAATGTTGATAATATTATATCAGATTTTTTATCTTTTGCGTCATTCTCCTCCGTTGGACTCGGTCCAGGAGCAAGCTTCTTAGAAGTGCAATTTTTTAAATACTCTTGAAGTTCTAATGGAGGATCTAATCCAAAGGAGTCAAAGTAATAGCATTCTTTGTTTTTCTCAGAGTAACAAACCCAATGAGTTCCTTTACTATTTGAAGAGTCTAAATTTACAATACCTGCTTCTCTTGATAGTATCTTATCTGGCAAAGTGTCTCTCATGAAGATTCCACGGAAATTCTTGATTTCCAGTACATTTACAAGCTCTTCGAGGTCTAGGTTGGTCAAAGGCTTGAGGTCTTTTGTAAAATTCATTTATTAAGGTTATTTTTATTTGAAAATGTTGAAAAGCTGAAATTTGAAAAAAGGGGGTACTGGGCAAAATGGACAACAGCTGCGCCAGTCATTTTTTGGTCATTTTTCAAAAATGACACATTTTGAGAAAATTAAGACATGTTTTGATTAAAAATCAACAATGAAAAAAATACTATCAAACGAAAAGGAAAGAAACAAGAGAAAGCACAGGATACTTAACATACAATACAACGAAACAATAAGCCAGTTACTTACGGCAAAGAGCCACTAGATCCAAAGCATCGATATGTTTCTTGAATATGAAAAGCGACCGAATTCCTCGTATGTCATTTGGGGGCAAGTTCCATAATCAGCGGCCTAACGGGAAAGAATTTGATAAAGAGGCATGGAAGCAAAGGGAATGCAAAAGGAATGAGCCACTTCTGGGCCCTGACCGCGGTTTAAATTTGAAAAAGTCTATAAACAAAGGGCAATCTGTTTACAACGGAGGATTTGAAAGTTTCGACTAAACAATGACAAAGCGACGATGCTGTAAAGTTTTAGTTCAAAAAAGCAAGCCTCCTCATAAGTAAAGCAGAATATTTAGAATAGTCAATTTTCCATAAAGCGACTTTTGTGAACCCCTCTGAATTTTCTCCAAGCGCAATAAAGACTTGTGCGCGGGGAGACCAAACAATAGAAGCATATTCTAAGATGGGCCGGATATAAGTCGTCAAGCATTTGCGGTAAGAGTTTAGGTTAGGATGAACAATTGATTTGAGAATACGGCTAGAAACAAAAGAAGCTTTTCGACAAATGATTTCAATATGTTTAGTGAAATTAAAAGGGGAGAGAGTGGACACCTAAATCCAACAAAATCTAATTTACTAATGTAATTGATAGGAATATTGTTAATTACCAAAGAGAAACTAAATTTACCAGTGGAAAAATGTTGAGATTTTGAAGGGATAGGGAAAGCTTCCACGTTTTGGCCCACAAATTAATAAGTTCAAGTCATGGTTTGCATCTTTACAACCGCAAGCGAAGCTACTTGAGTTCCGATGGGAATTTTGAACTTAAGCAACATCATCGGCATAGAGCCAGATGGAGGAATTTTGATTTGAAAGGACAGATGAAAGGCAGGTCATTAATATAGATAGTAAACAAAAGAGGACCAAGAATACTACCCTGAGGAACCCCGCTAGGACAACAAAGGGGAGAAAGAACATTATTAGAATTACTTTGAAAGTCCGCTGAGAAAGAAAATTTTTGACGACCGAAATTACAAGTGGGCTGAGCCGGTAAGCATGCAGTTTGTGAATTAGAAGATCAATGGGAACAGAATCAAAAGCTTGCAAAACTAAGAAGACGGCTCTAGTTGGGAAATAGATTTTCTTTTGATCTAAAGCTTTGAAAAAGGACTAGGCTAAATAAGTTGGAGTTGTGGTTTATTTTTAAGGAAGCCAAACTGCTGGTCAGAAAAAAGGTTGTACTTATCAAATGTTGAAAAATTTTATCTTTTATGATAATTTGAAATAGTCAAAAAAGTGTAAAAATCGCTTTTGGGCAAAAAGGTGCGCCAGAAACAACTTTTTACATACTACTCAAATCATTGAAAAGTTGAACGAAAAAGGAATTCGAGATGGAAAAAAAATGGGAGATCAACAAAAGTACAAAAAGAGAGACCAATGGATGGTTCCACTCGATATTTAAAGAAATTTAATTGATAAAAATTTACTTGTAAACATGAGATCGAAAATTTTATTGATATTTGTGATTCTGTGTCTATTTCTGGCATTGATTGAGGCCAAAAACAGGTATCGGTGAGTTGATTCTTCCAAAACATCGGTTTTACATGTTTTTCAAGAAAAGAAAAGTACTCTTTTCCTAAAATAGTCCAATACTTACTAGCGAATGTTTTCAAGTCAAGATCGAGTTTTCATATCTGATAGAGTTTTCATCAGGGATCCTGAATCTGCCTTTAGTTTTTTCCGAAACGTTTCTGTAAGGCGAGATGTTTGGCATATAAAATTTAGCCTTTTCGACTGATTCTGATACCCAGAGATGGGCCGTTAATTAGTATAGTAAACTTATTTAAAGCCCTAAAAAATAGTTTTTAGTAGTTAAATAAGTGGCAGTGAACGGCAGTGAAGGGATTTGAACGCAGCCACACTAACTGCGTTCCACTAGGTCATCAGAAAACATTTAAGTGATGAGAAAAGCAAAACTTTATATGCTAAATATCTCATGTTCCGGAAAAACTAAAAGCAGATTCAGAATCCCCGATGAAAACTCTATCAGATGGGTCGGAGCTCGAAACTCGATCTCAATGAAGAAACTCGGTCTTGACTTGATAACATTCCCTAGTTAGGGTTAAATCATCCTCCAATCTTAGTCATTCGATTAAAGCTTAGCCTTCAGAATTCAAAAAAACTTCTAACAAGACCGTTTGATTTTCAGTCGAAGTCACAGCCACAGTCATTCATGGTCTCACGAATACCACCACCATCATTCACATTCTGAGGAAGGCTGGTATTATCCAAACTATCAACAGCAATATTACCCTCAACAGCAATATTATCCCCAGCAACAATATTGGGGAGGAAATAATTTCGGATGGGGAAAGAGATAGTTGTTTGTAGTGAGTTGATTGTGTGGAATATAAATCAATTTCATTGCTTATAGAATTTATTTAAAAACATTGCACCAGTGTTTCATTTGAACCTGTAAGAGATCGAGTAATATGGAAACCGTAAAAAAGAACTAAATTGGAATGAGAAAAGATAATAGATTAATGGCAGAGTTGAAAAAGAAGAGAAACTACATTTTCTCACAGAGTGGAGTTCGGCTACCGTAATCTTCATTGGGTGAATGAGTTGAAGATGGAGAATTGTCAGCATTTTCCTCAATTGACTGATCTCTTGATGATTTTACTCGTTTCCTCGGGGAATCGTTTGACAAATCGACCACACCATGTTCAGGGACAATGGCCAGAGAAGTGGCATTTGAGACCTGGAATCGGATTTGGATTTGGGATGGAATTAAACAATATCGTAACTGTTTTTCTTATCTACTAGTATTGTCTGTCTGTCTGTCTACTAGCATTTTCCAATAAAAAGCTAAAAAGTCAAGGTTGAGCGGCACTATGGGGGGTCGAACCCGGATCGTATGGGCCGTAGAGAAGCGCGCGACTGCGCCAAGGGGACCGCCGTTAGGGAACCAGAACAACCCGGTATTAAGGGGTTTATCTATAAGCTTTCTTACTTCTTAATCGAATCCTAGCTCACCTTTTCCCCTCCTGTCGATAGCATATGTTGAATGGGAGCCGGTTTCCCTTCATCTCCTTCATGGATTAAGCTTGAAGAAGCGTCTGTACTATTTGGAGCATCTCGAGGCATTGCAAGATCCTGAATATTGTCTGTATTGGCTAATAAATAGACAATCTACATCAGATGCATTACTGTCATAATTTCTCATCCTTGACACCGATGTATGCCTTGTATTGGGAACAGTTGGGGGAGATCCGGGACGAGAGCTGGAATTCTATGGGTATTATGCGATTAGTTGTTCCTATTCCTATTACACTTTTCAAAACTTACGGCTTTATCCCAAGAATCGAGTTGAGACTTCCAAATTTACTCCCAAAACGACTCGCCAAATTTTGGCGACTGAAGCCAAGCATCAACCCGCCCAAACCTTGCTGATGATGGATTTTTCTGAAATTTGACGTGTATAACTTTTAATAACAAGAAATGAGTAAGAATAACTCTTTTTCAAGTCCGACCTTGACGTTTCGCTTGCTGCATCACTGTCACTGTCGTCATCTTCGTCTTTTGGTGTCTGCAATAATGTTAGATGATGAGAAAGGCAAGAGAAACTTGCGAGAGAAAGGTAACAGTAGACATAGACCATTCGACGCAGAATTTCATGCTGATTCTGAATCTGCTTTCCGTTTTGCAAAGTGGCTTTCTATAAAAAGGAATCAAAGCCGAGAAAAAAACGCAGCGCTGGTTTCGTATGCGAGCGTTGATCCACTATACCATCAAGTCATGTTTGAGATCCGTGAGAGAACCGTCATAACCGTTATAAAGCGTTATAAAGCCATCTCTATTCAGCTACAAATTTTTGCATTTTTACCCTAGAACCTAAAAGAAGTAGAACTAGAAAGCCATTTTGCAAAAACGGAAAAACGGAGCAGATTTGGTATCAGCTTGAAATTCTGCTTCGAATGATCTATGGCTTATTTCATTTGGCCACATCCTACTGTTGCCTTTATCCTGCTAGCTAAAAAGCTCGATTAGATCTTTAATCAGTGCTTTAAAAGAAAAGCTCACCTTCTGTTGATACACTCCAATCACTCCATCTTCTTCACTTATTGGAGGCATCGTTTCAGCAGCTTCCCATTGAGCGGCTCGCTCAGGAATGCTAGATAAAAAGAAAATTAGAAATATTTTTAACACTTGTGATAGGTTTAGCAATTCCTTTTCGATTTCTAACTCACTTCATTGCTGTCGTCGATCCGACGAATGGCTGTGATCTGAATTGAACTGATCCTTCTGTATAGGGAAGAGTTGGCTCTGCTTCATCCCAGAAGGCATCTCTTGATAAAATGGGAACTCTTTTGTGAAGAGTATCCACAATCTGATAAGCGACAATGATGTTTCGATCAATAATCCCTGAATGAATTGCTTTTTGGTAGCCTTATCGATTTGTTAGCCTTTGTTAGACTTTGTTAGACTTTGTTAGACTTTGTTAGACTTACAGTTCACATCAAAGTCATCATCGTCTTCTCCAAATGGACAAATCATTGACTCAGCCACTTTCAGCCAACCGACAAAGAAGAAAAATTGAAAGATTGTGAATAATGGACAGTAGTAATTGACAGACAAAGATGAGGTTTCCTGAATGGATTTCATTGATTCAAATGCGTTGATTGATTGATCCTTACCTCAATCCCAAACAAGAATTGACTTCCAAAAAGGGCAGCCACAAAGAACGTGTAAACAGCAATGGTGACCACCTGAAAATATTGAAAACACATTTTTGGCGAATGACAAACTTGAGTGTAAACAAGAGGCACTGAGATCCAGTCGTACGACCAAATCATTCCACACATTCCACGATATGCCATCAGGTCCTGAAATTCTTTCACTTCAGTAAAGGAAAAGAAAGAAAAGAAAGAAAGAAGCTCAAAGAAATTTACATCAATAAGCGTTTTCAGATGGAAATCATCATGAATCCGTCCTTCTTTCCTCGCCATCACAGCCAATTGAGTGAACCAATGAGCGGGTAACCACCTTAAAGGTTTTCGATTGGAAACCTTTATAAACTTTCATGAACATGAACTTACCATTCTCCATTTGCTGTTGATGTTCTGTCTAATTCAATTTTCTCTTCAGGTGTCATCAAACCAGCATCAACAAGATGTTCCATTGTTGGGAATCTTCGTTTGATAACTGTTGAAGTATTCTGAAGTGAGTACATTGAAAAGTTGTTTTTAAAGTTATTCCCAATTTACTGATTTACCGAAGCTGCTTCTAATTGGCTGAATCTAGCTGAAAAAAGCAATGAGCTTATATTGAGTTGATGGAAAAGTCCTTTCCGATTTTTTGGGAGAGTACCTTAAATTTGTTCAATTTTGACGTTTTATAGCTCATCCTAAAGCTGAATTCAAGACGGATCGATTGGTAAAAACCGTTTTGAGATATCTCTTTTTTAAAAGTTCGATTGTTCTTCAACAAAAAAACAAGAAAAACGAAGGAAAATCGCGAAAAGTGGCGGGAAAGGCTATTGATCTGAGGGTCGCTGGTTCGACTTCCACCGGTGACAATATTTTTCAAAAATTTTTTGCTAAGATTCTGAAAATGTGTGTCTAGGGGTTATTTTTGACGCCGATCACGAAACACATGTTTTTAGCCTAGGTTTCTGCACGGAAAACTAACGAAACGTGAAAACAGCCATTTTTTGGCTCTGTCGCCCTTTACTAAAATAGCTGTAAAAACTTTAAAAAATAGAGATATCTCAAAACGGTTTTTACCAATCGATCCGTCTTGAATTCAGCTTTAGGATGAGCTATAAAACGTCAAAATTGGACAAATTTAAGGTACTCTCCCAAAAAATCGGAAAGGACTTTTCCATCAACCCAATATATGAAAAGAAAAAAATGATCTGTAATATTTAAGACTTCAAAGATCAAGGATATTCTTCTGTTTTGTCATGGAGAACAAACCCAATAGTTTAGCAAACCTGAAACGTGAAGAGACTCAACAAATTGAGATATCTAGCCATCGATCTTCTGATCATTCTTCCTCTCTCATCTGTTCCGTGAACATAAGCCGAAATTTCCATTGAAATTCTGTAAATATATTTGATCTTGATAACATCAATCAGTATCCATTAGACTTGCCATCTGATGGATCGAATCCGGATTATATTAGATTAGATATTAGAAATTCGGATTACATCGGGCCGGATTGCCCCAAATGATGATCCGATTCGATTCGATCCGACAGAATTTTGATTGGATCCAGTTCAATCCCATTTGATCGGTTCCAGTTCAATCCCATTAAATTCCCCATTTACCTATCAGGCCATGGAATATTCATGTATTGTTGCCACCATCTTCCCATCACAAGTGTCACATAGAAACCGAGAACAAAAGTGATCATCACTGTCGAGCTCATCTCGCGACAGTATAAAGCAAATGCTTCGAATTTTCTGAAACAAAATGACATTTGCATGTTATCCATTTCAATTTCGAATCGATTTCCTCTTATCAATTCCTTGCACTCACTTTCTGGAGTCTTCATCAAGTACAACTCGATAAATCAACATCAATGCATAATAGGCTATCAAGAAAACCAACATTTCTCTAAAAACAATCCTTATTTCTTTTATAAATTTTTTTTCAAACCTGTAGATTAATCGATATATTGATCCTTTCCATCGAGCGAGTAATTTGGGAAATCCCCAGAATTTCGCTTTGCTCACCTCTAATGTATAGGTGACGGTCATCTAAATTTAAGAATAGAGAAAGATATTATGAAAGTTGAAGATAAAATCATTGAAAAAAGATTTAGGTATGTTGCCATTTCTTCAAATCAAAAAAATCAAAATTAAATGAGATCTATTCAAATAGAATCAAAGCGTTATTGAAGTATTCACTGTTTTCCTTTATCGATTCTTATTTTCCCATGTCTCTTCCTTCAATTTAAAGAAATTCGACATCTGGGTGGCCTCTCCTTTTCTCTTTTCCACCTAAAAAGCCATTGTGCTCGATTTTCGGATAAAAGAAATTCTTTTTCTTTCGAGCTTTTTCGTTTCCAAGAAACCGCTGATTTTGGGGTAAATGAAGCAAAAAAAAGGTCAACAAGTTAAATGAAAACTTTGAAATCTATGAAGAAAGTTTGACTTCATTACCAGACTGCTTTAGATCAATATGATTGCTGGCTTTAGCTCAATATGAACCAATGTTTTGTTGAATCGTGATGAAAGGCTTTAGATCAATAAATTTCAACAAAACATTGGCTCATATTGATCTAAAGCCAGCAATTATATTGATCTAAATGATCGTGATGAAAGGCTTTAGATCAATATGAGCCAACGTCAATCGTGATGAAAGGTCATTAAGATGTGAGTCATTGCTTAAGATTTTGCACTCCCGTGAACCTCATTTCCCCAAAATTACTTCCGGCCATGTAGAGTAAATAAAATCCAGGAAATATTGGTTTTAAGACAAGCTGTGTTTTGCAAAGCAAAGCAATAGCTAGCCGTATTATTATGGATTGGACTTATGGTATTATTATGGATTGGACTAGCCGTATTATTATGGATGAACTGAAAAGCTTTTGGGAAAGCTTTTTAAGGAAAATTTAACAAAACATGATTGGTAAAGATCAGTTTTTAGCTAGATTTAAAAAAAAATCAAAATCCCTAAAAGGAAAAGATCCGAAAAAACGTAAAGTTTCCCCACTCAATTTCATTCAAAAGGGAATATTATGGACAGACAACTAGGCAAATCGAGGGCCAAAAAGAGAAAAAGATCAATGGGAAAAGCTAGAAAACAGGAAAAGAACAAAAAGATGTAAAAAAAAAGAAAGAATTTCTAATCGATTTGCTGCGACCGGAGTGTGAGATGAGAAAGTGTACGCAGATGGGAGAATAAAGGAGAGATTTCGGATTGAAATAGACTCACAATCAACAGAATTAGTGATGATTTTGAGGAAAACAATATTTAGATGATTGGCTTGGTTTGAAAGCTGTTTTCTTTGGTTTTGTTCTTTTTGCTGATCAAATATTTCTGTTAAATACAATTGAAAAAACACTTTCGCACTTTCGCGCGTCTATAACTCCCTTGTCTTTACCGTATTTCTAAATATTAATATTACCATTGTGTAGCCCTTGAAAAGAGCTTTCAGAAAATGTATAACACTAATAGTTTAAACTCAAAGACAAGGGAGTTACAGACGCGCGAAAGTGATATTTTCTTTTTTCAAATATGATATTTCATTGTCCAGTACTGTAGCTTCTCCTTTGCATTGCTTGCTGATCAAATATTTCTGTCAAATATGTCCAAAAAAGAGTTATCGTACAGATTTCCAATACTGACTCTCATGAAAATGTTAAATTTATGATTTCAATTTGAAAAGTATTATTTGAGATGTAAAAGATAAGGAGTTTTGAGCAAATATTTTATTCCAGAAATAAACAAATGACGGAAAGCCGTTGAATATGTGCAAATGAAGGAAAGCCATTGAAGATGTGCCAATGACGGAAAGCCAACAAAGTCATCAACAAAGTCATCAACAAAGTCATCAACAAAGTCATCAACAAAGTCATCAACAAAGTCATTTAGATTTTCAGGAATTAAATGATTTGGTGCTTTAGTTGGCCTAAGGCTTAGAGGTATCTTTGGGGTTCGAAAATCTTCAAGAAAAGAATGGGTGAGATTCGAAACGTCTAATTTTAGCTTTCTACTTTGCAACTCTTTTTATCTAGTGTCTTTACTAGACTTGTAACAAGAACACCTGTCAATCCCCTTTGCCGTTAAGGTTTGTCGTGTTTTTCTCAGCACCAACCCTTCGATTGTGACTATTTTGATTATCATTGGATACAGAATGAAATTGCGAGTCGAATGAAACCAAAATCAACTCGAAATATAATATCTATGCAAAGTTGTTGGCTAAAAACCTAAACTCAGCCCATTATGGGCGGGACTTAACTTTTTGCCTCATAACTTTGCACAAATATTAGATTTTGAGTTGATTTTGGTTTCATTCGACTCGCAATTTCATTCTGTATCCAATGATAGTTAAAATAGTTAAAATCGAAGGGTTGGTGCTGAGAAAAACAAGAAAAAACTTAAATTGCTAACGATAAAAGGGATTGACAGATGTTTTCGTTATAAGTTTAATCTGGGCTAAAGATACAAGATTCACTGTTCAAATCTGAATCAGAAAGTGATGGTCATTTGATTTGTATTTAGATTTTAGACTTGTAGAAAGGATGAAATCTGAACTGAAGTGTGGACTAGCTCGAATTTTTCGAAATTGGGAAAAAGCCAGACACTTTCGGGAAAGGGACCCGGTTGGCTAGGGAATTGGCTAAAGTGTGAAAAGAGGAGAAGATAGAAGAAATCCGAGGGGAGGAGGTAAACAGCTTTTGAACTTGTCTGCATCTCAAAAGGAGGCTTTAGTTTTAGTTTTTATTAGGCTTTCCAGAAAGTCCTTTCGTTATTTTGCAAAAAAATAATTGACCTTTCTAATGAAACAAATCGTAATTCAATTGGTGCATTTGTTGGTTTTAAATCGAAGTAGGAATGGGAACGGAAAGACTTTTTGGACAGCTTAATATTGGGTTGGTGAATTGAAAACTGCGGGATACCTGCGGGATTTGTCATATGTGACAGTTTGAGGACTTTCTTCAAAAGAAACCCATTTTAGTGTCAATGGAAAAGTTGTAGAGAATCAAAAATCAAGCTAATAATGGAAATTATTTGGAATTGTTGGATTGGAATTGATGGTTTTATGTTGAATAATTTTTAGTTCAAAGTCCGGCAGTTTTCAATTGACGAACCCAATAGTTCTCCCAGTCAGAAGACGTTGGAATCAAAGTCTATCAAAAGCACAAAATGAATAACAAATAATACAATAGAAGCTTCTATTTATTTGTTAAATTTGAAAATAACAACAAGAGATATTTCCAGACACGACACGTCCTAAAAGGGCCAATTTTTGAATGATTGAATGATGGTTGAATGAAGGGGAAAAGCTAGATGAACTCTTCTCTTTTCTTTTCTCTGACTCTTTTCTCTAACTCTTTTTCCAATCTCTTTTCCTTTGAACATTCACTTCTCGTAAACATGTCCATCTAGCAACAACCACTTCTCTTTTCTCCCTTTCAGAATCTTCTATTACGAAAGAACAAATACGAAATGAATGGCCAAATGGACAGCTTTAGAAACATTTTTAACCAATGTTGAGCAATAAAATTGGTTGATCTTTGAAACATTCTGAGAAAGAGTAGATCTTTTAAAAGACAGCTTTTAAAAGACTGTAATCTTTTTAGCATATTTCAATAGTTTATTAAGTTTTTTGTTTTCCTTATTAAATATCAATCAATTGCACAAATTGCAAGCATTCGGGCAATATTGTTTTCGCGTATCAGCGGTGTAGGCTGACGATGTACAGAAGCCGTTTTGCACCCAAGCAGAGCAGCTATAATTGGATTTTATCTGAGGCTCACTGTATAAAGCTTACCTAGCATTATCAGTGCAAGTTTTTACAGCAACATCGCAAAGATTGCAGCTATTCGGGCAGTAGGACCTCTTTTGTTCCATCGTGTAGGATGTTGAGGTGCAGAAGCTGTTCTTGGCCCAAGTAGGACAGCTAAAGTTTAGCGTATGATTTAGAGATGTCGATTTTCAAAGATTGGCAACGATTGGCAATGCACAAAATTTAATTCCAGTAAATCAAAAATCTAATTGCAACAAGTTTTAGTGTGAATTCCAGATAAGCTTAAAGCAAAATATTTTTTTTTAAATCGGTCGCTTTAAAAAGGAGCTAGACTCTCGACAAGGTTCTGCAGTCATAAATCAACAAGAACAATAAGCAACCAATTTGTAAAGTATACTTTTATTTAAAAAGAAAACAAATAGCAGATTGTTATGCAATTTTTGGTTAAAACGCTTGATTTATGACTGCAGAACCTTGTCGAGAGTCTAGCTCCTTTTTGAAGGAACCGATTTAAAAAATATTTTGCTTTAAGCTTATCTGGAATGCACACTAAAACTTGTTGCAATTAGATTTTTGATTTACTGAAAGAATTTTTGTGGCCGACTTGTGCAATGATTGTACGTCCGATCTCCAATATTAAGGTGATCAACAAACTTTGCATCTTCAGTGCACGTTGAGGTAGATTTAGGAGTGGTGGCAGAGCTTGGTGGTTGGGTTTGTGATTCGGGATTGGTCGTATCATCGTATGTAGCTTTCGTGAAGGGAATTTGACTCATTTGAACAGTTGCCGCGGTAGATGCGGGTACTAAATGATGAAATTGATCATTTATTTGATGATGATAATACATCATCAAATCACAAACTAGACACGGGCACTATAAACTACAAAAGTGACGAACTATCACACTACAAACGCTTCTAACTTGTTGCAAATCTGCCGAATTGATCTATAGCTCAAGAAATAGAGAATCTCAAGAGCTTTCGAATGGATCAAAGCACACTCAAACATATCAATGCTTAAGAAAGTTACAATGGTGAGAATCTCAAGCCTAAGCCTAAGCCTGAGCCTGAGCCTAAGCCTAAGCCTGAGCCTGAGCCTAAACCTAAGCCTAAAGCCTAAGCCTAAGCCTGGTTTGTAGCCTAACTCGATCACTTCAACTAGTACTGTTTCGTTTCGTTGTCTGTTTCGAGTGAGGACTACAAACCACTGTAACTTTCTTTAGTATTCTTATTTTTGCCTGTGCTTTAGTTCATTCAAAAGCTCTTGAGATTCTCTATTTTTTGAGCTATAGATCATGTCAATTCGGCAGCTTTTAAACAAGTTAGAAGCGTTTGTAGTGGCCTTGTCTATCACAAACCATATCTGTACGTGAACGTGTACGAGCTTTGACTGTATCGATTTGAGATAATCACGGGCACAATATTTCCCTCAGAAATAATCTTTGTATTTACATCATCCGCGCAACAATATCTATGAGTTTCATTTAAAATTCGAAAGCTTTCCTTTTCTTACCTCATTCCAGTGTATCGATGATCTTTAAGTGCTTTCACTTCGATACTTTTATAAATACAACCACCATTGCATTGAATACCAGTGATCTTTGTGAGAACAATCTCAATTTTGTTTCCAGCTGGAGCCTAAAGATGCTTTTTTTACAACAAATTGGTTAACAAGTTGTGTTTAAACCTTAATGATGTAATTGCAAGTCTCGAAAGTCGGATACTCGGTGAATCCGGATCCTCCAATTGAAATCTCTTGTGTTTGGACATTAGATGTAGCTGTCAACATGGCACCACAACCGGATGCCTAAAATTGAAGGATTACTTTCTGAAGACTGTACTTTCTGTAGACTTACTCTTTCAGCACAAGTTGCACCACCATATCCACTTGGGCAAATACAAGAGTTACAATTTCTCGAGTTTCTGAATCCTCCATTCAAGCAAGTGGCCCCAGAAGTGCATTTCTCTGAAACAATTCGATACAAATCATTTCTTATTTGAAATAAATACAAACGTTTGCATTGATAGTGTTCATTCATCATCGAAATATCGTAGAATGAAATACTTTGAGATCCCATTGTGTCTTGATACACTGGAAGCTAAAATTGGTCACAATTTACAATAAAATATCCCTTCAAACCTTAGAAATCATTGTTTTGTCTCCATTTTGTGTGAAGCTAGTGTCTGAATATTGCATGATACTACCGTAATCATAAGGCATATTGTAGTTATTGTTTGTTGAGGTTGTCTCCTAAATAAAACTAAATAATCCTGCAGTAGCTCTTTTCAAACCTTATCGTATGCATAAACATAAGCTGGTTGTACTTTTGCCGTATCAATTGTGATTGCCGTGTCTCTGTCATATCTGTTTTGCTCGTGGAAAAATCCCAGAGCATGGCCGATCTCGTGGGCAGCTTGACGGAACTGAAAAGTAACGATTAAATCTGATAAACACATCATCTGATCTACCGTATTTCCCCTAAGTTTCGTCTAAATTGCTCAAAATCTCGAAAAGCCCTTATCAGAACCTATCAATGTGGGGTGGGAAAATGTAGCTGACGATGAGATCTTGTGGGGGATTAGAGTGCTGAGTTTCTGTGAAAACTTGGAAACCGTAAAATAGTCATCAATTCGGCTCAGCGGGGAAAATACGGTATGAATCAAACGTCCGAAACTGAACCAAAATTTTCGTTCCGTTTCGAACGTTCTGTTCGGACGCTCTCTTCGGAACAGGACGCTTATTCCGTTTTGAACGTAACATATGCCTACGTAGATTGTTTTACAACTTCAAAACTCACATATTGACATCCATCTCCCAATGAAAGATCCTGTACTCCTCCAATCATTCCCACATATGAATAACAACCCGATCCTTTGAAAAAACGAACACGATTGCTGAAATTCAATTATTACAAAGAAATCTATCAAAAACCAACGGATTCGTCTGGCTTTCAACGAAATTGATGCAAGTTGAGTTTTGCCAGAAAGCGATCGCGACTTGAGAGATGCTCTTGGCAGCATCGGTGAGTGATGGATCAAAGTAGTAGTAGAAAGTTGATCCCCAGAGATTGCGTGGGTATTGGCTAGTGTAATAAGCCTGAAGTTTGCTGGGTTACGGTTACGGTTTTGCTGGGTTTAGCCTTCGAAGTAGACTTGCTATCCGATCGAAATTCTGTAGAAATCTATCGATCAGATTCAATCCGATAGATCGGATCGGATCAGATCGGCTCATCATCTGAGGCAACCCGGTCCGATGCAATCCGAATTTGATTCATCGGATAACAAGTCTACTTCAAAGTCTCACTGCTTATAGAGAAAACCCATCACCTGTCTCTTTTTTCTCGTCTCAACTTCGGTGTCATCATCATCGACAAAATCGCCGAGCATTACGTCGACTTGTGGACTGAAAAGATTAAAGTTTTTTAGATCTAGTTATGGGTTATATTATTTTAGTTTAGTATTTTAGATAAATGACCAAAATCTTAGTGTACTTACTCGGAGAGAACCATGTCTCCTCCATAAAGACTGTTCGCAACTCCGGCATTTTGATTGACCTAAAGATTTTATGTTCAATAGCGCTGTAATATTTAAAAATGTAATATGTAATGTAATATGCTAGTTGCCAATTCGGCAAAGCCAATTCTAAGTTCTCAAAACCATTCCACAAACCTCGTCCAAATCATCTCCTTCTTTGTGAAGCTTTGGTGAGCGAGTGTGCTTTCGGAGATGCTAAAATAAACGCTTTGAGAATCAAATAAGCTTTGATAACACTATAACATTTGATATCACAATTTCACTCACCGCTTTTCTCTCATTCAATTCAGCTTTTTCTTGCTCAGTCGGCTCGCTTTCATTTCCTTTTCTTTCATTCATTCGATCCAAAGCAGCCACAAAACGATCGACATTTGTACCACGAAGAGACTAAAAGGTAGCTTAGGCTAAAAGGTACCTTTTAGTCTCTTCAATCCACACTCAATTACTATTCAAACCTTTTTGAACCCATCAACTTGTTCTGATGTCATATTTCCCCAATTGTGCTTCCTTTTTTGTCCTCTATTTCTTCCATATCCTCTGCCTGTCGCTTCCACAAGGGAGCTCAAGATGAAAAGGGTGACACAAAGCTTCAGCCACATCTGAAACACAATATAGCTATGAGAATATCCAAGTAATGTAATCATCAAATTAGATTTTAGTAAAACTTTTATTGAATTACCAAAGTCAAGCATCCATAAGGCTTTAAAAAACTTCTAAATCCTATGAAAGCAAACTGTATTGCATAGCAAACTTTCAAAAACTTCTAAAACTCCGGTGTTATTTCGATGAGCCTCCTTGCCGGGCTTAAATCCTCGAATGTCCACCCACGAGTGTACGCAAATTCTTTGCTGATCGCTCTTTTTTTTGGAAATCATTGCCCATTTAATGTATGCACAGCTTTTCACAACCCCGCTCATCTTTCTCTCTAAATAACTCATTCCTTTTCCATTAAATTTTGAAAGGCTGATTATGAACTGTGAATTCTTTGATGTGCAAACAGGTTTAGCTTCATTATGTTTTAGTTTTAGCTACAAATTCTTTTCAGTGAACGACAAAAATGTACCATTTTTTGTTTGCCATTTTCAGCAGCAGTTAGAAAATTTCTCTGCAACATAGACTCAAATTTTATAAAACTCTATTTTCGCAATTGTACACGACTTTGGAATTTTTGACTGTAGAGGCCCAGAATGATGCTTACTGCCTACACTAATAGTTTGAGGATTTTTCGAGATTCCGCCGTTTTAAACTTTCTTGTCTTTGTCTTGAGGATTTCTGTTATTAATTAGCACTTCCTTATTGCAGCGGTCGATTGAAAAAGTTCACTCAATGTATGAATGAGATGTGTATGATGTATGAATGAGATTTCTTTTAGAGACTCGCTAGGTTATAATTATGAATGCGCTTAGAGCAAAAATATGCCGGTAAAACAACATTAAGATGCGTTCTGTACCCCTCAAATTCTAATTAGTAAGACACTAGTCATTTTGAGAGAGAAAGAAGTATCAAAGCAAGACTGCAAAATGCAAATGTTTCTTTTATTTAAGTTTTTGATCACGCTTGAACATACAATTTGGCTCTGTTTGAGTAGCTACTGGTGTCGATCATCTTCATTTTTCTTTTTTAGGATGAAGGTTCTACAAAGTTCGACGAGTATCAATCGAGAAGAAAGCGATCGCCGATTTTAACAACCGAAGAATACAGAGATCATCAAGAAGCTCAACGATTTGACGGCTGAGAAAGGGAATCGAAAGAAAACGGCTGAAGAAACTGAGTGGACACCGAGAATAAATTTTTATTTGTTAAATTTTCAATTTATTTAAACTTTAGTCTAACAAGGAATCAATTTGAGCCTGCCAACAATAACTTCCCCGTCGCCAAAGATGTGCCTCAAAAAGAAACGACATTTCGATCAGCTGTTGGGACAGAATCGCTAACGGAGTCTTTAGGCTAGTTACTTTAACTTTTAATAAGCCTTTAAGCCATAAGCACTGTAGCTATACAAGTGGATGCAAAAACGAACGCTTTGTTTGCCTCAAAGCCGGTCTCCTGTGCAATAATCGATGTTACAACAGCAATGCGTGCTCGAACAAATGACTTCGATTTTCATTTACTTTTATTTTTCGATGTAATTGTTGTTTTTGTTAATTTCTTTGTTAATATAAAGGCTTTTGCGATAAATTTGGTAAAAAATAAGTACTTAATTAAAAGATATACATTCAAGAATTTAAATTTCAAGGGAAATCGGCTACGACATATAAATCTGTGTCTTGATGAATTCAACTAACTGCTTGTTATGTTTATCAAATGTAATTTCAAGAAAAACTCTCTTCAGCAGAATTTATTTTCATTTCGCACGTTTCAAATTTGTGTAGTGGAGAATGAGGGAGGACGAGGAGTGGTAACAGCTCGAGGGACATTTGGTGAATTGCTCCCAAACACTGGTGGACGGGTTGATCCTTGATAATTGAAAGTGTTTGTTTGATATGGACCAGTGTAGATTGGATAATTTTGAGTGCTCCAGCCTTGATACTGTCCTGTGTAGAATGGATAGTTTGGAGTAGATCCTCCTTGATATCCTCCTGTTGGATAGTACCATCCACTTGTGTAGGGATTATACCTAGAATGAAGCTGTTTATTTTGGATAATATCTTGCAATTGCTAAGCACGAAATTTATCTTTTACAACAAACCATTGCTGAGTACTCTGTCCTTGCCATGGATTGTAATACCATGAGCTTGTTTGCCTATTGTATTGAGGGGTGGTTGTACGAGAGAATTCGCAGTTAAAGCATGTGTTCAAACAATATTTTGCCTTATCTTCTTCAGCGTAAATTGGTGAAGAACAGAAGCCATTCGAAGCATAAAGAGGACAACTAAAGTATTGCATTGAAATTGATGAGAAATGACTTTGAAGAAATGATAGAGCTATAAATCAAATCCGAAACTTACTTCGGATCAAGATCCACACAACTCTGAAAAGGAAAATCAAATTTTGAAAGATCAACTTCCACTTACGGGTCGGCAATAGCCGCATGTTTTCGAACAAAATCGTTTTTTTTGCTCTTCTGAATACAATGTCATGTTACAGAAACCATTCTGCTCATACAAGGCACAACTGAAAGATTTGAATTGGATTTTTTTGGTTGATTATGCTGAGAATATGTTGAGCAGATATTTTATTTTACTTCGGATCAGCGTCTGTGCAATTTGGGCTAGAAGTGACCGGTGGTGGAGTTGTAGTTGGCGGAGCCTGACTTATTGAAATAAGTGAACTATTAGGTTGAAAGTCTTTTCGTTCCTTTTTGCACTTCCATTTAAAGCCAACAAAGGCATCAATTAAACTACGGTTTGTTTCATTAGAAAGGCCAAATATCTTTCTGCAAAATAACATTAAAACAGGTTTAAAATGTCGTATGTTTGGAGTCTGAAGTCTGGAGAACGATAAAAGAATTAGCTGTTAACGATAAATGGCTTTTCTGATTGAAAAGCTTTTATCGTTAATAGTTGTTTTATAAACCTTTTCTCTACCTTTTCTCTACAAATTTGGTTCCTTTTCTCTACGTGATTAAAAAAAACAACTCACGAGATAGCAAGTATCACAATAGCAGGATGTTCCAACTGGACATCCACTTGGGCCTGGACCAAAGCAAGCTAAAATTTGAAAGTTTTAAATTACCTTAGGTTTTTTGAAAGCAAGGATTTAATTACCAAAGCAAGGTAGTTTCAAAATGCTCAAACTCACGTCCCAGAGCTGTTCCGGAATCGGGTGGAGGAGTGCATTGAGCTAGGGCCAGCTAAAAGTCATTGATGAAACATTGATGTTCATGTTTTGGTTAATCAATAAACTAACTCAGTTGATGCAAGTGACAGGAAAAGAAACTAGATTCCTTAATTTACTGAAAGTATCCTTTTCCCCTAGATTTACCTGGAAAATATATCCTAAAACGATGAGCTGAATCATTTTCTCAAATAATAGTAGTTTCTTTAGAGTTGCTTTTCATTTTATATTTTCCCTTTCAGGTCATTCATTTGTGGGAGTTTTCACGCGAAGGTGATGACAATGACAGCTGGGAACACTTTGCGAATTCCTGAGCGATGCCCATTTTGCCCAGTTTGGTCAGTATATCGAAGAATGGGATTTGACTTTCGTCAATATTGGACACTGTGCTTTAAGACTCAAATTCCACTCTCAGAATCCACACCCACGAATTCCCATCACGTTTCTCTTGTCTGGAATTTGGTATTAAAGTTGCAGATAGTCTGTGTGGTGGGGAATTGTTTGGAACGGGGGCTAATGTTTTTTGAACCTTGAACGAGGTACAAAAATAGTTTTTGACTTTATTTCTCTTGAAAACTGGTTGGTTTGCCAGCAGCACCGGTCCGTTTCGTATAGTTCGTATAGTGTACAGCTTGATATCAACTCAAAAGGTTCAAACTCAACCGGCTAATGCATTCAAAAGGGGATAAATGAAAAATGTTGCCACATTTTGAATTTGTATACCGTAGACATTCTTAAGTATTGACAGAAAGCTGGCAGAAAGTTCAAGGGTAGAAGCGTTTGTTCGAATCTGTACAAAATATATATTACGTCCGAACTAGAAATCCGTCCGATTCAAACTTAGATTTAGAGTGATCTAGCTTGATTCTAGATCGGAGTTTGACCTCACTTTACTCTAGATCGGACGTCCGATCAATAGATAATTAGTCAGATAGTCTGTGTGGTAATTAATCAGATACTCTAGATCGTCCGATCTATTAATTGATCGGACGTCCGATCTAGAATCAGTCTAAATTGAACGAATTTCTAGCTCAGACGTAATATATATGTTGTGTCCGATTTAGATTTCCGTCCGATTTAGATTCAATCTAAATCGATTTAGATTGAATCTAGATTTAGATTACAGCCTATATCGGACGTCCGATTTAGTCTATATCCGACGTCCGATTCAATCTAAATCTTATATAGATTGAACATTGAAATTCTCAAAAAAAAGACAATAAAATTTCTTTGAAAAGCGCAGAAAATTGCAAAAAAACGCTTATGAACATATATTAAGCACGTTTATTATTGTTCGATCTGTATCGGACGTCCGATATAGACTGTAATCAATAAAAGACCTTTGAAAAATGCAGAAAACTACAGAAAACGCTTAAGAACATATACTAAGCATGTTTATATTATTGTTCAATCTATATAAGATTTAGATTGAATCTAAATCGGACGTCCGATATAGACTGTAATCTACATCGGACGTCCGCGATAAGTTCAATCTAAATCGGAGGTCCGCGAGCAAACCAACGCCACCCCTAAATTTCAATTTTCTGCGGCTTCCGTGCCACTAACAAAAAAACTGAAAACGTAGTTAGGTTCAGGACCAAAAATAACCCTTAAATCCCAAAAATCATCGACATAGCATGAGTAGAGAAAATGTACCAGCCAAAAAACGAAAATTCACCCGGTGCAAAACCATACGCCACCCCCCAAATTTTGGTGTTATTTCATACTTTTTTTCTAGTTTAAAAGAAATCTGCCTCTGGCAAACATAAGTCCCGCCCTTTCACTTCAGATTCCTTATAAGGAGGCCTAAAGAGCTTACTTTGTCTTACTTCAACTTCAAAAAACAATGCCGAAAGCAACTCAACTCTCTGACGGGAGCAAGCTCAACTCGACCTCATGCAGCAACTTGGATTGTCAATTTCCGAGATGAGTCGTCGAACCAATCGCTCAAGAGACTGCATCAACCGTTACCTCAAAGCTCCACTCAAATATGGTACCCAAATCGCATGGTCGTCACAAGAAGCTATACAAACGGGCCGAACGCCATATCAGAAACAAAGCCTCAAACTCTACGAGATCGGCAGATGAAATCAAGCGTGATTTGCAACTTCCAGTGTCAAAGTGGACCCCGTTCTGAGAACCATCAACTTTCGCCACATCTCACACGTCAGGTGACGAAGCCAGCACCTCGCTTAACTGCATCCACAAACAGAACAGTTGCTCTTTGCTCGCGCAAACATGGCAACGACTGGAATCAGGTATTTAAACTTAGAAAACAAATTTTATTGGTTTCAGATCATCTACACAGGCGAGAAAAAGTTCAACCTGGATGGGCCTGATGGTGACACTCTTATTGGCGTGACTTGCGCAAGAATCCATTACGGTCTCAAAGCGAAACTTCGGCGGGGTTCGGTGATGTGTTGGGGCGCCTTCTCATCTCATGGAAAACTGGAAATCGTCTTTGTCACGTCTAAGATGAACTCACAAGATCGATGCACCTTCTTCCATATCTGCAAAGTCTTCCACAACACCAACTCACCCTACAGCAAGACCCCAGCATCCACGCAGCCGAGCAACCAAGTCATGGCTTCAGTCAAAACATGCCTCTTCTGGATTGGCCTGCGTGCTCCGATCTCAACCCCATTGAGAATCTGTGGGGAATGTTGCTCGTCGAGTTTATCACAATTCCACACAATACGCAAATGTTCAAGCACTCAAAGTGCCATTATCCGCGAGTGGAATGCCATTCCAAGAAGCATCATCAAAGCTAGTTGACAGAATGCCGAGTCGAATATTTGACGTGATCAGTCGCCAGGGACAAGCAACAAAATATTAGACTGTTATTGTTATAAATAAACCTTGTTATTATAAAAATTGAATAAAAATGCAACAACGACACCAAAATTTGGGGGGTGGCGTATGGTTTTGCACCGGGTGAATTTTCGTTTTTTGGCTGTTACATTTTCCCTATTCATGCTATGTCGAAGATTTTTGGGGTTTAAGGGTTATTTTTGGTCCTGAATCTAACTACGTTTTCAGTTTTTTTTGTTAGTGGCACGGAAGCCGCCGAAAATTGAAATTTAGGGGGTGGCGTATGGTTTTGCTTCGCACTGTATTTAGATTGAATCTAAATCGGACGGAAATCTAAATCGGACACAACATATATACAGGGTGACCAGAAAAAACCCGTCCTTTTTCTAGGTTCATATCTATTATTTGTAGACCAAAATGATCCATTTCTTTTAAAATTCTTTTTCTATTTTTAATTTCAACCATTTTTGAGCGTTCATAAAAAGTATCTATTGATGCTATAGTCATGAAATCTTGAACATATACAGAAAATGATGTGAATTTTCATTTTAAAAAAAGAAATTAATAGTGTTCATCTACAAATAGCAGAAATATGAGCTTAGAACGAACTAATAGGACGGGTTATTTTGGGTTACCTTGTATTGAGATCGAATTTTCGTATGAACGACAAGAAATTATTTGAATCATTTATTGAACAAGAATATTTTATATGTAAATTACAACAAAACTGATGGAATTGTGTAATTAATTTTTGCTCAATTCTTATCCAGCTGGATCAGTTGTTGTGCCAGTGGTGGCAACAGTAGAGTCAGTTGTTCCACCTGTCGTTGAATCCGTTCCTCCGCTGGTAGATCCCGTTGCTAAATTTTATTGAGGAAATCATTTTTGTTAGCTAACAGTTCTCTAGAAATTTGTTTTAAAACAAAAAATCCTTACTGCTTCCAGCGGTGGTGGCAACATTTGGACAACTTCCACAGCAGTAAGCTAGAATTTGATCTGCCGTGTAGGCTGTACTGGTGCAGAAGCCGTTTGCTACCCATGTTGCACAACTAAATATATTCAACTCTGCATAGCTTTCAAGCGAATATGAAAATTTGTTCCTGTTTCTGTTTCATTTCTTACTTCGAATTACTGTCCGCACAAGATGAGCTGCTTGTGACGGCTCCATTGCACAGATTGCCTAAATTCGTGGAAATGAAGTGGATTCGTTTGTCAAAACTGCGAAAATTTGCATACCGTAAATACTGTAATAGTACCTCACCGCCCTCGTACAGTCGCGTAGTCGCAAAAGTTTTTTTAGTATTTCAAAGCACCCGTACTTTCAAAAAATGCGTATTTGGTATCAAAAAATAGCTGAAATTCAGGACTATTTTTTGAAACCTAAGCGCATTGTAGCATAAACCAGTGTCGAGAAAAACTCGTTCAAAGCTAGACTACGCAACACTCCGCATCGTCATTATGGGGTGGGGTACTATTACAGTATTTACGGTATGTTTTTCAATTTACTCCAAGATTTGCTAATCTTCTTTAATCACTTACAAGACCCAGCGCAATAACTCGCTTTTTGTGCCGGTGTGTAGAAAGACGAAGAGCAGAAACCGTTCCTCACCCAATTTCCACAACTAAAAACATTGCTTTACCCAAATTCTTCAAAAACAAACTTGGAATTCGTGTCTGCACATCCATAAATCGAGTTGATCACTAAAATTAGACGATAAGTTAAAGATCTTTCTCGATTTTCCTAACTATTAAAGCTTAGTTGATGTCATTTAATCTTGAAATCAAATTCAACATACCCATAGCCAAGAATCCGACAGCGAAAACAATTCGATTCATCGTTTGACTGTGACTCGAAACGGGATAGAAAGTACTAATCATTTCCGAACCAAACCTTTTATACACAGAATTGACATTAAGAAAAGCTGCTCAAATTGACTGCTCAAATCTGGTAAATAAAATGTTCTTTACGTGAAAATTCCTTTTCTCATAAAACAAAGGATTCGCGGCTTTTTCTCGTCTGATCAAACTAAAATTTTTCCACCGACAGCCAGATCTTAAAGGTCAAAAAACAACATTTATTGCGAATTTGGAGAGATTTTTGAATAAAACGGAAAAGCAAAAGAGTTATCAGTCGATCCTACAACAATATTCGACATTTGCTTGGGTTTAAATCGAAATTAGGGACTTGGATTCCACATGACTTGAGGGGCATTAATCGGGACCGGACTTTAAAGAAAACGTTTTCTTGGTAACACTATGTTTTTATATTTTTATATTAGCAGTTATTATGCAAAATGGGCGAAAAAAATCTGGTTGGGGTGATTTGCCCGTAACTTGGTATTTTAGAGCCATTTGATTACCCGATTTGTCATAAGCTAGGTAGGTCACTTCACAGTGAACATCAGGAGGCTAAAAATATTTTTTTATACAAAATTTAACACTTTAACACCTAGGTAACGTGTCAGAAACGTGTCAGAAATCAGTGCCGCTTATCTTTCTCGACACGAGCGCAAATCTTTTTTTGCCCCGTAGATTCTAACGGATTCTAACTGTCGGAAAATGGATTCTAAATGTCATTTTTCATTTATCCACTTTTGAATGCATTAACAAGTTGAGTTTGAACCTTTTGAGTTGATAACAAGCTACGAAAGCTATACGAAGCTATAGCTAACAAGCTATACAAACTATACGAAACGGACCGGTGCTGCTGGCAAACCAACCAGTTGCGGAGAAAGCGCTGATGGGTTGCTGAGGGGAAAAAGCTCGAAACCGATGTCAAGCCAAATGTGCATGAGAAGAATTATACTTCTTGTGACTATTTTTCCCGCGACTTTCAGATGCAAACTTAGTAGATGGGACTGGCCAGGTTGCAAAGACAAACAAAAGTTAACATTTAGCGCATTGCGACGATACGGCCTATCGGTGGGCCATACGTGGATTTGGCGCTTTGTGAGCCGATTGGGATGAAAATTTGCAAACAGGGGTTTTCGAGGACGAGGAATTCGAATCCGTTATTAGTTTTTAAAGAAAACTGCTCTATTTTTGGATCTTTCCCGGTTTGATTTGTATAAAAGCCAAAATTTTTGCGTTTCTAAAAAAAGTTTTCGAGATTCAAAGTTTCTACACCATGAACTCATTTCATCTTGCTGACAGAAGAATTGTGGATGTGGTTTAGAAGCATCGCAAATAGATTTGATCATTAGTAGGGTTTCCTCCGCATAAATTCGATCAGATGAGATTACAAATGAGAACGAACGGTCCCGCGTTGGCGTTTATTTCTCCATTTTGCATTTCTCCGCATCCTTTCCACGTTTTGAGGGAAATAAATAAAAATGTCGCTCTGAAGTAGTCCTTTTTTCCATATTCTAATTCTAAAGTTGGCAGAGAAAAAATCACAAGTACTCAGGGCCTACTTGTGACTATTTTAAATGCCAATTTTGTTTTACATATGCCGTTTATCCTCTCGGTGTTCTGAGATTTGGAAGAGATTATCTATTGCGATGAAATGAAAACTGTGTACTCTGACATGTCTATTTTCAGATTCAGATTACAAAAGTGCTCCACATTGCTGTTTTAGAAAGGATTTGTTTGATAGAAGATTCTAAATATAACCAAGCCTGTCAAAAAGTTATCAATTTTCTTTGTTTAGTAGTTCGTTGTGCATATCCTTTGTGCATTTAAACGTAGCAAGACGGCGGAAAAATGACGCTTTTTTTACAAACATCGAAGTAAATGGAAATTTCTTAAATTATTCATTTTTGCAGCTATTTTCATGGCGATCCCGTTTTGCAAATCCCGCACGTCTTTGGGCAGTATGCTCGTCGATCAGCACTTGAATAGAAGAGAGAGTCATCACAGAAACCATTCTGTTTCCATCCTTTGCAGCTGAAATTTTATGGGTATATGTAAAGTTTAAAGCTAAGCCAAAGCTATGACTCCCAAACGTACAATGAGATCGAAGCATCGACACACTAAAATTCTTGAGTTAAATCAGTTGATTGTACAGAAAACTACCGGGAAACAGGAATCAGTGTCGTCAACTCTGAAGCAAAGGCCATTCTTGCAATCACCGTCAATAGCAGCTGAAATTGTTATTGATTTTCTTGCTAATCATTTCATTTCTTACGTCCAGTTTGCGTCGCTTTTCTCACTGTTTTCGGTAGCTCGGGACAGGGGGACAGATTCTGTAAAACGGAATATTTTAAAGCTAAACCCTTGGCGACCTTTAATCTCACCACCAAATCCAGTTTTTTTCAATCTTACTCAAAAACGTTTAAAGATTTATCAATTCTAAATTGACAGGCCAAATTGCCGTAGTCGATTACATATTGTCCCAAGAAATGGGACTGAAATTCCCACTGGGAGATGATGTGAATGGACAGACATAACTTCAATGGACAGACAAACTTTGTGTCTTATCAAGTAAGATTAAATCTCACCAGATAACAGTTTTGCTCTCCTTTATAGGTATAACAAATACCGCTTGAACACTGGAAGTTGATTGCAGCTGAAAAAAATAGAGCCAAAATTGTCAAAAGCCAAAATTTATAGTGAAAAGAATAGAGCCAACATTGCCCTAATAATGTTAATCTTAACCATAGTTAATCACAAGTTTAGAGATTTCATGATTGATTTCATGATGTGAGCATTTAAGTCTTACGTTCAAATGCAGTCTCAGGATTTCTTGTTGCTGGTAATTCGGGGCACAGCTTAAAGAATCCTTGTCATTGTTTTTATCAAAATCCAACCTCAACGCAAACATTCTCCTTGTCGGGTTTTTGGAAGCAAAATCCTTTCTCGCACACTCGATCCTTTTGGACCTGTTCATTATTTTTTATTTGAGTTTTCTATAAAATTTACTACAGCTTTATCAAAGCTGTTTATAGAATTCTAAGTTTTAAGCTTAGAATTTTATAAACAGCTTTTCTAAGTTTCAAAAGATCTTTGTGAAACCTGGAAGATTTGTTATGTTTATCCCTTCAGGAAGAGTTGGGCACTGAAATGAATTTTAAGTTGACAAAAGATGCGTCAAAAGCTGAATTTTATAAAAGGGAAACGATTTACATCACAGCAATGATATTGTTCTTTAGGATCGCTCGCATCGAAATAGCAAATTTGACTGCTTGTGCATATATGAACACCGTCCTTCAGACCCGCTAAACATTTTTGTTAATAAAGAAAAAACGCTAACCTTTGCCGAAAACTCACCCGGGATGCATGTCGATTTGTTCACTGATGGGGAAAGGTTTTCGCAAGTTTTATCCGTTGAGGTTGCGGCGAATTGTTTTGACTGAAAATGATTATGCGAAATGGTAGAGAAAATAACTTTAAGTTTAACTTTAACTTTAAGATTTTGAAGTTTTCCTAACTAGGCTTTTGCTGATTTCTTCTTCAAGATTATTTCTTCAAAGGTTCTAATTGTACAATTGCAAAAAGTTAGCATTACCTTAACAATGAAAACCACGGCTAGAATAGAAAGAGTAAATCTCAACATTGCTGAAGAAATTCAGAAAATCTTCAGTAAGATCGACAGCCCTTTTATAGGCACTCAAACTCTTCTGAGCCCCAAAAGTCTCGACTGAATCAAGATTTGATTCAGTCGAGACTGAATCGAAAGGTTTGTTCTTATTCAAATACAAACAGTAAAAGTAAATAACAAAACTTGATACGCGATCTTTTGATATTTGCATAGGCAAGCAACGCTACTTGGTCTTTTACAGAATTCTTTTTAGGACTCGATATAACTGCGATAGTTTATCCAGTGATTCAAACCAATATTTGCATTTGATCAAGCAAAAGTATCAAAAATTTTGTTAAACCTGGCTTGTTTGTTTTTGAAAGCAAAATATGATATACCTAGAATGTAATAAATCTATTTAATCTAATCTAGTTCTATTTTTTCTTTCCATTTCCCTTGTTTCACCGAAATATCCTCGTTTTTCTCCTCTCTTGTCTTTCTTTTGACTTCAGTGTAAACCATATGACGGCTAAAATCTTTTCTTTCACTCAAAATACTTCTCTTTCTATCAATTGTTTTTAATCAAAATCAAATCGATCTTTTACGATATGTAAAATGCTATCAAATTTACAAATTCTCACATCATTTTGCTTTTTATATATCTCTGTGGCTCGACCAACTGAAGACGCTCAAATAATTGAACAAAATGTGACAGTTCCAGGTAAAGATACTCAAGAGTTTAACTTGTATAATGATCGACATCTAAATCTAAACTGAGATCGACAATCACTCTTGATTTTAGAAATTTTAGATCCAAAGGGAAGAGATCACGAGAAAGCTTTCCAAAGAACGATCTCCGTTGTCCAATATCGGAGTGCGTTTGGGAGAATTGTTCTATTGATCTGTCAACGACCGTGCAAGTTATTGAGATCATCGGTAAGTCACGAAATGTTTATCTGAAAGCATTTGCTCGTTTTGCAAGTTTATCTGAAAGCAATCAAAATGATTTGTTATCTTGCCTTTCTCCGAACAATCAATTCCTTTGCAGATCCCACAAGTTGTTCGCGATTACAATGAAGAGAAAAGTTATTCATCAGATGATCTCATTTATTATCATTACCATTATCTTCGTCAATCACCGCTTCCATTCTACAATATGACTTCAACAAGCAAAGAACCGATCATTCTCTATATTTCGGCGGGAAATGTTAAAGAATTTCATGGAGAGCTTAGCAATAAAGTGAGTTGGTTTAAAATTAGCATGTAAAAAAACCAATTTCTATCAAAAATTCAGGTCGAAATCACTTCTTGGCTTCAAAAAGTCGACAAAATCGATGTGTTTGTGCCAAAAACGAGCCAAGAATTGGACAACTATTTGACAGACGCTGAGAATTGTGAAAAATCATATCTGTTAATTGTTCATGATTCACTGTGGGTTGTTTGTAAAATGCAAATGCTTTCGTAAGATGTAGATTATTCAAAACATTTCTAGAAAGTGCCCATTTGACTATTGGATGAATGTAGCAAGAGTCGTTTATTCGGGAACTCAAGTACCAACAATTCTCCTTGAGAGACCAATGGAGAATGCAGTTGAAGGTTGAAGGTATAATTCTGAAAATTCACATCCTTTTCAGTGACTCTTTACCGTCGCCTTTTCTCACTTCCACAACAATGCCTTATCGTTTCACTTATTCACAACAATCAGTACACTCAACCATTCACAGAATTGGCTCCAGATGCGGTAAGTGACACTAAAAGATTGATGCGAAAATTCGTTTTCAGATTGTTGACACAGTTCGTGATACGCTCGAGTACGCAACTTGCAATCATGAAGAGAACAAAGTGTTCACGAAAAGCGGAATCCGAGCCTCTCTCACCGATTTACAAATGGAGTATTTTGTGAGAGAAGTCGATCTCAAGAAGTAGTGTTTAAAGAAAAATAACGGTATTGAGGAACAATTTAGACTTGAACACAAAACCGCCTACATTGCTGTGGGATTGGCCGGAGGAATTGCCGTCATCGCACTGGCCATCTCGATCTTTTGGGGTCTTAACGGGTCCGCATTCACTAGAGAATAGAATTTATTGTTTTAAGCAAATAAAGTATTTGTTTTTGTTGCTTTTTTGTAATCAATTGTCATTATTGTTTAAAGCAAAAGTTTTTTGAAATTCATCGCACGATAAACACAAGCTAAAAGTCATGCAAAGAAGAGAAAGACAGCGAAATTCGGCCTGTCCATTTTATAACACGCCCAGTAAATAAATTTGGCAACCAGCCAAGCCAAGAAAAAAGTTTGGCTAAAGTTTTGGGAGACTATATGCAATGGAAAAGTTAACGTCTAGAAAATCTCTTTCTTCATAAATTATAAGCTTTGACCTTTGTTATATTATCCAGTTTTTGTGGCCAAAGATACTTTTAGAGCTTGTTTTAGAAATCTTTGTACGAAGTATGAAATCTTTGTCGGAAAAGTTTTCCTTTATACTGCGTTTCGTGCAAAAAGCAACAAAAATACTGTAAAAGAATGTTTAAATTTGAAATTTCGCTATAGCTTAAATTGGTCTGAATATCTTTAATTCCTTGCTCCTCGTATAAAAAAGGAACTTTCCTAAAAAAATTCGGGAGTGGGACAAATGCTACCTTTTTTTTGAGCACCCGGACATTTGCGCACCTTTTTTCCGCGCCTTGCCCATTAGCGCACCTTTTTTCGCATTTTAAAAAAGCCCCAAAAAGCTAATATTAACCGATTTCTATTCCAAATGTTGTTTTTCTAGGTAATTTTAGGGCGTAGGCGAAATTTTGACATATCAGAGCTTGTGGAAACAAACGGACGGAGGTATGCAAAGAGAAAATCAACAATTTTCTGTAATTTGATCTAGCCGTTTTGTCTTTCAAATTGGTTCCACAAACTCTGATATGTCAAAATTTCGATTCTACGCCCTAAAATTACCTAGAAAACAACATTTGGAATAGAAATCGGGTAATATTAGCTTTTTAGATCTTTTTTAAAACGCGAAAAAGGTGCGCTAATGGGCAAGGTGCGCAAATGTCCGGGTGCGCAAAAAAAAGTTCGCATTTGTCCCACTCCCAAAAATTTTGTTTTTTTTCAGCTTTACCTTTCTTTGCAACCATTTCTTATTTAATCAAGTACTAATTCTTTTTCTTTAGGTGTCGAATCGTCACAAATGCTACGACACGGACTTTTCTCACGTCTACATCGTTTGCAAGCCCTTTGTCAGCTTCATCAACCCCAATCATCTAGTCTTCGATTAGCTTCCGCTTGGATCAATCCACTCATTTCACATGTCGATCCAGGAAGAGCTCAAGAAGTTAATGCGGAGAAACTCTTCACTTCACCCGAAGTTCAAGAATTGCTTACAAAGTTGACCGGAGCCGATCTGCAGAACAAAATCTTTCGATCGAGAAGGATTTCAACTCCACAAAATCGATCTCATTACGCACTGATGACAGACGAGCGATGGGAGAAAACGATGGAGCGGATGCAAGAGGAGGCACAACATTTCCTTCAATTTATTCCGCTAAAAGAGCCAAGGGTTGAAACGACCGAGACTTTGATTGTCGATAAAGAGATTGCCGGATTCGACAAATCAAAATTCGTCTTCACTGACATTTCTTTTGATGCCACGGATCAAGACCGAACCGTTGTTGTGCGAGAAGTAGATGGATCGCTGAGGACAGCCACTCCTGAAGAACACGATCGAATGAATCGAGTGTACTACGAGAAATCAAATCGTCCGGTGGTTGAACCAGCCGTCTTTTCCGATCCCTACTTACAAGATGCGCTTGACCGAAATGAACACGAGTTCCTTATGGATTGGGCTTGTATGTACTTTGAAGTGGATGATCCGAAGTTCATCAGTTTGTCAAAAACGGTATACGATCGGATAATCGCGACAAAGAACTTCGATTCTCTATATTCGACTCGACACTTCGGCACTCTTGTATTTTATTTGGCGATTAACAACAATTTGCCACCATTGTTGAATTTCTTTGCCAACTTGGGACAATTGAGTGAATGTGCTTCGTTGGTGAGGTTGCAAAAGTCTTTGTATCCCGATTGGAGGCTAGCTATCGGAAGTTACGACTCAGATTTTAAAATTCTTCAGGATTACGTCAAGCAAAACACACGCTTTAAACAGGAATTGGGTGACGTGGTAAAGTTTTTGAAGGCGTTGAAAGAGCCGGCAATTGGAGAGAAATTGGAAAAGGCCGCTGCTTAAGACAAAAAGATGTTTTGCGAAAAAAAGATTTTACTCAATATTTGTTTTTGTTGATTTTTTTAAATCAATTGTCACTGGATCTCTCTTAGATTGTAGTTTTTATTTAGGATTTGCTTGTTATTGATTTTGTTGAAGTTTGTTTAAAATAAAAATATTTTAAGGCCTCTACGTGAGTCTGCCCGTCTCGAATCACTCCGTGTGATTACGTCGACCATTTGCTCTATCGAGGGATCAGTCTGGTTAATGCCCATTTTTTGTTTTTATCTTAGATTTTTACTTTTTAGATGTCTATGGAATCTTGAAAGGCGTCATTAGCACAAAGCTGCCAACCCTTCGTTTCAATGTTAGTTTTAAGGATGTGCTTTTAAATATTGTCGTACGCGTTTTAGTTGCGTTTTGCTATTTTAATTAATTTAGGTGACGATGACGTGGAGATCTTTCCGAAAATGCTGAGGAAACTCTTCCAACTCGAAAATAAAACCGATTTTAGGTTGGATGATTGCTTCGTTTGTTTTTTCAATTTTGGTTTATCACTGTTTAGGCTGATAAGTAAAGCGGTCTCCTTTTAAAGTTAGGCGAAGTCTTAAAAAACATTTATTGACGTCTTAATTTTCGATCTTCTCGTTTGGCACCTTAAGTTTTATGAGCTTTAAAGTGGTAAAATTACTGGTAATTGCAATTTATCAAGCAATTCAAAAGGGCTACGTCTGTAAGGATAGATGTAACTGATAATGAGTGCACTGGGAGATAAATCTTTAATTTTAGTGTTCTCAACACCATTTGACTCGTGAAGAGACGTGACGCATTGCCGTTCTAGTGTTTCTTGTGTCAGGTAGTTTGCTTTTGGTGCTTTATTTCTCCGTCAAGCTCCTTGTTTGTTTTTCATTTCACAAGTTTTAGGCATATCTCCATGCGAGTTGGGCACTCAATGTGAACGATGGTCATATATTGGACGAGCTGAGAAATTTTACTCTTTTCAGGTGTGTTTAAATGATTACCATAATTTTCTATGAAACAGCAATTCATTTTTTGTTTCAAATACAATAATACACGGCAAAAGAGATTTTAGAAACTAGATCAGATGGTATCCAGAAATCGCGGCGATTCATCAAAATTGAACTTTTAACGAGATGACGCTCATGACACTGTAGGAGAAAGAAGTAAAGTTCGTTAAGTTTGTTTGTTTGTTCAAGAAGTTTGTTCACACTTGTAATCCGATTAAAATAAAATATTTTAACCAAAACGCTATAAAAATACACGGCAAAAGAAAATTTAGACTCTAGATCAAATGCGGCCTCCATAAAAATTTAACTGAAAAACAACAAGACGAGATTTAAGCAATCGCCAATTGAGTTTCAGTCAAGTAATGTGCTCGTCAAAATATACTAGTATGTCTGATAGGCAAAAAGTTAAGATATAAACCCACCAAAAATTCTTTTTCTTTTAATCCAATTGTCTACAGCTTATTTTGGAAACACTTCAAAAGATTTGTTCATTCTACAAATCTCATTGAGCATGTCGATTGCCCGGAAGCCGTTGTTGGTCTGTTCTATGAATCAGTTCATTCAATAGCTAACAGAAAGGGGAGAACTCTTCTCACAAAAGAGAAGCGCCGAGTGATCTGTGTCAGTTGTTCGATTGAACAGCCCGTGTCCATTCAATAAGAGAAAAGACAAAAGAGCCGATTCTCGTTGTCTTTTCCCTTCTTCTTTCCTTTTCTCTTGTCTCATTTCTGGACCTTTCCCGGGAGTGCCACCACACACACGGGGTGAGCCTCAGGTGGCACGAATCGACACACTCTCTTGCGAGGAGAGTCAACTCGGGGGTATTTGCCCTCTTTTCTCTCTCTTTTTTTGACTGGACACTCTATTCTCGTCCAGAAGGATTTGAGTACTTTTACGATTCCCGACTTGCAACATTGAGGTCATTTTGCGACTTTTTACTATTACATACCTGACGCATATTGTTTCATCTCTTGTGTTGTAAGGAAAGTCTCACTGTGGGTTTTGATTGAATAGTCAATACTTAGTCAATACTAGTTTTAAATAGCTACAGTAATACATGTGAAACGGAATCTTACAGTGTGTTTGTGAAAACTTCTTTGAAAACTATGAAAACTGTACAATTCTTTTCCAAAAAGCCTTATTATTCGCATTTCTTCTCTTCATAAAAGCCCTGTGTAACCCGCAAATCTATTCCACGAAAGAAAAAGAGTCTAAAAACACGCAAAGGACTAAAAGCGTATTGTTCTGTTCACACATGTGCATGTGTTTTTCTTGAAAAGAAAAAAATGGTCGAATTAGGGGCAAACGTGCACACTCATTTCACCGCCTTTCAAACATGTGTGAGCTACATTTAGCTATCACAAGACGCTTGAGTTGTATCGATCAGAAATTTTAACGGATTTTTTTTCATAAATATTCAAAAGATATTCTGATAATCCAAACTTTTCTAGCAATTTGTAATGTGTAAACAATTCTTTTTAAACCTTTCATTTGAATTCTCTATTCATTTGAATCATCCCCAATGCTTTGCCGGTTAGTGGAAGGCGATCGAGGACATTTGCGAAGAAAAGAAGAGTACACACAATTATGAGTGGAGAAGAAAAGAAAAGAGACTCGATGAGATGGATTCGAGATGAAGAATGGAGAAAAGAGAAGAGAATCACTCCATCAAACATTTGGTGATTGAAAGAAACTGTCTCTATGGCTTTTGTGTGTATGTGACAATTATTTCAGTGTACTCATTGAAGATTTTATGCTTCTTTTATTCTTTTATGATGCTTCAACCGTTTTCTTAGCTTTCATCTTGATCGATGCAAAGGTTTTCAATTAATTAAAAATTTGCCAAATTTAAGTTGATGAGATGGATTCGAGATGAAGAATCAGACCAAAAGTGTTACTGTAAACCAATAACATAAACGAATAATAACATAAAACGATATTTTACTGACTTCTTTTGAATCCTAAAATAACATTGATACACTTTTCTTTTCATTGTCAGTAAATATTTTCGATTCTCTCTAGTGTTTATGTGAATCACAGTGTGTACAACTGGTTTCCTCATCTCTCATTTCTCTCTTCTTTTCCTCTTTCCTCCATAATGAGATTAGATGAGAACAAATGAACCAATGAGAACCAATAATAACATTCAAGAAACATTTCTAAATGTTTTGAATTATTTGTTTTGTTTTGAATTATAGTTTTTCTAGCATAGAATTGGAAATTCAATTCGTTTTGTTTCAGGCATTAATTTTCAATTCAGAACTTCAAACTTCCCTCCTTCAAAACTTGGCTTTACTCCTACAGCTCATTTTTCATTCATTCTCCCAATTTTCCCACAACAATTCTCCCCAACAGACAAGTGCTCTCTTCAGCAAATTTCGAGAACTCCTTTAGTTGAAGCACTTTTTACACTTTACTTCGAAATATTTTCTCAGAGAACTTTTGCTTTTGATCATACTGAGCCAATCACAAAATTCTTGAAAATTTAACAGTTTTCTGTTTTTGATTAGACTTTTGGTCTGTTGATTTTCTTTAAAATGAGCAATTGTGTGATTCATTTTGATTTCTTTGATTCAAATTTCTCTAGGAGTTCCAAAAATGCAACCAAAAGTTAACTATAAAAGCTGATTTTTGAATTTCAAGTCTAGAAATGGATTGCTCATTAGAAAATGACTTATTTCTGTTTTCTTATTGTCAATTCAAAGCATAATCATCGTCATTGATTCATTTATAGGTGAGAGATCTCCCACATCATGATACTGAACACAAATTGGAGGAGGATCGGTCATTTCATCCCTTTTCCTTCTTTTCCTGTTTCTTCCTTTCATTCTCCATATTACAACCTTCTTTTGTGTGGAAATGGTGGAAAGATGATCAGAAAAGGAGAAAAGGAATCCCCTTTCCCTTTCTCTTTTCTCTCTTTCTCATGTTTCGATCTTTCTTGATCAACGAATTAGAACCCTAATCACTTCTATGCAAATTTCACATTGATTCCCGGGAAATATATATAATACTTTGTTTTATTTCCCAAGTTTATCTTTTTAAATTCAACTCCTTCACCATTTTCAGTTCAACGAACGATCTCTTCCTCAATTTCCTTTGATGAACCAAGATTGGGTAACTCTCCCACCGAAGTCACCTCTCGCAATCAGATATCAAAATGGATTTCATCGAAGACCATTAACCAAGTAAAGATTTTTTCAAGTAAAGAGTAAAGTAAAGGAAAGAAGTACATTTTTCAGTGTACTTCTTTCCTTTAGAAGTACATTTCTCATTTCTCAGTCTCTAAATTCTCAAATTTAGCATCCATAAACTGAACGAATGCCATCATTTCCATTATCCTTCAGTGGAATTGGGACCTATTGGAGTAAAGGTAAAGTTGAGAAAAATGCCCATCAAAATCATTCACTCAGGTTGATGATGTCGATCGAGTTCTTCCCACAATCAATGACGTCACCGCGACACTCCAAGTATTCAGCAATTCGTCCACCTGGTCAGATTTTGTAAAGGAAGCATTTCAATATAAATTATTTCAGGAAACTCAAAAGAAATCTAGCAGAGATTTTCGAGTTCGATCGACAATTGCATCGGTGAGTTTCAGATTGGGTTTGACTGATTGAAGAGCTTTGACTAGTGAAGTCTTTGACTTTGAAGAGCTTTGACTAGTGAACAAGAGTTGAGTCTAAAACAAAATCTATCTATTTTTCAATCTATCTATCTATCTATCAAAACATCAATTTTCCAAGTTTCTCTTTTCTAAACAAGTTTAAGATGTGTTTTCGATCGTCGTCATTCAAAACTCGATGAATTGGAGTGTGAATGTGGAGTTTCCAATGCGCAAGAAATTCTCACAAAGTAAGTGATGCAAAAATCACAAGAAATCATCAAAATCTATTTTAATCATCAAAAGAGGACATAAAAACAGCATTTAGCCTTCTAGAAATAGCTTCATATTAGCAAAGCAGAGAAATAGCAGAGATTTTTGCAGTTATTTCTCGCGTTTCTCTCAGCTGACGGGAAGTGTGATCACCTGCTATCCTGTGCTGAAATTTTTGGAGGTTTGCTTGTCGTTTTTATTTCTTTTGTCTAGAATCAAATGAAATTTTAATAAAAAAAGGTTTTCTAGTGACTTCCTAGTGACTAGTGTCATTAAAAAGCCTTTTTCAACTAAATTAAAGTCATTTCTTATCTAATTTATCAATCTTTTCAACTTTAAAATTAGAAGGGCATAAACAAATTCAAATCTAAATTCAAATCAATTCAAATCCATTCAAATCAATTCAAATCCATTCAAATCCATCCCAAACATCAGCTGCTCGTTGATCAAATCTCGATAATTCTGTTATTCTAAAGATTCCATGAAAATCTCTTGAAATGTTGATTCTTTCCTAGATCATCTTGATGTATCTTTCGTGTCCGGTAAAAGGATCCACTTGAGATTTTGAGAGAAGCGAACCAATGTCTTTTTTGCTGTATTCTCTTCGAAATTTAGAGGGATCTGTGGGTCAGAAAAGACCATCGAATGACTTGTGTGTCTACAAGAATTCCCTCCCAAAAATCTCTCGATTTCTGCAATCTTTCCCTACACTTTCTACCCAACTTGCTCATCTCCATCACTCGGTGAACACTTTTCTCAAAAGTTTCACCTCACTATTTTTAGCTTTCACAATAATTCTTCATTGATGATATCATTTTTTGACTTTTTCATCTAAATTCTTCATATTTTTACTTGATCGTTGAAGTTTTTCGACGCATTTCCCACAAAATACTTTATTTTAATTGAATTTCTCTCTTTTTTGCACCAAAAGGTTTCCTTTCGATGCAAATAAGATTCTCTGAGTGACAGCAATGATTGAGGAAATTGAATTTACCAAGTTTAAAACAAAAGAAACAATTTTAAATGTCAAAAACAGAAAAATTTCTGGAAGAATTTTTTGATTCCTTTGATTCTTTGAACCAGAACTTTTTGGGGCATTGGTTCATTTGAACGAGTGTTTTCTTTTCAAGACAAAACATTGTTCAGTTGGGGGGGACACCTTTTAGAACCATTCAGTTTAGAATTGGACTCAAGATTCAATTCTCAATTCTAGATCGATTCCCGAGGTCATCGTTTCTGTCCATTGGAACAATCAGCGATCAATACTCCAGCCATTGCTGCGGCCCTTGTCACAAAACATTTCAAGGGACGCACGCCTGAACAGTTGACGATTAACGTGAGTCAAGACTAGATGGAAATTTTGTTTTACTAGTTCAACTGTCTTTCTTTGGAGACAGTTGTTCTTTCTCTCCTTTATTTTCTTCTGTCTTCTTTCACCAGGCCTAAGAAAGCGCCTGTAGCTCAGTGGCAGGGCGTCTGCCTCGAAGCAGAAGGTATGGGGTTGAATCCCTCTCGGCGGATCTTCCCTTGACAAATTTTTTCATTTTCATGTTCAATTTGGTATGGAAAGTAGACTGATCGGCTTATCGATCCGCCGATCGATACAAATCTTATCGAGGCTTATTGATATTACAAACGGCATGCTCATGTTTGACCGTTCAGATCTCAATTTCTAGAACAGCTATGATTCTGAAAATTGTTTCATTGGAAAGTCAGCTTTTGATTGTTATTTTATAAATAGTGACTTTTAATGAGTAAGCACCTGATCAACCTTATCGATATCGAAAGTATCGATTATCGATAAGCTTATTGATATTTGAGTATTTGAGCTTTTTAAGGCATTCCCCTATCAGAATTTGCCATGTGTGAGATAGAAATCAAAAGCTGACATTGACTTTCCATTGACATTGACATTGACATTGACTTTCCAATGAAACAATTTGCAGATTGATAGTTGTTCTAAAAACCGAGATAAACTATTCGTTACTTTTGTGAAAAATAAGCAAAAGGCCTTTTCAAAAACAAATGTTTCCTTCTAATCCGAAGTGTTTTCAGGTCGGGGACATCTTGTCGATCATTGAAATGTCATCTGTTCCCATCAATGGATCAACATGGTGGAAAGCGAAACTAACGATTCCCGCATCGAACAATTCATCAATTGATGGAGAAGAAACTGACAAAAATGGGAACATTCGGGTAAAAGAAATATGAAATCAAAAGCATTCATATTCTAGGTATTTCAAATCGGTTATTTTCCATCGGATTGTGTGACTCTTTTTGATGACAAAGCTGTTCCCAATCCAAGTCCCTTGACAACAAAGAGATTACCGTTGACTGCTGCAAAAAGGGTAACTTCTTCAGTTCTTCTTCAGTTCTTCTTCTCTCTCTTCAGATTTTACAGACTTTCATTTGAAATCTCGAAAGTTTTCTTGAATATCTGCTTATTTAATCTGTTATTTAACTGTTATTTAACTGTTTGATTAATGCAAAATAAAAACATTTAACTTTTTCTTCAGCTCGGCGAAATGGTGAGACGAAAAGTGAAACGAAAAGAGCCAGTGTTTGGAGTGGATCTCGTGCAACATTTGAGAAGGACAGGAAGATCGGGTAAAGAAAAAAAAGGGGAAGAATTTGCAAAAGGAGTAACAAATGCAAAGCAAATATCTCAAAATATCTGACTTTATTTGCTTTTTACAATTTGAACTGACTTGTGGAATTTAGTAGTAGGCAAAAAGGTTTGAAGGTCTACGAAAAGATTCCAGAGGTCTAGGAGAAAAATTCCATTCAAAAAAATTCAAAATTAAGTAAACTGCAGTATTTTAAATTGTAAAGTATTGAAGATTTGAAGTATTTAATTAAATTTAGTCCCGTTGATTCTTCAACGATGTGTTGAGGCGATCGAAAGACATGGAATTGTCACTGGAATCTATCGACAATGCGGAATACAATCAAATATTCAACGATTGCGGTAACAACAAATCAATTTTCAACAAAGTATCTATTTAGAGCCAAATTTGACTGCGGTCTTGAGCCGAATCTCTCCGAATTTGCGATTGTCCGCGACATTTACTCGGTCTCATCACTCCTCAAACAGTATTTCCGACAACTCCCGAATCCCCTCTTCACTTTCGAGTTGTATCATGATCTCATTGTGAGTTGAACAAAGAATTTGTAGTAGACAAAAGTGTTTACATTTTGTTTACATTTTACCGAGAGTTACAGTACTGGACAATGAAATATCAGATTTGAAAGACGATCGTCACTTTCGCGCGTCTGTAACTCCCTTGTCTTTGAGTTTAAACTATTAGTGTTATACATTTTCTGAAAGCTCTTTTCAAGGGCTACACAATGGTAATATTAATATTTAGAAATACGGTAAAGACAAGGGAGTTACAGAGGCGCGAAAGTGACGATCTTTTTCAAATATGATATTTCATTGTCCAGTAGTGTAGATTGTTTTCATTGCTCAAAAAAACAGTGCTTGATTTCTGGTTATGGCATTCTCTTTCAGGCAGCCGGTGATCAAAAAGATGAGACAGTGAAAATCGAATGCTTGAGAGATGTCTTACAAAGACTTGTTCCAGAGCATTATAGGTAAGATTCGGTCAATTCCTTTGTCAGATCTTTACGGTTATCGGGGAGGGGAGGGGGGTTGAACGATTATCGTTCAATTCCCGTTAATCGTTAGGCCAAGTTTTTGACCATTTTGCAGACCGATTTTAAATAGATTTTTGTTAATAACTTTTGAAGAAACAAATAGTTTCTGTAGGTTGACGTTCTAAGCCATCTAAATCTTATTAAAACTTCTTGATCTGATAAGCTTAAGGTGCTTAAAAATGTGCTGCAAGTTGGCCAAAAACTTGCCCCTCCCCCGATAATCTTTCGATCCCCCGTTAACCGTAAAGATCCCCTTTGTCAAATAGTATACCTAAATAGTGTTTTTAAAGTTAAAAGAATAGTCTTGACAATAGATTTTATATATCTTATTACTAATATTACAAAGCCGGATTTCATTCTTATCTAAAGGTTCGAGTGCCCCCTCTCTAAATATTCAGTTTTTAGTCCTCTTCTTAAAAACTAGTCGATGAAATTCAAAATGTCTTTAATAGCAAACTCTTTTGCGCATCTTTTGATCTATAAGCTATTGCAAATGGCTTATCAGGTGCCGAGAAAATCTACAAAGTGTAAAGAGGGAGAAATCTCCCCTAAAGTGTCCCCCCAAGTTACAGTTGAAATATTTTGGGGCTTCTCTGAGCAACCCATTCTACAATTGAAAGTATTAAAACTAGAATTGAATGGGCGTATTTTACAAAAAAAAGTAATAGAAAAAATCCACATGGAATCAAGATATAAAGTCATGAAGGAAAACAAGGGACACTTTTGAAAGTGTCCCCTTTTCTCTTCCCACCCTTATATCTCGACTTTCACTTCATATTTTTAATTACTTTTTTTCGCAAAATACGCATAGATAACTCTAATTTTATTACTTTTATTTGCCATATAAGTTTTCAATAAAAATCCCAGAATATTCAACTGAATGCCTACTGAATATCTAAAGATAAAGTTTAGAACGGCTCGTTACCTGATTTTCCACTTATCAAGACTCTGTGAACAAAAAGATCTCACGGATATGAGCTCGCGGAATTTTGCAATCGTTTGGGCACCAAATTTGTTCAGGTATGTGAAATTTGAACTTTCAAAGAAACATCAAAGATTAGATCTCCACCATCACTCGGCGAGGGTGATTCTCATCTTTTGAGTGGTCTCAACATGCACACAGCTTTATGTCATTTCATGATCAATCATGCGAATGAATTGTTTCCTGAAGAGCAAGAGAATGACATTTTTCCTCTACAAGGTTTTCTTTCATAAAGTTTACACTTCTAAAAGTAATATATCTAGATCTCCAAATGGCTGGTCGACCATTGTTCGGCGTTCCATCAGATACTTCACTTGGAACTCTTTCGTCACAACAAACATCCAATGGATTTCCTGATGAAAAAGCGTTAGTTTTTAGAGTCTAGAGTTACAAATTGCACAAGAGAACGATTTCACTTTCAGTCAAATCACTTTCAGACCGTCTCGATGGTCGCGTTTCATTCGTGGGACATCAGTGGAACAGCTTATTGGCGGACTTTCGAGAAGACAAACAACACAAGTAAACATTGTCATTGCATTTAGCATTGTCATTACATGTCATTGCATAAAATATTGGCCATATACTATCGATACTTAGGTTTATTCGGGCTCCTCAGCCAGCAACACTCCGACTGCTGCAACCCGATTCGAACAAGATGAAGTTAAATGGAGAAGGTAGATAGTTAGTTGAGTCGTTAGTTAGTTATTAGATAGTTAGGTAGATAATTAGTTAGTTATTAGTTGAATAAAGCTTCTTAAAGTCAATTCAATTGAATAAGTCAATCAATGAATCAATGAATCAAGCAATTTCAGATCCCGTTCTTCGGATACATCAATGCGACAATCTCGATCTGAATCTCTTCTATCAATGGTTCATCGAGGAGCTGAAGGAATACGGTAAAAAGAGAGGAATAAATTTGTAGATTAGTCGATTAGTATTGTAGATTGTCTGTAAATTACTTAAAAGTAGACTCTAAGACTTAAAAGTTTACTTATTATACCTTTCAGAGATGGAGTGAGAAGTCTTGCGGGCAGAGCTCGATCCCTTCGACCGTATGGATATCAAAGAGCATCGACTATTGAAACGGTGAGTGGTAAGGCAAATAAATCGAATGGCTTAGAAAACTGCAGGAACATTGTGATATAACCCTTCCGATTTTAGAAAATGCATGACAGCACCGTGTCGACAACCTCGAGACTGACAACAGAGACAAGTCGAGCAGACACCGCATCAATACCCAATAAAAGTCCGTCAATATTGAGGAGATTCTCACATCGGTAGGAAAACCTTTTATTGGCAATGAATGCAATGTTTCTAGGGAAAGAAATGGAGTCGGAACACCGGATTCCCCAAGAAGAGCTGTCTATTTTCACAATGATGTTTCTGAACGTGAGTTTACAAATGAAAATGCTGATCAAAACGGAGAACGTTGAGTTTTTGGTCAAAGAATTCGGTCATAGTTGTTTCTAGACTTGAATATCAGAGCTCGGTATCAGAGCTTATCGATATCTCGATAAGTTTCCCAAAATCTTTAAAAATCCTAAAACCCAGGTCTGGGATATCGGCAGTCGTATTCAGTACATCGAATTACCCCGAAAAAGCTTTAGTTAAAAGGATTTAACGGAGAATCAACTAAAGTTTTACTATTATCGATAAGTTTATCGAGAAAGCTTATCGAGATCTGGATATCAGTAATATCGATAGGTCGCGATAAGAACTTACCGTAAATACTGTAATACTACCTCACCTCCCTCGTACAGTCGCGTAGTCGAAAAAGTTTTTTTAGTATTTCATTTTTTTCAAAGCGCCCGTACTTTCAAAAAAATGTGTCTTTGGCATCAAAAAATAGCCCTGAATTTCAGCTATTTTTTGATACCGAAGCGAGCATTGTAGCATAAACCAGTGTCGAGAAAAACTCGTTCAAAGCTAGACTACGCAACACTCCGCACCGTCATTATGGGGGTGGGGTACTATTACAGTATTTACGGTATCTAGATCTCGATAGTCAAGTCTAGTTTTTTCTACACTTTTTACCATAACCAAGTCACTAAATCATTGGTTTTAGATGAAGAAGAAAACGAGGAGATCATTGATGTGAGTCAAGGATTAAAAGAAAAGATAAAAGTGAACGGGGAAGAAAAAGTGGATGAGAATGGACAGAATGGACAGAATGGACAGAATGGACATGAAGATGTGTTGAATGGAATCATTCCGTTGGCTGAAAGATCGTCGCCTGTCGAGGAATGGTCATCCGATGAACAGAATCCACAGGGGAGGTTAGTGAATCGCCTTCTCTCTAACTCTTTGTATACAGGAATCTCTCTTACTCTTTGTTCCGGTACAACTTTTTACTAAAACTTGGTTTTAAAATAACTGAGGAAAGCTAAACAAAGCTTTTTTCTATGATTTCAGTTCATTTTCAGATCAAGTTCCTCGAGTCCTCTTTTGGAGATGAGTCGCTACGACAATGTGACACCGACAAAGGATTTCAAATATATCATGTAAGTATGGGCTTCAGTATTACAAGAATAATTATAAAACTCTATGAAGTTGAAAATTTTCAGTCGAAAAGATCTCTTCCCAACGATCGCCGAGGACAACTCTACTTGAAATCGTTTTTAAATTCATTTTTAATGCACACCTTTTCAAATCCTTGATTACCTCTACAAAATCTGCATTTTCTATTGATAAACATTCTCTTACTGTTCTTGAATATCAATTTCTTTATTTGCTGATCTTTTCAAATCTACCTGATTATCCCCTTCATTGTCTAGACTCCATTTTTCTACGGGCAATTTTTACAAAATATTCTCTATGTTAGATTTCCTTTTTTTTCGTCAATTTTACGTTAAAAGATTCTTTGAAAGTATTGTGAATAAAGATTCGAAATTGTTGTTGAAAAATTGTAGTTGTTGTTGAAATTGTTGTTGAAAGATTGTAGTTGGATTGTGACTGAAGATTGAGTCACAAAGCGGGCGCATTTACACGCATTTACATACACGCATACAATTACACACATCAGCACATATTCCATAGACTTATACCAAAGCTTTCTGAATCTAACAATGCTTAAGTTGAACAATTGAAGTTCTCAATACAGATGTTTATTTGGTGATAATCAGCCAACTTGAAAGCGAGCAAAGATCAAGAGCAACGAGGAGCGAGTAAAGAATCGTAAAGGCTTTACAACTAGAAGAGCTACAAAAAGCGAACACCTATAGGCAGCAAAAATGAGAAATCAACATTTGAATGAGTGTGGATTGAAAAATTCAATTAAAGCAATCCTGAGTATGAGGGATTTTTGCAAGATCCAAATGGCCGACTTGGAACACCTGTAAGTGTTGTTAACAGTTTAAATTTAACAGTAACAGTTTAGATGTAAATCTATCAGTCTATGAAATAGTGTTCATTTAGGTATTGCTTAATTTACAGCTAACCTATTTTCTTTTGGGCGACTTACTTTTGGACGTTCTCCCTTCGAAGTGATGAAATCATTTGGGACACGAAGAGTCGATTTGTAGTCACACAACCTCCAAAACTAAAAAGCTTTTCTAGGCTTAAAATCTTCCATTTCCTAAGCAACTGATTAAAGCTTTTATAATTCAAAAAGTTACCGATGGTTTGCAACGATGATAGAAGTTGATTTGCACTTTCATCCGTACTCCCGGTAGTTCTCGCGAGTTGCCCGTGACACGGAATCGACCGTTTCCATCTGTACTAACTTCGGCAAGCTTGTCATCGGCGGTGACTAAATCAAGAAATAAAGTTCAGAACAGACAATTAGCTCTTTGCCCAATGCACTCACACGTGTCTTTTTCATACATCTTGATCTTGATCCCTCTTGCCGGATGTCCATCACAAAGAAGCACTCCCTCCACAGTCGCCTCCTGGTCACGAACATCCCTGAAACCTCCTTTGTCATAAAATTCGCTACATAACAATTTATATATTTATTAGGCTGTCCAGAGAATCTTTTCTTTCCTTTTCGTTACCTTAAAAATACAAACATACCACTGATGCCAAGGGATCAACAGCTCTCCAATCGTAATGGTCGTTGTGGTTGTCGTCGTCGTTGTCGTTGTTGTAGGTTGACTAAATTTAGTTAAATGATACATCTTTACATCTTTTTGTCAACTCAGAAATTTACCTTGTTTCAATTGGCAGTTCATAACGATTCTCCTCATAAGCGTCACTTTCTAGATACTCATCTTCATACTCATATTCATCGCTTGTCGTTGTCGTGATTGATGAAGGCTTGATTTTTGTAGCCGTTATCGATTTGCTAAATTGAATTTTAGATAATTTACCGACTATCGCTTTTTGCTGACAGAATCGATTTAGGTATAATGCGATAGAAAGTTTACATTTTTAAAAGAAAGCTGATAAACTCACCTTGTTGATGGAGTTGTCGCATTCACCTTGTTGATGGAGTTTGGGCCTGGTGTCTTTTCCTTCCTGACCTCCTTTGTAGTTGAAACGATTGTTTGAGTAGTGCCTGTTGTAGTTGTAGTTGTAGTTGTAGTCATAGTGGACGAGAAAGTGGTATTTTTTGGAGGAGCTCGAATTTCTGTCATTGCCAACTTCTCCAAGTTGGAAGAGGATTCGGAAGCAACTGGGATTGGTGCGCTTCTCGAGATGAACAACTAGACGGCTTCAATATATAGATACAATATAGTATCTCAAGTATCAACTATTTATGCCTATAGAAAGAGTTTTACACATCACCTAAAGCTCACCTGATAAACGCCTCCAATGAGAAGCACAAAGATTAAAACAACGGCGATCAAAACAACAAGTTTCTTCCATTGAAACTCTAAAATAAAACCAAGTTTTCAGAATTTCAGAAAAAGAATTACAGAAAAGACTATTTATTTAACTATATAGCTGTTATTTACTAATTTTTACATCATGAACTATAAAAGAGCTTTATATTAGACAAACTTTTCGCATGAATCGGTTCATAGGGAGGTGGAGGATCATCCAATTTAATAATTTCTTTCAATTCAAGGGACATTTCTGAAAATAACTTTAAAATAATTGGTTTAAAGTTTTTGATAAAAAACAGCTTTTTTGCTAGACAAAATTTTACAAAACTAAAATGTAAAAATAAATTGAAATTTGGGGATGTTAATACCCGATATCATTGTCAGAAATCAAGCGTTTTTCACGCTGATTCAGAGTTGAAAAGTCTCTTGAATCATCGAATTTCTTGCACAAATGAAATCAACAATATTGTTTTGCAAAGATTGGTAAAGTTATTGAGTTTGAAACTAAGATTTCCCTGATTTTATCATCAAATGTAGCTGTGGAGTACCAAATAAACTCTGATGCAAGTGAAACTGCACCTTTTGAACGTTTGTTTGAACGATAAGTTCTATCTTGTAAATGAAAAACTTTACGGACTCTCAAAAATTCACAAAGCAAATGTATTTCTTTAATTCTGCCAAAACAAATCTTTGTCTTTGCCCACAAAATTATATCTTTTCATTGAGGTAATTGACATGTACTTTTTTGAGTCATATTCAATTATTAATGTCATTGACAGTCATATTCAATGCTTTCAAATATCGAGAATAGCAGGCAAGCCTCGAAAAGGACATAGAATTGACATGGAATTGAAATCATAGCATCTCCGCTGACAACATAATAATTTACATTGTAAAGTCGAACTCTTTACACGCAATCGTAGCCTCTTGCTTGTGATCGGCATTCCCTTGTTTCCAATTATTATTCATTGCATGCACTTCTTGATAGTACTGTCCATTTATCTGAGTTTTTCCGCCTTTTGCAAAGTCTTTTCCTCTTTACGATCAGATGTAACATATTGTGCAAAATTTGCCGCTTCAGGATATGTAGTTGTAGAGTTTGGATTCCGATTAAAGATATAAAAATTGAGAAAAGCGTTGGTTCTATTAGTGATTGGAGGAAAAGGTTTGGATCTAAAATGCTTGGAATTATTGAAACCGTAATGGAACGGTAATGGAACCGTATTGGAACCGTATTGGTGAAAAATGGAACCGTATTCGGACCGTATTGGAACCGTATTGGAAACGTATTGGAACCGTATTGGAACCGTATTGGAATTATTGAAACCATATTTAGCCGTATGTGATATTGAATCCGAGGCAATTGAGGTCATTTAAACATTCAAGAGTGCATGATTTTATGTCGGATCAAGTGGTTTTTGGTGGGAAATCCTGGGTGATTGAAAGGACAATGTATTAGGTTGGTGAATGTCTTTTCGTTCTTTTTCGTACTTCCGTTTAAAACCAACAAACGCACCAATTGCATTACGGTTTATTCCATTCGAAAAGCCAATTATTTTTTAAGTCAATCTTTAGCTTAATTCAAAACCTATTAACAAATATATCCCACAGAATAAGAAATAAACATTATCTTACGAGCATCACCATTTTCTTTAATGCTATTTTGATAATGTCATCAAGAATTTATAATCGTTTGCATATAAAGAAATTTAGAACAAGTTCAATTGTAGAAGAAAAGATTTGCGCTTGAAAATTGAGCATAGGAAGACAAAAAGAACAAGTGATTGTAAATGAAAGATAAAACAAAATAGATATTTTCTTGAATTTCCAGTTTTGTCAGCTTGCTGAGTCCGGGAAACACTCGGACTTTCACCCGTGAAATTAGAGGTCGTTGACTTCTTGAATCTCCTCTAAAATCTTTTCTTACCAATCGTTCACTAGCTAGATTTGTTTGTTTTGCTATCAAAAGACCTAAAGCAAGTTAAAAGCTCCCTTTAGTTAGCTTATCTTAAAGCTACTACAAGTTCTCAGTATCGTATCAACACTACAGTAGGATACAGTATGCTATAGGCTGGATCTCCCATAGCTAGAATTCTTTAACTCACTATTTAGATACTCAGCCTTGTCGTCTAAATGCTTTTTAACTCCAGAATGCTGTGAAAAGACTGTAAACTAGGCCTTCACAGCATATCTAATGTCGGATGAAAACTATTGAATAGTAAACATTGCTAGTAAACTTCAAAACAAACTTTTGAGGCACTCATTCGGGAGATTGATCTCGGCTCGTTGGCAAATTGCCGGCGATCCCACATGGTAACACCAACGAAGCCAGTCGCCCTCATCGGCGAAAATCCTCACTCCACCGATATTCGAGTTGAATTTCTGAATTTGTAGCTTATTGTGATCGTTTTATTACAAAACTATCCGAAAAACCCGTCAAAAACAGGTTTTTCTGGCTGGATGTTTTGGGGGTAACGCCGTGGCGAAGTCGGTAGCGCGCTCGTCTACGGCCTACACGATTCGGGTTCGACTCCCGGCTGTTTTATGGCTTTTGCTTTTTAAAAAACGAAATATGAGATGCACAACTACAGGGTGTCCCAAAATTATGGTTACGAAATAACGTAAAAGTTTTCGACTTTATTTACATAGCAAAAATCAGCTGATAAGGAAAAATTTATTCTAAACAATTTAATTAACAATAAAAACAACATTTAAATCTCAAAATGGCCTCCTTTAGCAGCTATGCATTTCCTTAATCGTTTTGGAAAGTCATTAATGGCCTTTTCAATGGTAGACAAAGGAATCTCGTTCCAAGCTTTGATCAAATCCTTTTTCAATGAGTCAATTGTTGTGTGAGCTTTTGCACAAGCTTTGCTTTCAAGAATGGACCAGATAGAATAGTCTAAGGGGTTTAGGTCAGGGCTGTTTGAAGGTCATTCGCCCGGACGTTGTTGGCTGATATCCACTGTGATCCAGTCAGGAAAGTTGTTTGAGATCCATTCTTGTGTAACAGCTGCTTTGTGAGATGGAGCTCCATCCTGTTGATAAGTCCAGCTATTGGCGCCAAAATGAGCTTGAGTCCAGGGCAAAACATTATTTTTGAGCATATTGATATAAGGGATTTTATCGATTTTGACTCCTGGTGGAATGAAGATCAAAGGAGTTTTTCCGCTGTGAGTTACTCCGGCCCATATCATAACTTGTTGCGGCTTTTGTTGTCTTGACACAATTCTATCATCAAGAGGTAGTGGACCCTTTGACCAAACACGATCGTTTTGATGGTTATGGGCTTGCTCAATATCAAACCACTTCTCGTCTGTGAAGAGAATTCCTTGATGGCGATTTGAGCCAAAGCGTCTCAGAAGCTGCTTGCACCGGGAAAATCGTTTTGCTTTCATAACGTCCGTCAATAAATGGCCTTTGACACCTTTTCTGGCTTTCATGCCGGCTGTTTTGAGCATACGATGAACAGAACCCTTGCCGATTCCGACAGATTGCGCGAGTTTTCGAACGGAGTTCTTGGACGAATTCGGACTTCTTTTGAGCCGTTTAAAAACTTTTCGTCGTTTTGCAGAAACATTGGCAGTCTTCTTTCGCCCGCGTCCCGAGCGATCTTCATTTGATCCCGTTTCCTTGTATCGCTTCACTGCGCGGGACACATTCATTTTCCCCTCCTGCAAGATTCGCGAAATTTCAGCGTTTGACAGTTTGACAGTTTGACAGTGGGACAGCTTGACAGTTTGACAGTGAAAATGATCAGACTTTCTAATCAAAAACTTCTGCCGATTTTTGGAAAGGATTTCTGGGAGATCTTATAAATTCCAAAGAAGGATAGCTCGATGAAAATTTGAAATTCTTGTAAACGTTAAAATCTATTTATTGAAGCAAAAAAAGATGATACTATTTGGTGGAAGAAAATTGATTTGAATTGATTTGAATCATATTGAGACGAATCATATTGAATTGGATTTGAATTTGAATTGAAATTTGAATCATATTGAATAGACTATCTATTGAGACGATCTATTTGGACGAATATTCATCAAAAGACCCACTCAAAAGACAAAAAGAGATTCTTTCATGTCTTGTAAAAACAGCTGCAAACATTTGGAAAGTGGAATACATTGGTGTCTATTTTCTGTAATCTCCGTGGATGGTTTCGTAATAACTCACAAATGACATAACGTAGTTCATACATCGTACATGTATACTCATCCAAAGCATTCGGAAAATGACAAACCCATTGCACAATGTTCACCAAAAAACGTTGATAAACATCATATTCAGTGGAATTTCAATTCCTGCAGCCCAAAGATCACATTGATCGTCCATTCGGGAATTATTTTATTGAAAATAATAAAGCTTTTCAGGAAATGAATGGAAACTTTTCTTGAAATTTTCTAGAGCAGAGCTCTCTTTTGAATCCTTTTTACCTACCTAACCTGCAATTTAGCCTAATTTGAAGGTAGATTAGAGTGCTTATTATCTCTTTTGTCTATTTCAAAAATATTTTGAGCAGTTTGTGTGTGCACGAAAACAGCTTCAATACAGTTACTTCGAGGGAATACGAGAACTTTGCCCACAGAAATGTTATAGTGGTTTTATTAGGTGTAGCTTGAAGGTGTCAGCTATTAAGTCTGTGAAAAAAACAATTTTCTCTAATTTGTACAGTATTTTTAACGCCAATAGCTCAATTTACTTGCTTAGTATACGGTTGTTCCGCGACCACCCAAACAACAATTGAATTCTGAGCGGCGTTTTCATTTTTTTTTCTGTGATGAGCAATGTTGACCTGTTCTATCAACCAATCTTCTAGATTTTCTTATCATGCTGTTGTTTGCTGTTTTACAATTAAAATCTTTCACTTTAGGCCTTTTCATCTCATGTCGGATCGTGAATTGACAAAGAGCGGAGAAATGGAGCAATCACCTACGCCAATCACCGGTTTGTGCATCGTCGCCGATAAGAATAAGCCACCAAGGGGATTCTCAGCTGTGAGTTTTATCCCTGTTTTTAACGGCTTATCTTTAAAAATTTAACTTTTAAACTATTGAAATCTATATTCATGGCCAATGAATGCATTTACTGCTGCACTTACGGTTTTTATTAAAATTTTGATCGTAGTAAGATATAAATCTTGATTTAACGAGATTGTAGGCCAATGACTTGTTTTTTATTTGCTGCTTAATAATATTTTATTCTTTTAGATATCTAAAGCAAATGACGATTCTTCGGATGCCGATTTGTGGCGTGAGAGCTCATTCAGGTAAAATTTTGCAATTAGCTACAATTTTAAATAGACTGTGTAGCTGTTTGTCAGGCTATTTTAAATTTTCGTTTTAGTATCTTCTCTCGTCCCGTTCGATATTTGTGCTTCAGTCGGGACACACCAAATACAGGAATCAAGGTAAAAGTTTTGTTTGACATATCAATGGGTAAAACTGGATTTTAGTTAGCTAATTTATTTTCCTTTAGGCTCCGATTTCGGTGGTGACGGATATTACAATTGTGAAAGAGTCCGAGCCAATTCCACATGGATTCGTTGCCATCGATTACACAGCGGATTCAGGTAAGATTGTAATAATTTGAAACTTATAATCACAAGTTTAATAGCGTAATTGATGATTTATATGTAATACCTGCTAGCATCAAAACTTAATAAAAACTACATCGAAACTAAGTTTACTATTAATACTTAAAGTTTGCTTTAATATATTTCAGAAATAAGACGATTTTTTAAACTACTTTTCTGTTTTAGGAGAGCGAGCCCTTCGTAAAAAGTTTCTTTGTGTGAAGAGCGAGCCACGGGATGCGGTTGTTGATGCTATTGGAGAGGTAGTTTTAATGGCTTTGAACTTTAAATTAAGTATCATCAGACTCTAGAAAGCCTGAATTTATCTTAGATTAGTCAACTTTACGTTTTTTAATCTACTTAGATTGTTCTGCTCAACAAGGCAAAGAAGACACCGAGAGATTACACTTCTGCAGGGTTAGTTTTACTTTATAAAATTTTAATTATGAGTACTTTAGTGAAATCGATGGGATTATGGTGTGTTTTCGAGTGATTGTCATTCCACCAAATTTTGGTGTTCATCATAGCAATTCGTAAGTTCTTTGAACGTGAAAAATTATTTACTAGCTTTGTAACCTAGATATTATAAACACGTTTTATATGTACCGAGAAAAATTGTACGTCAGAATCTTTTTGTGAAACATTGATAAAATCGTGTTTAGAGAAAGAAACATCTCAATAACAGGACAACAACCAACCGGTCTTTATCCAGGTATTTTTATATGATAACAGTTTGATGTCTGTATTTATTGGGTTGATCTCCTCTAAATTTTGGAATAAAAAAGTTTTCGAATGCATTCAACTTTTTGGGAAATTGACGGCACAAAGGGAGAGGTCGTTTTCGAAAAAACCCATTTCAGCTTAGCTATTCCTCAAGTTTTATGGTGTAAAATAACCACCCAGAAAAGAGAAAAGTAAAGATGCTCTGAAATTGTTATATTTTTAAAAAGTTGTATTGGTATATCTATTAGCCAAACATCAAACGGTTAACTCAATTTGAGCGGAGCCAAAACCAAAGGCACCCTTCCATTTTTTGGCCACCTCTTCTGTGCAGTCAGTTTACCCAAAAGCTGAACAAATTCAAAAACTTTTTATATCAAAATGTAGAGATCTTCAGCTTTCGAATAATACTCATATATATCTTTTTCTTGATTTCGTTATCTTGAGAAATTTACAAAATAGTGAAAAACGCGCATTCATAACTGGACAACCCAATAAATACTAATTTTCACATTCAATTTAAATTTGCTTATTTAGGTCTTGGAATCGGTGGCGGTGGTCCATCACAATCAACTCCAGATTTATCAAATGTTGATCATCTCCGATCGGCGGTAAATGCTTTCACAATTAAGGTGTGTTGTTTGCCTATTTTTATTTTTGCTTATTTGCTGACAAAGTTTAGCTTCTTGTTTTAATGTTTCATTTTAGTTAGCCCAGAGTCCAAATTTACAAAACTAATATGATATTTATTTATGATACTGATAATATTTATTTAGCCAATGAATACTGGACCAAAGCCATTGGACGGTGTCGAATTCAAATTGAATCCAATTTACGAACAAATATCTGGGAATAAACAGGTAAGACTTTGTAAATAATAGATAAATGTTTTTATGAAAAAACTGCTGATAAAATCAGTTCATCAGTTTTTGAACTAAAAAATCAATTTTTATTTTCCATTTTAGAAAGATGTCCTTCCAGCATTTCCACAAATCGATTTGTCAAGATTAGATTCAGATGAGATGGATTATCGATATCAATTGGAGCACTCAACTTTGCAATATTGCAGCTAGTTTGCTGTGATTTTTGCAAGTTAAATCACTATTTATTTAATCTAACACCAAGTCTGTACTCAAATTTGCCATACATGGTTCGATTCTTTGAAGTTCTGCAAAAATTTGGCGTTAGCATAATCAAGTACAGACTTGTTTTCCAGGTTTTGCCAATTTCTCACGGGTGCTTTGAATATTTGTCTGTCCTTTGGAAATCTTGCTGAGTTTGCTTTTAAATGTGATTTATTTTTGCATTTCAGATAAAATAAATGAAAGTCTTCTAAAAACGAAAGCACCGTACATCTCTTGACTGGGTATTTTAGTCAATGTCATTTTGATTACTGTAACTTCTTTCTGCAAGTTACAGGAATCAAAAGTACTGTGAATGATATAAGTTACAGTTGCACTAAGCCCCTGCCTCCTTTATAAAACTTGAGACAAAAATTTTATGTTTAAAAAAGCACAGCCATATCCTAATATCTCTTGCAAGAGCCTGCTGATACAATTCGAATTGTAAGCAGTAAACTTTGCCAAAAGGGCATAAAAATTTGGCGCTCAATTCATTTTTCCTTAACGATAAGGGAAAGGTTTCCCAATGAAGACAATTGAGATCTCATTTTTATGTAATCCATTTTTTATTTACTTGGCAAAGTGCATAACAGTTGTACTGTCTAGACTTTTGTCGTTTTTCCTAAAATTACGTCATTCGTCAGACTTGAAATGTTAACAGAAACTTTTGTCTTACCCAAATCTTTGCAATTTCCGATTGCTCAAAAACGCGTGAATGAAAAGACACTTTTGCTTACGAATTTTCAAGTTTTCATTTCTCGTTCTTTTACGAGCGTTCCCAAGTTGCCCAATTTGAACTTCTCTGACTTTTGCTCTTTATCATTCTCATGAGAATTCGGCGAGAGCAACATACATTGAATCTTGTGCCTGTGCGATAAAACAAGAGAGCGGGATTTGTGTGGAGATCTTAGAAAACTTGTATCGGATATCAAAAAGTGAAGTTAATCATAGCTTCATGTCAAACTAATCCTTGTACACAATCGTTTCCGTTCCCTTTCACAATCCTTTCTTTTAAAACCTTACAATTTTCTTCCAGAATTCTGCATTTTACGGTCCGAAATTTGAATAATTGCACAAATGGGTGTTTTCATCATCCCATTATTGTCTATCTGTTTTCACTGGCAATTTCTGACTCGTGATTCATTTTTATCTCTATTTGAAAGGTCTAAAGATTCCAGGGACTCCCTTGTGGGTCGAAGAAGAAAATACCGCCCACTTAACCCATCACAGGCTCAGAATAGTTCTTGAGATGGGTCACTGATAAAGCTTTGCGGATCTTGGGCGTTTTCCCTTCAAAACAGTTCTCAAAACGTGGAATCTTCTCGAAGTTGAATGCCTTTTCTCTAGTTTAGCCTCATTTCATCTCGATTTTCTGATTTCTGAGAACTTCTGACATTCGAGAACTGAGAACTGGCTGACTTCTTGTTGTATGTAGTGAGACTTCTCTTTTCCACTGAGTAGACTCCGTCTGTTCAGTGGAATCTATCTCTTTAGGCCTTTTCATCTCATTGACGAAGGGCGGAGAAATGGAGCAATCACCCACGCCAATCACCGGTTTGTGCATCGTCGCCGATAAGACTAAACCACCAAGGGGATTCTCACCTGTGAGTTTTATCTCTAAGTTTTTAAAGGTTTATCTTTAAAACTTTAACTTTTAAACTATTGAAATCTATATTCATGACCAATGAATATAGATTTCATTGGCATTTGGTGCTGCACTTACGGTTTTTATTAAAATTTTGATCGTAGTAAGATATAAATCTTGATTTAAGGAGATTGTAGGCCAATGACTTGTTTTTATTTGCTGCTTAATAAGATTTTATTCTTTTAGATATCCAAAACAAATGACGATTTGTCAGATGCCGATTTGTGGCGTAAACTTTTGCAATTGGATGCAATTTTAGATAGGCTGTGTGGCTGTTTGTCAGACTATTTTAAATTTTCCTTTTAGTATCTTCTCTCGTCCCGCTCGATATTTGTGCTTCAGTCGGGACACACCAAATACAGGAATCAAGGTAAAAGTTTTGTTTGACATATCAATGGGTAAAACTGGATTTTAGTTAGCTAATTTATTTTCCTTTAGGCTCCGATTTCGGTGGTGACGGATATTACAATTGTGAAAGAGTCCGAGCCAATTCCACATGGATTCGTTGCCATCGATTACACAGCGGATTCAAGTAAGATTGTAATAATTTGAAACTTATAATCACAAGTTTAATAGCGTAATTGATGTTTTATATGAAGTGCCTGCTAGCATCAAAACATTAAAAACTACGTCGAAACTAAGTTTACTATTAATACTTAAACTTTACTTTAATATATTTTAGAACTAAAACGAATTTTTTAAACTACTTTTCTGTTTTAGGAGAGCGAGCCCTTCGTAAAAAGTTTCTTTGTGTGAAGAGCGAGCCACGGGATGCGGTTGTTGATGCTATTGGAGAGGTAGTTTTAATGGTTTTGATCTTTAAATTAAGTATCACCAGACTCTAGAAATCTTGAATTTTTTTAGGTTAGTCAACTTTACGTTTTTTAATCTACTTAGATTGTTCTGCTCAACAAGCCAAAGAAGACACCGAGAGGTTACACTTCTGCAGGGTTAGTTTTACTTTATAAAATTTTAATTGTGCGTACTTTAGTAAAATCCAGGGGATTATGGTGTGTTTTCGAGTGATTGTCATTCCACCAAATTTTGGTATTCATCACAGCAATTCGTAAGTTCTTTGAACGTGAAAAATTATTTACTAGCTTTGTAATCTAGATACTAGATATTATAAAGACGTTTTATATGTACCGAGAAAAATTGTGCGTCAGGATCTTTTTGTGAAACATTGATAAAATCGTGTTTAGAGAAAGAAACATCTCAATAACAGGACAACAACCAACCGGTCTTTATCCAGGTATTTTATATGATAACAGTTTGGTGACTGTATTTAAATACTAATTTTCACATTCAAGTTAAATTTGCTTATTTAGGTCTTGAAGTCGGTGGCGGAGGTCCATCACAATCAACTCCAGATTTATCAAATGTTGATCATCTCCGATCCGCGGTAAATGATTTCACAATTAAGGTGTGTTGTTTGCCTATTTTTGTTTTTGCTTATTTTCTGACAAAGTTTAGCTTCCTGTTTTAATGTTTCATTTTAGTTAGCCCAGAGTCCAAATTTACAAAACTAATATGGTTTATTTAGCCAATGAATACTGGACCAAAGCCATTGGACGGTGTCGAATTCAAATTGAATCCAATTTACGAACAAAGTTCTGGGAATAAACAGGTAAGAAATAATAGATAAATGTTGATAAATGTAGATAAATTCTAAATAATAGATAAATGTTTTTTTATGAAGAAACTGCTGATAAAATCAGTTCATCAGTTTTTGAACTAAAAAATCAATTTTTATTTTCCATTTTAGAAAGATGTCCTTCCAGCATTTCCACAAATCGATTTGTCAAGATTAGATTCAGATGAGATGGATTATCGATATCAATTGGAGCACTCAACTTTACAATATTGCAGCTTACTGCAGCGTAAAGGCTAGTTTACTGTGATTTTTGCAAGTTAAATAATTATTTATTTAATCCAACACCAAGTCTGTAGTCAAATTTGCCATGCAGGGTTGGATTCTTTGAAGTTCTGCAAAAATTTGGCGTTAGCACAATCAAGTACATACTTGTTTTCCAGGTTTTGTCGATTTCTCACGGGTGCTTTGAATATTTGTCTGTTCTTTGGAAATCTTGCTGAGTTTGCTTTTAAATGTGATTTATTTTTGCATTTCAGATAAAATAAATGAAAGTCTTCTAAAAACGAAAGCACCGTACATCTCTTGACTTGAAGCCAAGGTTTTGCGAACATCTTGATTTTCATTTAGGAGTACAAAATACAAACCCCATACCATTTGGGGAACACAATTTTGTTCAGACCGTCACAAGTTCATTTCCCTTTTGTTATAAATTTCTACACTTTTCCCTTTTTCAAATTACCTGAGGGAGATTCTGGTTGAAGGTTTTCCTCGTCACAAAAAAGAATGGCTTCGATAATTAGATGGGGAAAAGTTTTCCCTTGGCAACGCTCGCGAAGAGCTTTATTCCCCTTTTTGGAGAGAAAAGTCTCGACACCAATTCGACCATTCTCGTGGATTTCCTGGGTTGAACAAGGTTTGATTTTCAGTTATTAAATGTATTTATTGATCCACTCTTCATTTTTTATTTTTTCTTTTCTTGAAACATTTCAATCATCTCATTCTCTTATTCACTCACATGAGGTCCATCAAATGAATATTCGAATAGGTTGGGAAAGAGAGAAAGGTAAATTGAGACTCAATTGAACTTTTTCCTTCTCTTTTTGTTATCTCGTTTTACCTGAAACCCAAGGTTTTCCCTGTTCCCTAGATTTTGTCATGTCCACATTCGATGAGGGGAAATCTGATACATTGGACTCTTCGTTGGCCAGGTGGTTCTCATTGTGAATCAGTTTTTTCGAGAGGAAATTCGAGATTGGATTAAACATTTAGGTTCATGGGTTTTTTGGTGAGGAAATGTTCTTGTTGGGCAATTAGTTGATAACTTTAAATGGTAAACTTGCATGATTTCAAAGTTAGCGTCGACTTATTTTTACATCTCGATTGTCAAATTTACATCCAATTGACCTGGAAACAAAACTGTAGCATTTTTTTTGCTCAAAATATCAAACCAACAAAAAATAGTTAAACCCTTGCCTTCTAAAGCAAATCTATTAGTCACCAATGAGATTCACTTTGAATATTTCTCTCTCTCTTTCAGAGTTCCGTTGACTTATCTGCTTTAGTGAAGACGTGGGCTGGGGTTTTCACCTTTCCACCCAAACCGTTCCCCTGATGACTCAAACCCATCCCCAAATATACGTTTTAGTGACTTTTTGTCATGATTTTGTTTTTTTTCCTATAAACTTTGAGATAACTTTCGATTTTGTTTCAAAATTTAAAGCTTTTTTTGAAAAACATTTTTGAAAGTTATTCCCTATTGTTTTTTCTGAATCAGTTCACGAGAGTCAATAGAAAAAGTGATTCAAGCTCTAGTGCAAAAGAAATATTTTTTTAAAAATGACTTCACTTTTGAATGATTCGATCATTTCGATGATTTGGAATAGTCTTTGATTTAAAGAGACTCCATACATTGAACTGCTTGCAACCTTTTTCCGAGAAAATTCTCGGTTGGCGCTTTAAAAGCGTGGTAAAACTACCGTACCCCTTCCAAGCGCGAAATTTCATTTTTTATTCTTGTTCATTTCATTTTATTCCTTTTGCGTTTTTCTGATGTGGTCGCGTTTGTTTTTGCAAGAAATAAAGAGGATAAAGCTAAGTTACGTTTTTAACAGCATTTTCCCTGGCGGAAGCTTTGTTTATCGAGTTTTCTTAGACCCACTTGCTTCTTGAAGATCTGCTCTACGAACTTGATGCCAACTAATGTTAAGTTAAGAGGTTTTAATCATTTTCTACGGCGAAAACTTATTTTTGTGACTTTTTAGTCGTCATTAGTCTTTTATTGATGCAAATTAGGAGGCAGTTTTACCACGCTTTAAAGCGCCAGCTCAGAATTTTCTCGGAAAAAGGACGCAAGTCATTGAACCAAGATCAGTAGCTTTTAGACGTTTTAGAGCTTTTCTGTTGGGTAGTTTTATTCAATGTCATTTTGATTACTGTAACTTCTTTCTGCAAGTTACAGGAATCAAAAGTACTGTGAATGATATAAGTTACAGTTGCAGTAAGTCCCTGCCTCCTTCATAAAACTTGACAAAAAAAAGCACAGTCATATCCTAATATCTCTTGTAAGAGCCTGCTGATACAATTCGAATTGTAAGCAATAAAATTTGCCAATAAGATCACTAACCTACCGTAAATACTGTAATAGTACCCCACCCCCCTCGTACAGTCGCGTAGTCGCAAAAGTTTTTTAGTATTTCATTTTTTTCAAAGCGCCCGTACTTTCAAAAATGAGTATTTGGTATCAAAAAATAGCTGAAATTCAGGGCTATTTTTTGATACCTAAGCGCGCATTGTAGCATAAACCAGTGTCGAGAAAAACTCGTTCAAAGCTAGACTACACAACACTCCGCACCGTCATGATGGGGGTGGGGTACTATTACAGTATTTACGGTAGCTGATTTTGAGTGAAAAACATCCAACATTACTCCAATCTTTCACCAATCCTGATTGTTTTCCTTATAAAAGTACGCACTCAAAATTCTTTTCCGTGACATCGTTTGTTTTTTTAAAAATATTTTGATTTCTCTCTTTTCGATTCATCCTTTTTCTTTTTTCGGAACTATTTCGATTTTGCCGGTTTTCTCTGTGTTAAACGAATTTTCACTGAAAAGGAATTCAAAAGAGTAAGAAGAAAAAAGAAAATAGTTGAAGTGACTAATAGGCAAAAAAAGGGCATAAAAATTTGGCGCTCAATTCATTTTTTCCTTAACAATAAGGGAAAGGTTTCCCAATGAAGACAATTGAGATCTCATTTTTATGTAATCCATTTTTTATTTACTTGGCAAAGTGCATAACAGTTGTACTATCTAGACTTTTGTCATTTTTCCTAAAATTACGTCATTTGTCAGACTTGAAATGTTAACCGAAACTTTTGTCTTGCCCAAATCTTTGCACTGATACAAATTCGACTTTTTCAAGCTCTAAATTTTTTGAATAAATGTTTAAGTGAGACATTTTTGATAAATCTGATCAAAATTTAATCAAATCTTCCTTTTTTAGAAACACGGTTTATTTAAAAAGTTATTGAAATCGCTTATCGAGGCTTCCACTTGATGAAAACTTCAAAAATCACCAATTGTTGAATAGTTTGTTGAACAATCTCTCATTCTCTTTCTTTTCCCAAAACCTTATTTCTTTGGGAAAAAGCCACTTCCGATTGCTCAAAAACGCGTGAATGAAAAGACACTTTTGCTTACGAGTTTTCAAGTTTTCATTTCTCGTTCTTTTACGAGCGTTCCCAAGTTGCCCAATTTAAATTCCACCGACTTTTGCTCTTTACCATTCTCATGAGAATTCGGTGAGAACAACATTGGATTGATTGACATTACATTGACAACGTACATTGAATCTTGTCCCTGTGCGATAAAACAAGAGAGCGGGATTTGTGTGGAGATCTTAGAAAACTTGTATCGGATATCGAAAAGTGAAGTTAATCATAGCTTCATGTCAAACTAATCCTTGTACACAGTCCACAATCCTTTCTTTTAAAACCTTACAATTTTCTTCAAGAATTCTGCATTTTACGGTCCAAAATTTGAATAATTGCACAATTGGGTGCTTTCATCATCCCATTATTGTCTATCAGATGATTTTGCTTCAAATATTGCTCATTTTTTGAGGTGAGAACACTCGAAAATTGTTCACTCCGCCCTCACATCACATTTCACTCCACCGATCAACCAGAAATTTGCATATTGATGCCTCTTTTCTTGTTGTATGTAGTGAGACTTCTCTTTTCCACTGAATAGACTCCGTTTCGACCAAAAATAACTAGAAACTTCAGAAATCACTCAATCATGGCATGAACGAGGATAAATAGGAGGCAATGCTTGTTAGTAGAGAGCTTTCGTTTGAAATGAAGCCACTATACATTTTGAAAGTCGCGGATTTCTGTAATTTCCGGATTTCTGTAAATTTCTGATATCTGCTTCTGTTTTCACTTGCAATTTCTGACTCGTGATTCATTTTTATCTCGAATTGAAAGGTCTAAAGATTCCAGGGACTCCCTTGTGAATCGAAGAAGAAAGTACCGCCCACTTAACCCTTCACAGGTTCAGAATAGTTCTTGAGATGGGTCACTGATAAAGCTTTGCGAATCTTTGGCGCTTTCCCTTCAAAACAGTTCTCAAAACGTGGAATCTTCTCGAAGTTGAATGCCTTTTCTCTAGTTTAGCCTCATTTCATCTCGATTTTCTGTTTTCTGAGAACTTCTGACATTCGAGAACTGAGAACTGGCTGACTTCTGCTGGCTACTGTGTCACAGACACGGTATTTGTTTACTTTTCAGTTATTGCCGTGTTTTCACCCAATCCATCGCAGTCAGCTTCTCTTGACATTCCCAATGGTTTACCCGTTTTACACTTTCATCTGTGCCTTTCCTCACTTCTTCTCATTTTCTTTTCTTTTCTTTTTCTTTTCAATTTCCCCTCACCTTTCCCCTTCTCTTCACTTCGAAAGCAAACAAAAATTGCACTGAAGTCTCCCCTTCTTTTTTGACGTGAAAACTTTTAAACTCTGAAAATACCTTTTGAAATCTTATTTCACATTTGACCAAAGTTTTTCGAGTGTTTGCTTTGACAAAAGATTTTGAGACAAATATTTTTAAAAGAAGAATCCACTCCTCTAGTGAATTCTCGACGTGTGAATTGCTTTGTTGGCTTAAGTTTAAGCACACAACAGTGCAATACTCTTGTATTCTTTTATTGTTTATTTAAAAATCGACTCTAACGACTCTCTTTTCATTCGCTCACTTTTAGCTACTATTTTTGTCAATTTTTTTTTGATTTTTCAAAAGCAATAACCGTTTATTCACTATTCAACAATGATATTTGTCGACATTTTTGTAGTTTTCTCAAAAATTCGAAATGAATTTGACAAAAGAAAAGTAATTTCTCACCACCCAAACATTTGTAAGAATTCTTCAACCAAATTTTTCTTTAAATGATTCATAAACTTTATTTTGATCATCGATTCCTTTTTTTTCTTACAATTTCACAATGGGAATAAGAGTTTGAGTTTATTCTTTTCTTGTTTTAAAGTCAAATTCAGATATCCCAAATGACGGGCTCAAAAGAGAATGTTGACACCGAGTTGCATGTCGTGATTTTGGGACCCGATCAAAAACATGTTTTGGTAAGTAGCCTATCGATTTGTAAAAGCTTTGCAAAAGCTTTACAAAGCTTTACAAAAGCTCTATCCCTTTCACAATCCACTTTACAAAGGACAATTCTTACTTTACGATTTCTATTCTATTTCTTGTCATTTGCCTACTGTCCCCTCACCTCAAAAATCACCGATAAAAACTTTTTCTGCGAAATTCGAATTCTCATCACGGAATCTTTTATCGCGAAATTCCCCTTCGTCGGCTTTTTTTTTTGATAAGACCTATCACATGGGTTTATTAGTGCTAAAATGGGCAAAACCATCTGTGATTTGAGAGAAAATTGAAGTGAAAGGTGCTAGGTTAAAGGAAAATTTTGGAATTGATTCTGGATTGATTGTAAAATAAAATTTTAGTTTAAAAAATTGTGTCGAGCTGCGGACAAATATGAGAAACATGTGCATTACCAAGATGTTCATTATCTTCATGTGAATAAGCCTGCAGATGGGACAGAAGAAGTCATTGAGATCACCGATCCGGGATTGGTGAGTGGAAAGGGTCAAGGAACTCTATTTGAATTTGTATTGAATTTTTGATTTTTTCTCGACAGGATTACGGTAACTTTTCTCGCGCTTTAGAAAACGTATTCATCGCGAGGAACACAGTATGAAGGATATCATATCATTAACTCAAGAATATAGCTATTGGGTTAGTGAATTGAAAACTGCGGGACTTTGAACTAAAATTTATTCAACATAAAACCATGAATTCATTCCAAATAATTTCCATTGTTATTGACGACTTCTGCCGATTTTACAGGCAATTTGCGGATTCCTCTTTCGTAGTAGGATTTTGGTTTGTGTGTGAGACAAGTGTGAGACTCAAAAATCGAGGACTGGAGATGGAGACTGGAGATCCCAGCTTGAGCACTTTCTTCAAAAGAAACCCATTTTGGTGTCAATGGAAAAGTTGTAGAGAATCAAAAATTAGGCTGATAGCGAAATTTCCAAAAAGATACACTTAGTAGTTTCGCTTAAAATGCAAGTTTTGTGAAAATTCGTAAATTTGGCATTTCTTGAAAACCAGTTTTTGAATCGTTCTGAAAATTTGGATATAAGCTTGATTTTTGATTCTCTACAACTTTTCCATTGACACCAAAATGGGTTTCTTTTGAAGAAAGTCCTCGAACTGTCACATATGACAATAGCCCGCAGTTTTCAATTCACCAACCCATCAATTTTTCGCGGTTTTCAATTCACCAACTAAATATATCAGGAACTCAAGAATATAGCTATTTTGCTTGATTTTAAACCTATTCCATGAACAATTCATCAAATAGACCAATTTTGTGTAAAGCTAAAGCCAAATACACAAATTTTGTGTAGAGCCAAAGTTAAAGCCACCCTTCTTCTATCCATTTCATTCAGGGTCACACCGGAAACCGTGAAATGGCCATTCGTAAATGTAATCTTGCCTTGATTTATTGCTCTGTCTCAACAACTTCCGATCTTCAACGAATCGAGTCACTCATCCCGGATTTCGATTTGAGAAAAACGGTTTGTCAAATGAGTTCAATTCTAAGGTTTTTGCAAAATTTTGTAGCCAAATAATCACTTTTTTTCTTGTTTCCAATCGCATTATCTGAAATGCTCTTTCGAAATTCGTGTTGTATTTTCTGATATCATTCCCTTTTCCGTTCTCTTTCAAACAGTTCACCGGTCAATACGTGGGGTCTAAAGGGAAGGGTTTTGTGTGCACGAGATCGAAGTGGGGAATCGGGTTCTTCGCTTGTTCCCTTCTTCCCTTCTTCCCTTCTTCCCTTCTTCCCTTCTCCCCTTCTTCACTTCTTCACTTCACTCACAAACTCATGTTTGCTTTCACCCTCTTTTTTTATTGGTGACCAATCAAAAAGATGGAGGTCAGACGATGAAAAATGCATCGTTTCTCAAAGCATAATGTACAAAAATGTATAGAATTAGTAGTTGAACTTAAGCAATTCAAAAGGGTTAAAGGCCTGAGCCTGAGCCTGAGCTTAAAAAGCAGGCTCAGCAAAAAAGTATGGCAAGAATTAAGGACGAAAAATTGAAAAGTAAACTGTTTAGCAAACACTGTAGTGCTTTTGGGCACATCTTCTATTCATATTAGATTTCAAACTGGATAGAAGTAGTTGTAAAAACGGTTAGAAACTAGGTTGGGAATCTATTGAGCAAGTGCTTGTTGAGCTTTGAATCAATTGAACCTCCTCCTGGCTATTCCGGGTTTCTTTTAAGTTATCAGGCATTTGAACCCCTTTTTCCATTGGTAATCTAACTTTAAGCTCAAATTTCTTGGTGTTCGGGTGTCCAATTGTAATATTCTTGATATCATTAAATGCGCCAAGACTTTCTCTATCGATTGGTACAAAAACTATTTAAATTGAACAGCCCGACACAAAGAAATTTGAGCTCAAAGTTCGATTGTCAATGGCAAAGAGGGTAAATCAGATGTCCCACAATCTTCTTTTTAACCGTCAACAAATTTTGGGTTCAGTTGTGAGATGAGGGTGTCAGTCTGACCGAGTGGAGAGGGTCTCGTGTCCAAAATACACGAGACACTTGTCGAAAAGCCGAAAAAGCTCTCTCCCTGTGCACACATTTCCCCTTTCTGACCTCTCCTATTTATTTCCATTTTCCCAGAAATTCTCACGAGAAACTAAACGGCTTTCCGTTGAGGTCAAAGCACTTGAAAAGTATCTTCACAATTGAAATTGTGCAAGGAAATGACTTTCATGTGAAAGCAAGTTGTGAATCAATGAATTTCAAAGTCTTGCATCATTGCCATGGTGATTTTTGCCCGAAAACGATCTAATTTCCCCGGAGAAATCTTTTCTTATGCTTCTTATGCTACAAAAATGTTTCAAGAGTTTGATGGAATCAAAAAAATAGTGAAATCAAATTCAGGTTCCTGTTCGATTCCTCTTCGACGTTGATGAGGTGGCGATTGATGAAGAGGACAGCTCATCTACAGGGATTTCCTCGGTTTCTGAAGGTGAATCTTTGCATCAGAGACATCAAGAGACTAGTGGATAAAATTTGAGATTTTTAGATTCTAAAGAGTACACAATTTCTCTATAGAATCTAATTTCTGACCTAAACATTTTACAACAAAATATAGAAGAAAGAAGTCACCCAAACACGGGCACAAGCTCACCTGAAGAAGGATTTATTGAGGGTAATTCTGAAATCCCAATGTTGTCCGTTCAAAATCCCTTGTGTGCAAAAGAGAGCATTTTTTGACGCTTAGAGATAGAAGTGTTGTGTATTTTTGCTTGAGAATAATTGCTTGAAAGCTTTTGATTATTGGAAAGTTTAGGATATGAATCGGACACGGATTTGGAGGGACCAAAAAGGAAGAATTCGATGGATAAAATAAGGAGACAAAACGAAGAGGGGATGGTCACGATGCAACAGGTAAAATATAGAAGAAAGAAGTCACCCAAACACGGGCACAAGCTCACCTGAAGAAGGATTTATTGAGGATATCGGAAGGGAAAGGAAAGAGAATAGGAAGGGAAAGGGGAAGAGAATCCGAAGGGAATCAGAAGAGATTCCAAAGGACAATCGGTTGAAGTATTGTAAAAAATAAACAAAGCAATTCATTGTAAAGGATTCATCAAAGCTTTTCAATTGAAGCTTTTCAATTGAAGCCTTCCAAACAATTAGATATCCTTTTAGATCAGTGAACTGTCCACACGATTTGGCCCAGACGTGCGAGTTGAACAGATCTCCTCCAATCAAATGGTTGATGCAAGGGGATTGCTTGAGACAATCATGGAAGAAGCTGCAAAAAGCAAGTACTGTTTAGAACAATTTCTCTACGAAAACAATAATCAATATTTCTATTTAAGTGCTAAGTAGGATCTAAAAGGATTTCTCTATTTAACACATTCACGAAAAATCCATTTTTGTCTTGACTGTCGTCTGGACGACAGTTATCTCTTAGCTGTAGCTGTAGACCTGAAACTGTAGACTTCCATCTCTTAGCTATAGCTGTAGACCTGAAAATTCGTAACTGGAGACATTCCGGGATGGAGAATCTGAATCCGTTATTAGTTTTTAAGCAATTTTAATTTCCAAGCCAATACGGGCATCATAAAGCTCTCTAAAGACTTGGGTAATTAAAACAAATTGTAGAAAAAGGAAGGACAATACCAAGTTTAGATATTGTCCTATCACTAGAGACCGTGTGCCAGAAGTCGCACGATTACGTAAACATAAAATTTTGACGTTTTTGTAATCGCACGCCTTCTGGCTCACTGGCATGGATTTGGGATTGCACTTGGGTAATAAAACCGAATGAAATATCCAAAAATAGAGCAGTTCTCTTTCAAAGCTAATAACGGATTCGAATTCCTTGACCCTGAAAACCCTCTGGTATAAATTTGGAGCCCAATTGGCCTCAAAAAAAAGTGCTAAATTCAAATAAGACCACAACAATCACAACAATACGGCCCACGGTGGGCCGTATCGTTGTGAATGTGTTAAGCAAATGTACAATACATTTAACACATTGCACATTCACTTTTTAGAAAGAAAACAACGCCAAAGAAACGCCTTCTTTCCATTGGTGGGAACAAAAGTCGAGAGGGATCAAAATCCCGTCAAAATTCGGCTGATTCTGAAGAAAAGAAAAAGGAAACAAAAGGAAAAGATAAAAATGGACAAAAGGATAGTAAAGTGTGCTCGATTATGTAGCAAAAAGAAGTCTCTGATGTCAAGGATGAGAAGCCAGAATTCAGGCTTTAATCGACTGTCTTTACTGTCTTCATCTGTTCTTTGTTTCAGCTTTGTTGGCTTCATTAGCTAGTGCCTCTTCACTAATATAAAGGCAATGTAAATTTGTGATTTTTGCAATTCCATTCTTGAATCTAGTCAACCATTCCTTGTGGCAATCAATTCGATTCGAGCATTTTCCCATTTTCATTGTTTCATTGTCGATTTTCCATCAAAACACGGGTTTCAATGGCAAACTCGGTTCGCTTTTTCTCTTTTCTTTTACCAATTACTTTTATTATTTTTCTTTTCTTTCTTTGATCTCCACATTTCTCATATTCCCGGTATTATTCAATTCATCTCTCGGTGTTCATTACTCTACTTTTCGGTGACAATTTTAGAGTTTCATCTTTACTGGTTAATAAAATTATTTATTGATTACCTAAAAAGTGGATAACAAGAGGAATTGTAAGGGATTTTTGTAGTCTAAACATCATCTCTATCATCGTTGTGATTTGGTGACTGGATCTCGACATTTGCATCCCAGTTACTGGCGATTACCTGCAAGTAAGGGATCCTCTGGAAATACCCACAAGTATTTCATATTCAATTTTAAAGCTGACATAAAGCTGACATAAGACTGACTTAAAGCTGACATAAAGCTGACTTAAAGTTGCCTTAAAGCTGATTTAAAGCTGACTTAAAGCTGACTTAAAGCTGGTAAAGTTGAAAGCTGAAAGTGAGCTACTGATTTCGATAGTTTTTGTTCAGAACAAAACGATTCACCTTGAAGTTTGGACTCAAGACTCCAGTCTCGGGATTCTCGATCTCGATATAATAATATGTCCATTGATTCGTTTCATCCAATCGAATTCCCTAAATATTTTCCAATAACGTGAATTTCCTCGAATTTCATACAGTCATCGCCCCATTTCCTTCAATTTTCTCCCAATCATTCTTCAAATCGGCATCATCGGTGAAGTAAAGACTCCAACTTCCCTAAAAGCTTTCAATGAACTTTCCATGAGCTTTTAATGAGCTTTCAATGAGCTTTTAATGAGCTTTCAATCATCTTTCAATCATCATCTCAATGATCCTAAGTGAAAATGGAGAGTCTATTTGTTTTTTACAACTTTTTCTTATAAACTTTCTTTATTTCTTTTCTTCATTTCTTCATTTCTTCCTCACCCTAATTCCCAGCCATTGAGCCAATCTCGGATCCACTGTAATCATCACACTTCCATCATCGAATTCAGCCGAAATCAAATTCTCTCTCCAATCGGGGGATAATCCTGAAATGTTGAGGATTCAAACAGAATTCAATATCTATTGAAAAACAATAGATATAGAAATAACCTCGTTACTCGCTTACTCGGAACTACTAGCTTACTCGGAACTACTAGCTTACTCGGAGCTACTAGCTTACTCGGAGCTACTAGCTTACTCGGAGCTACTAGCTTACTCGGAGCTACTAGCTTACTCGGGGCTACTAGCTTACTCGTTACTCGCTTACTCGAAACTACTAGCTTACTCGGAATAATCTCGGTGACCACTCTCCACACACTGGCGCCAGATGGGTTTTGAGCACTAAAATCTTTTAATATCTTTTAAAAAAACCTGCCCCAGTTCAATATTTGTAGCTTTATTAACATTTTCCATATCTTTTCTTATCTTTACCAAACCTGCATCGAAACTCAGCTCTCGAAGTGATATTGTAAGCACGAAGATAGTGCTGACCACGATGCGAAACCGTTTTGAACTGAAAACTCGTGTAAAGTACAAGTGTTGTGGCTTAAACCTTAAGATCTTCAGGCTTTTCTTGAACAATCCACTGAATATTCGGTTCCGGATTTCCCGTTCCATTACAAGCAAGAGTCAATCTTGATCCAGGCAAGATATCTAATTTCGTCAAGCCGTTTTGTCCCGGCAATGAAGGATGGATTTGAACGGATGGATTAGAATCTACAACTGGAAATGCTTTCAATTTTAGATATTTCATTACGTGGACTCCATCTCGGTGCTTGTGTTCTCACTTCGGGTACATATCGAGTAGTTGGGGGTCTTGTTCGTTCAGTTGTAGTGATTGTCGGACGAGTTCTCATCGTTGTAGTGGTTGTGGTTGTTGTGGTTGTTGTTGTCGTCGTTGTCGTCGTCGTTTTTGTCGTTGTTGTTGTCGTTGTTGTTGTTGTAGCTAAACTTTGCCTTAACTTTATAAACCACTAATATCACTTGTCATTGGTGTAGTGCTTGTGATAGTCGTTCTCGGAGTGGTTGTCGCTGTTGTGGTTGTTGGAGTTGTAGTGGATTGAGTCGTTGGATAGGTTCGTCTTGCTAACAAAAACTTTAAGACAACAGCTAAATTTACTTGTGATTTCATCTCGCCAAACTTCATTGATCACAATGTCTCGGCTGTCTGAAAAGATTGACTTCAGGGTTTTAGCTGACTGCTTAGCTAAGTAAAACTGGCTGCTTAGCTAAGTAAAACGAATACTTAGCTAAACAGCTAGAGTGCAAACAGCTAAACAGCTTTAAAGCTCTACCGTGGAATGGCAGTGGAGTCGTAGAAGTAGTCTTGATAATCCACTGTGTCACTGGGAAATTTGGAGGTGTTGCTGAAAACAGAAGACAGTATAAAGCCATCCAAATCTCAAGATCAAAACCATTACATGCAACTTAAACCCGAACGTTTCGGTCTTTGTCTAATCCTTTTCTTTGTAATCCTTGTTGTTATTTCTTCATCATCATCATATTCAGATCGATTTTCTTCTTTCTGTGCCTCTCCATTGTCCACCGAATACTTAATCATTTCCACAGTTTTCGAAGAAAATTTTGGATCAATCCATTTTCTTGTTGTATAAATTGGCAAAGAAAAGGCTGAAATGCTTAGTTCGATCAACAAAAAGACATGCTTTCATTCATTATTTCATGCAAAAACCTTTTGTCTGTAGTCGTTGAGGGTTTTGGAATGGAAGCTGGCGTTGAGAAGAACCTAAAGTTGATGTTGAAATGGAATTCCTTTTCAAGAGCACCTCTCACATTCACTCTAATCGTCCTTCGATCAGTGCCCATCTCGTTTTGAGCCTAGAATTGAGTCTTTGTTTGTAAACTGGCTTTGACAAGACAAGACAAATTGGCTTTGACAAGACAAACCTCACAAGTAAACTTCGTACTCTCTCTTAATCCCCACATCTGCATTTTTGAGACTGCACTCCGTTCGGGCTTTGACATGACTTTGTTTCTGAACTTGAAATATTCCTAACTCTATTTTTCATAAACCCGTGAAGCCATGTGATCATAGCAGTCGGATCAGCACTGACATTACAAGTGATATCAAGAGAAGCTCCAGAATCAATCCAAACATCCATTCCCTCAAGAATTGTGATTCGAGGAGCCACAGCTGAAGATCTAGTGAGTAATCTGTATCTTGAATTGTACCTGGGGGTCTTGTTGTAACCGAAATCGGATTAGAAACAACTCCTGGTCCTTTTGTGTCAAATGCTTGCAATCGAATAAAGTATTCAGTTGATGGACGAAGTCCGTAGATTGACATTTCTTTTGCTTGCCCTAGAAAGGTTGTTTGTTTGAACGATTTGAAAGATTTTTTCTATTCTTTTACCATTCACATAGTCGACTTTCCATTCCTCAAATGGTTGATGTTGATTTTCTGTGTAATAAACAGCACATCTTGTTAATGGATTATTCACAACAAGTGGCGGATCCCATCGGAAAAAGATTGATTCTCGATCAGGACGGAGAGCTGTGAGAATGGGTGGAGTTCCGGGACCTGGAAAAACTGTCTGTTCTGCTTCTGGGCCTTAGCCGTTATCCAGGAAACTTCTAACCACCGCCAATCGATTTTCCGTGTCGGTTTACATAGGAAAAGCGAACTAAAAATCCGATTTAAAGCTGGTGGAGCGAGCTTGGGGGGCTTAAAGTTGGATCGTCAAAGGGCCTTTTTGCACCTCTGCTCAACTTTCGGCCCCTCTAGCTCACTCCACAAGTTTTAAATCGGATTTTTAGCTCACTTGTCCTATGTAAAACGACACGGAGAAACGATTGGCTGTGGTTAGAAGTTTCCTGGATAACGGCTAAGGGAATAAAATCTCTCAATAAGCTTTTAAATCTTTAATCTTTAAAGTTTTTAAACAAATACCCCCTAAATTTGCTTACAAAAAAGCAAATTTGAATTGAATTTCATAGAAAAATTTCATTGTAGCCATGATGTAGCCTGAAGATTTTACTAAATTTTTTTTCTGTGGGTTGGACGAAGGACGAAGGACGGAGCTTAGCTAATTGGATTGATTAGACGAAGGACAAAGCTCTAGCTACTCTCCCAAAAACATCGAAATCCTGGCTACAGCTCTGATTCTTGGGGTTATGAAAAACTACTCACCATGTGCAGAAAAGTAGCTCTTCTCTGTGAAATCTTATTTAATGTTTTTGATTTTGAATATCTCTGATTCTCCTGTCCTTCCTCTAAAGATCGTTTTGTGTGATAAAGAGAGACGGAGGCCACTTTGTATTGCTTTTCTTTGACTTTGAAACACTGAACCAACGATTGGCTAGATTAGTAATTGTGTTATATTCGGAATAAATATCTAATAATGATTGCCCCATCGGTACCCCCTCACGCACTGCACAACTCACCATTTACCCTCACTTCAATCGTTCGCTGCACTTTTCCCAAAGAGTTTGACGCTATGCAAGTAAATCTGCAAAAGAAAGTAAAGAAAATGATTTCGAAAGCATTTCCTCAAACCTTTCCGTTTTGTAGAGACTCTTGATGATCAGATATTGTTCACTCATGTAAGCGAATGGATTCTCGTTCACATTTGGAACCGCTTGATCAGTGCTGGAATCGAATTTCAAGAATCACTGTTACCTGCTGATTACCTGATCCAGAACAATCTTGGGAAAGGATAAGAGACAGCCGAACAAGTGATATTGATTCCTTGTCCTGCTCGTACTTCGTATGGTGGATCGGGTGTGATCGTCAGACGAGGAGCTCCCTTTAGCACTAGAAATTTGTTTTGAAATCTTTAAAATTCGGATTCTTTACGAACCATAGCATGACTCTTGTCGTGGACATTTGCAATTCGCTTGTTCATCGTTGAGAATCGCACAAGTGCATCCGCCAAGACTATCACAATTCACTGGTGGTCTTTCTGAAGAAGAGATTGGATTAACAAAGTATTTCTTAATGTATCTAAGTAAAATGAATGTAAAATGAATCAATTTTTACATGTAAACAAACCTCTAAAAGTCCTTGTGATTGCCAGAGAAACGAAACTGAACACAATCAAATGCCGAAGAAATCCCCACCGACCCATCGTTGAGATTCAAAAATCGGTTAAATTAATGACAAGAAAACGGTTAATTTAATGACAGCTAAGGAAGATTAAGTTAAAGAAGATTTACAGCTAAACAGCTAGTTAAGAAAGACTTTTTTAATAAATTTAGGCCTAGAGAAAAATCGAATAAAACAACGCTCAGACTTGGCGATGAAAAAGAAGAGAAAAAAAGTTTGTGTGGAAAAATTATAAACAAAAGCTTTTTTTGAAGAGAATTTATTTGACGAAATAAAGAAAAAGAAAGAGTGGAATGAGCGAAAAAAACTGAGATTGAGGCGGAAATAGAAATCGGGGAGTGATCGGGGACTTTCGAGAACTTTGAAGCTTCTGTAAGCAAAGAATGGTCAGTGAAAAGCGTTTAGAGTCAATGGGGAAGTTGATAAGGCTAAGCAAAATCATTTTCCAAAACTAAATTTCCGATTAATGTATCATAAGTGTTTGTTCTGTTATCGCTGGTGAGCGAAACCTTCGAAAATCCTCCTTCCATATGGTCTGCTTCTTCCTTTACCCAATTGACAACAAGAGGAGAGATTTGAAACACATGTCTAGACACATTTCTCTTTACTTTCTGCTTCTTATGTCTCACTTTCAATTGTAAAATCAAAAAAGTGAAGATATTGTAATGTATTGGGTTGGTGAATTGAAAATTGCGGGCTATGGTCATATGTGACAGTTTGAGGACTTTCTTCAAAAGAAACCCATTTTGGTGTCAATGGAAAAGTTGTAGAGAATCAAAAATACAGCTTATATCCAAATTTTCAGAACGATTCAAAAACTGGTTTTCAAGAAATGCCAAATTTACAAATTTTCACAAAACTTGCATTTTAAGCGAAACTACTAAGTGTATCTTTTTGGAAATTTGGCAAAGCCAATTTTGATTCTCTACACTCTGACACGAAATGGGTTCTTTGAAGAAAGGCCAAACGGGCTGACGCCGCACTCCAGTCCTCGATTTTGAGTCTCACACTTGTCTCAACACAAACCAAAACCACTACGAAAGAGGAACCGCAAATGCCGTAAAAGGGCGAAGTCGTCAATAATAGTGGAAATTATTGGAATGAATTGGTGGTTTTGTGGAAGTAGATTCAAAGCCGGCGTTTCAATTCACTGACATGGGCTTTACGTAGCGTATTCCTTCACCTCTAAGCTATTAAGCTTGTTTATTTTATTATATAAAATTGTTTTCAAACATTTAAGCCAATTTCATGGTTTAAGCTTAATTTCTTTAGCGCTCTTCAAACATACCAAATGCCAAATTTACGAATTTTCACAAAACTTGCATTTTAAGCGAAACTACTAAGTGTATCTTTTTGGAAATTTGGCTATAAGTCTAATTTTTGATTCTCTACAGCTTTTCTATTGACACCAAAATGGGTTTCTTTTGAAGAAAGTGCTCAAATGCTCAAACTGGGACACCTCCAGTCCTCGATTTTTGAGTCTCACACTTGTCTCACACACAAACCAAAATCCTACTACGAAAGAGGAATCCTCTTGATTGGGTTGGTGAATTGAAAACTGCGGGACTTTAAACTAAAATTTATTGAACATAAAACCATGAATTGATTCCGAATAATTTCCATTATTATTGACGACTTCTGCCCATTTTACAGGCAATTTGCGGATTCCTCTTTCGTAATCGATTCCTCAAGCCCCGATGACCCCCGGGTATAATTTTTTAGCTTAAACCCCATCAGGGCATCATTTTCAGAACAAAAGGCCCGGTGTAAAGTAAAGCGAGTGGTTCTTTGTGCGGCCGCGTAATCGTCTGGCGCAAGGCTTTTCCATAAGGGCCCTTTCCCAGCGACGTGTTTAGGTCTTGCTTACACTATCCGTTTCCAAGGGCGGCGAGTCACTTTGGTTTGTATAGCCCCTTTTGGCACAAAACTTCTCTGGGAGCTCTGGCCACTCTAGCCCCTACCGCGTCGCCGCCCCGTCCCGGACGCAAAGCCACAATCGAAAAGGCGAATTGATCGGTACTAATCGGTTACCTAATTAGCTGAAATCCAAAAGCAAAAGAAAATTGATCAAATGGCTCTTTTCAATGCTTTCAAGCTGATGTGTTTTGCACAGCTGCGTGCAGATTTCCCCGACAATTCATTCAGCGAATAATTCGCAAAAGCGATGAGCAATTTGGATGACGAGCGATTGAAGGTTTAAGCAAACCAATGTTAAATTTTAGTTTTGATCCCAAATTCTGATGCTGTATATAAAAAAGCTAGTGTTAGCGAGATTCGTAAACGAAGAGATTACACAACGCTCGTTCTTTTGATATTGAAAGAATTGAAGATGAATTAAATTTGAATTGAACATGAAAAATGGCTCTCATTGCTCTCTTTTTTACTATCAGAAGAAAAAGAATGAACTTTTGAAGAACTTTTGTCGTTGAGCGGATTAAAACATAAAACTTTTACTTTATCTTTGCTTTTTATGTGGAAAAAAGAAGAATCTCTTGAAATGTTGATTTTCTGATGTTTTCTTTTTAAGCTTTCCAACGAAAATGATCGACTGGACGATTTGGAGTCGATTCGGGAGTCCATCTAAAAGAAATAGTTGATGCAAAGAAAAGGAAAGATCAAATGATTTACCAAAGATTACGTTTTACCCAATTTCATTACCCAATATTTCATTAAACGATCAGTTTCGAAGATTTCGTACTTGATCCACCAGATGGATACGAATCTGGTACAGTTAACTAGTCAATCAGTTAGCATACGCTATTACAGTTAACTAGTTATCAGTTAGCATCAGGTACAATTAACTAGTCAATCAATTTAGCATACGCTATTTTACTCTATCACAAACGTCAAAGCTTTCAAGACTTATACACGAACGACTGTTAGTAATAGGCTTGGTTTTGAATAGGATTCAAATGGCTTACAAGTATTAAATTTTGATTGGAGACTTTTTATTTTTTAAATATTATCTGTAGACTGAATGGTTTATAGAAAACGCTTCTACAAACTCCTCAAGAAGAGTTTCTGCCAATTTCCTTTTATTTATGTCACTAGGGGAAGATATTAGACAAAAAGGATCTCTTTTGACTTCATCAAAAAAAGATTGAGACCACTAGACAAGCTTTTTGATGGGTCAAATTGGATCGGAGCAGTCTTCGGATCCGATCCGAAATAGTTCAACAACTAATTAGCTTTGTGCTTGTAGCTTTTTATTCTTTTTAACCATTTAAAGCTATTCAGTTATCCGTCTTAATAGCGTAATTCAGTTGTGTATTTCATTTAGCTTTTTCTGAGTGCTCTTTGTTATGTTATTGATTTTGTGCTGAGTAATGACTAAAGCTTAGGATTTTTGTCTATATTTTTAACGTTCTGAGTACAATCTGCACTTTTGAAACTAGTTTTAGCCCGTAGAAATGCTGTGAACTAAATTGCAGTTGCAAAGGCGTATTTCATTAGAGTTCCCGATCAAAGATCAAAGGCTAAATGGCTTTGATTCGATTTGATCGGAAAATTTGAGATTTCGAATCTAATTTGGCCACCAAAGGACCAAAAGAGACAAAGCTTTCTAATTGGAAGAAAGCTTTGGAGCTTAAAAGAGCTGTCAAAATGTAAGTGCAAATCCCCCGCTTATCTTGATTGTGAGCTTGTTTTTAACTCACTTTCCATCGGTGTATTTCAAACAAACAGTTGCATAAGCAAGTGCAAAATAACCATCTTTGTTGATTTGACCCTTTCCGGAAAGATGGACATAGGCGTAATATTCGGGAGAGTTTTGCTGAAATTATTGGGTTGGTGAATTGAAAACTGCGGGCTATTGTCATATGTGACAGTTTGAGCACTTTCTTCAAAAGAAACCCATTTTGGTGTCAATGGAAAAGTTGTAGAGAATCAAAAATCAAGCTTATATCCAAATTTTCAGAACGATTCAAAAACTGGTTTTCAAGAAATGCCAAATTTACGAATTTTCACAAAACTTGCATTTTAAGCGAAACTCCTAAGTGTATCTTTTTGGAAATTTGGCTATAAACCTAATTTTTGATTCTCTACAACTTTTCTATTGACACCGAAATGTGTTTCTTTTGAAGAAACTGCTCAAATGCTCAAACTGGGACATCTCCGGTCCTCGATTTTTGAGTCTCACACTTGTCTCACACACAAACCAAAATCCTACTACGAAAGAGGAATCCGCAAATTGCCTGTAAAATGGGCAGAAGTCGTCAATAATAATGGAAATTATTTGGAATGAATTTATGGTTTTGTGTTGAATGAATTTTAGTTCAAAGTCCGGCAGTTTTCAATTCACCAACCCAATACATGAGCCTTACGTAAGCAGTATTCCTTCACCTCTAAGCTATTAAGCACTTTTGTTTATTTTATTCTATGGAAAGTCTATAAAACACGAAAAGCAAGGGTATTAGATTGGATTTTATTTTATTTTACTACCTGAGCATAGTATGCGAGCACGTGTTTTGCTTCTGAAAAATCGACAAAAATGCGGGTCAAATTATTAGGAGCAAGCTCGAAACACATCTGAAACATTTCAATGAGCATTGAGCAACTTTTAAAGCTCTCATTTTCTTCAAATTGTTAATTGATTCATGGCAAACCTTATAATATTGTCTTTCGTCTGGTTGCTCACATCCAGGAAACACAATTTTCACTCCATTTCCCCTTGGTTCCCATCCAATAAAACGAATCAACATTGGAAGCTCGGATGCATTATTCAGATCAAAATAGAGATTTTTACCATCAAAGTGCAGACCTAAGGTTGATGTGCTAAGAAAAGAATCATCATCATCATAGCTATCATCAAATTCCATCCAACTTCATCTCACCAGTGATTTCAATGAAATGAGCACCAAGATTTGCTCTTTTTTGTTCTTTTCCATATTCCGGACGAAGATAATTGTAGTTTAGTGGCATTGAAGACCAAGGAAATGATGGAACTGAATGAAAATGATGGAACTGAAGTTTTGAAGTTAACAAAACAAGTACAAACCTGGCAACGCACCGACTGGATCATAGCGAATTCGAGGATTCCCAAAAAGTGTATCAAAGAGATGGTTGCCAAGTGGGTTTTGTGTTGATTGTCTAGAAAGTTTAGATGAAAATATCTTTCATCATTTTTAAACCTCAATTCAAGAGGAGTTAGAGGTCGTGATGGTGTAGTTGATGTTGTTGATGAAGGTGATGTTGTTCTTTCATGTGCATTGCTAAAAGAGTATGCTCATATAGACAAGCGATAACAAAATTATAAGTCAAATAAGTTAAGTATCAGGTTGGAAAGAAAGTTCTTGGAATTCTTTTTACTTTGAATTTGGTTTATTAAATTCCTCGCACACCCGACGCAGACGCTGATAAATGATCTTGATCTTGATCTTGGAAGATACATCAAGCCTCATTCATTCACTACACACAAACCCAAATGAAATACTGCTATTTCCTTGCTTCATTTTTTTATTTCTTTGGGAGCTGCTCAGGAGCTTCCCATCTTCGGAATGTCATTTTGTTTTTTGTCAAGAAAAAAGTTGTTCTGTCAAAGAAGTTCTTGAGGGAATCAATACTACTTATAGACAAGGTTCAATAAGTTTATCGGCAGTTCATAAATGGTACGATCGTTTCAAAAGAAAAGACTTTTCCATGGAAGATGCATCGCGGTCAATTCACCCGACTGACTTCGATGAAACAGCTCTTGCCGCTCTCTTACAAAACGATAACAAACTGTCTACCCGGGAATTGGGAGAGCAGCTTTCAACCACTCATACAACAATTCAAACGCATCTTCACTCAATGGGATATGTCAAGAAATTTGGCTCCTGGATTCCCCACCCTCTGACTGACGTGATGAGATGAAAGCGCCTTTCAGTCTCGTCTGCCCTTCCCTCAAGATACAACCGATATTCTTTTTTGCCATATGTGATGACTGGGAATGAAAGTGGGTGCTGTATGTCAACTATTGGAGGCACAAGGAATGGGTAGGGCCTGGAGAAAAACCAAAACCTGAACCTAAATCCGAACTCCACCAGAAGAAATCATGCTGAGTATTTGGTGGGATCTCGAGGGACCTATATACTGGGAGTTGCTGCCTGAAAAGACAACAGTTACAGCTTTACTTTATACAAATCAACTAGACCGACTCGCCGAAGAAATCAAAAAAACAAGACCAAAAGTCCTCCCTCAGCTAAAGTCAACACGATAACGCGAGATCATGTTGCAAATTTGACTCAAAAAAAATTAAAGGAGTTGGGCTGGGAAGTTCTCTCTCATTCACCGTACAGCCCAGACCTTGCCCCTTCTGATTTTCATCTATTCCGGAAGCTGGCTGCAGAACTCGATGGAGAGCACTTTGGAGACCGAGCTGGGGACGAAACCTGGCTACATGACTTTTTTGACAGCCAAGGAATTACCGGGAGAAGGAAATCCGTGCTCTACTAAATAAATGGCAACAAGTTATACTTAATAATCGCGCATACCTTGAACAAAACCTTGTTTTCTAATTTTTAAAGAATTACAGTCGAAACTTTTTCCGAGAACTTTCTTTCCCTAATAGAAACCTTTTAATGTTTTTGAGTGGATGGCGTGGAAGGGATTGCAGTGTTTCTTGAGAAGGGAAAGTTGGAGGACTTGGTGGTTTGATGGCTCGGCTCCTAAAGTTTTCGACTGTCAATCGAGTGAAGATTCATTCAATCCTTTATCAGTGATATTTAGAACTTTTCAACTATTAGTTCCAGAAGCTAACCATAGATCCATTGCTGTTGCTGAGGCATGATACGCTGACAATGAAGAGTTCGATTGGTTTGTCTGTTTGTTTTGATTCCTGAATCTTTCGCATAGCAAAAGAAAACTATTCTTTTAATATATAGTACGGCTATATGTGGGTATAGTACGGCTGTACTCTTGACTCTTGGCCATGTACCATGACCATATAGTACCTTGGCCATATAGTACCTTGGCCCTATAGTACCTTGGCCATATAGTACAGCGTGTCTTGTCTATCCTTACCACGGATCTGTTCTGAGCACCAGTGCTGGCTCAGTAGTTGGCGGTTGAGTTGGAGGTTTCCGTGGAGGTGATATTGGCTTTGGTCTCGTTAGTCCTAAACGCTATTTTGATTTTAAAAGTTCTCTACCATACCATGGATTTGTTTGGAGCTGGCTCAGCAATGGAGCTGGTTCAACATTTCGTTCGACCGCCCTATGCCTGAGAATTTCCCCAAACGACACCCTTTTTCTTTAAAATGCCTCGATTTGCCGTTCCTGGTTCAACAATCGAAGTTTTTCCTTTTTCCGTCTTGAATTTCATCTTTTCTTTCTTTGGTTTGAATAATTCCCATTTCGTCATCCTTTCCATCGTTCCATTATCCAGAAAAAGTTTTTGTTTTCCCAATTGACCAAGTTTTTCACGATTGTATACTGAAAATTTGTTCAAATCTAGTATTCAATTTTTCTTTTTACCCAATTCACTCTCTCTTTCTTCATTCATATTTTCCGTTTCAATCTCGAAATTCTCATTCTCATCGTTTTTTACTTTACTCCCCATGGTTGGTACATTTCCTCTAAGTATCTAAATAACTTAGGTGTTTCACAAAGAAAGGTAATACTTAAATAAGATTGAATTCTATTGATTACTACAAGATACAGTACTGGACAATGAAATATGATATTTGAAAAACGATCATCATTTTCATTTTGAAAAAAGATCGTCACTTTCGCGCGTCTGTAACTCCCTTGTCTTTGAGTTTAAACTATTAGTGTTATACATTTTCTGAAAGCTCTTTTCAAGGGCTACACAATGGTAATATTAATATTTAGAAATACGGTAAAGACAAGGGAGTTACAGACGCGCGAATGTGATGATCTTTTTTCAAATATGATATTTCATTGTCCAGTAGTGTAGTTTTAGATTTTAACTCAAAAAACGGTAATTCACCCGAGTGTTGTATGCTTTCAAGCTGTTGATTAATAAAAGCGCTCTGTCTCTTCGAGAAATCAGAGTTTTCAACTCGTTCCCCATTTCGAAATCTTTCGAATCCTCAAGGTTTGCTTGTCTTTCTCGGATCTCCTAAATCCATCTTGTTCTTCAATGATTTCAATGACTTTTCCCAACCTTTTCCCATCTTTCAGCACTTCCTTCGATTTGTTTGAGTGAAAGGCGTATTTTATTGATAAATGTTTCCAAAAAAATCATCTATTGAATTGCTCGTCGCATTCACCTAACAATACTAATACAATTTGTAAATTAATACAAAGTAAACTTGCAGAGTTGAAGATTTTTGGACAAACGAACTATAGCCTATTTTTATAAAAGATCAACTTCAAGGCATCTTCATTTGAAACTAATACATAGTAGTTAAACGAATACTAAACTAACACATCTCATATTAGGTTGTAAACTAAGTCTTAACCTCAGCAAATTTTCACATACAGCTCACCGGAGATGAAAAGTGGATAACAACTTTCAACTGTAAACTTTTAAAGGAAACGGAAATGGGTTGGGTCTGGGGTTATTGCTGGGAAGGAGGTCCCCCAGACCGAAGAAGTACATGTTGTCTGTTTGGTGAGATCTCGAAGGGGTTATATTGGGTACAATAGTCTGCTTATTGTCAAGGAACTCCTTGACAATAAGCAGACTAGTGATCAGCTCAAAAAACTGGAGGAAGAAATTAAGAAGAATGGAATTGAGGAAGGTCATTCTTTCTCCATGACAATGCTCAGCTACATACGGCAAATCTCACTCAACAATCCACGATTTGGAGTGCGAACTCCTACCCCACCCACCGTACTCTCCTGACATTCCCCGCTCAGCTTATCACCTTTTTCGGTCAATGCAATATTCCTAGGATGGAGAGCACTTTCGAAATGAAGAAGACCTCAAAAAGTGGCTCGAAAACTATTTTGACTTGAAACCAAAACTTTTCTATGAGATGGGAATCCACCAATTGACAGTAAAATTAGTGAAAGTCATAATGGAGACTATTTCTATTAAATTGCTCTTTTGGTTTTCAATAAATATTGTTTTGAATTTGGGGTCAAGACTTAGTGACAACCTAATAGTTATTGAATCAATGCGACAACCTGTTTCCCTCACTTACAATGAGTCTTCGTGCATTCTTTGGATGAATGCTTTCCTCACAGATTTCTTCGTGTTTCTCCGCACATTTCTCGCAAACAAGCAACTTGAGTAACTGAATTGAAATTCATAGAATATTTCAAACTATTGCACAAACTTTTTCCATTCTCTTCTCATCCTTATTTCTCTTGCAAACAGACAATTGATTGATCGGAAAGACTTGTTGACAATCGTAACATGAAAATTCCATCGTCGAATATGTCGAATTAAAAAGGAAATCAATTACTCTCAAATTTTGTTATGTAAAGAATGAAATGAAGTCAGATTTTCTCTTTGAGAACCGTGTTTGATATCAGAGTTTCTCTTCTTTGCTCTTCTTTCCCAATGAATCCTCCCATAAACCTTATCTCTGAATAGTCTGAATGGAAAGGAAGAGAGCAGAAAGAAGAAAGAGAGGAGAAAGAAGAAAGAGAGGATGAGAGAAGAAAGAAGAAAGAGAGAAAGAGAGAAGAAAGAGAGAAAGAGAGAAAGAAAGAAAGAAGAAAGGAATACAATTTCAAGACTTTTTGAAGTAAAACAATCAAGCTTCTACTACAACCCGGAAACAGAAAGAAATCAACCTTAATCAACCAAATTTAACTCTTTTCTGGACAAAGGAACAAAGGGGAGTTCTTCTCCTTGTTCAGGAGAAATTCTACCAGAAAATAAGAAAAAACTAAACGAAAATTGAAAGCACAAATATATTTGCTCACTTTTCAAATAACTATGTGTTCTTTGAGCTAAAATCTATTTTACTTTTTGCATTTTACTTTATTCTACTTCCTGGCAGCTCAATTTCACACTCATTGTGGTTAAATTCAATGCTTTTATCAAGAAATTATGATAGCTTTTTCTGAAGCTCATCTATTAGAAAGGACTTCCATTGAAAGCAACAAGCCTTCTCATAAATTGCCTCAAACTTCCCCACTCTCTAACTGTTGGGAAATTGCGCAGCGGAAATTATTTTCACTTCTTTCTTGAAGTAACTCCTTGCAGAAAATTGAAATGCTCAGCATCAGAGAATTCTTTACGTTTTCCTTTTTGTTTTAACAGTTTTGTTTGTTTTTTAGCTTGTTTTAGCAGTTAAATGACATCATTTAACCCTAAGCCTGAGCCTAAGCCTTGCGCATTCAAAATCTTAAATAAGCATCATAGCCGATGATGACGATAATAATTTTTGATGATTCCTATTTCTTTCTTTTATCTTTTTGAGTGTTTAATTTGTTGAAAGGGTTTTTATATCTTTTTCCCTTTGATTTTGGTGTGCATTAAGAGACAAAATTGAAGGAAAATAAAGGAAAATGAAGGAAAGGTGGGCTGGATGGGAAAGCTTTGTAAGGGGATATGGCTGGGAATGAGTACGGGAAAAGGAAAAGAAAGGATTCGGATTTGGAAAAAAGGAAGACTGACACAACATCGACAAGAAGAGGATGAAGACAACAACTAGACAGGACAACACATTTATTCTAGAAGAAGGAAAGGTCTTAAGTTCCCATTTTTTCAATAGATCACTTTAACAGAAAACAAGAACAAGTTTTCGTTTGTTTTCATTTTGAAGTTTTCTTTCTAGCTCTATTTCTAGCTTGTTATACAGTGGCCAAAAAAGTCTTTTCTCTTTTTTTCTCCTGTTTTCGTTACGTTAGAGCTTTGCTGATTTTTATGATGTTGTTTCTTTTCAGAAATGCCGTGCAAGCAATACATCGACAGTCTCACAAAGGAGCGAATCGTTGAAGCTCGAAAAGTTGGACTCAAAGTCAGTGTGATTCAAAACCTCTTCTCTGTTTCGAAGATGACAATATGGAGGCTCTGCAATTGGATGAAAGGGCGTGGAAATGTGCACCGATTAAACAAAAAAGGCCAACAACCAATAACAACGTCTCGAAAAGACCGGGCACTTCACCATTTCTTCGCCTCGGCTCCGGACAGCCACAGACGGGAAAAGTTACTTAAAAAGGGAATTTGGGATTGATGTAACTTCGCAGACGATTCAAAATCGACTGAAATTTCTTGAGTTGTTTTCACGACGACCTGCTCGTAAACCTTTGATGGTTCTTAGACATAGGGGGCTCCATTTGGAATTCGCCCGCACCTACCAACATTGGTCGATCCATGACTAGACGTATCTTGTCGAGTGATGAAACTAAATGGCAACTACACCATCAAGAGACCCACTGGAACACAATACATCTTGAAATACATTCGACAGACTGTCAAATTCAATGGAGGAGGGATTGGGTTGGGGCTGTTTTTCTTCAAACTCAGTCGAATCTCTAGTGCCCATAGATGGAATCATGGATGGTGTGGAATATCGGAATATGATGCAAAATGATGCTTCCTTATGTAGCAATGAGTCCAAACTGGCCGTACCAGCAGGATGGGGATCCAAAACATACAAGTGAATTGATGTTGGGACGAAAACTGAACATCCGACCTGGAGTTTTCGTGAGTTTGCCGGGCTGGTTTTAGCTCAACAGTGTCAATTTGTTGCGAACACCACCCTATTCGCCGGATTGTAACCCTGAACCCGCCGGAACATTTATGAGTAGATGTCAAACGAAAATTGCGAGGATTCCGCTTTGCGTCAAAAAATGAGCTTTAGGACAAGGTTCAGTCTATTTAGAGCTCAATTTCACAACGAACCACGGAAAAATTGATCGTAAGTATGCCAAACCGATTTCAGAAGATTATAAAAGCTAAAGGAGGCCCAACACGATACTGGATTTTGTTAGAAATTAGAAATAAATAACTTTTGAAAAGGTATCAACACTTTTTTGCTTTGTTTCTTGCATTTTTTTGATTTTTCGTAAATAAATAGTTTTTGTAAAGAGTATATTTTGTTAATTATAAGTTTCTAACTTTGTTTTATCTAATGAAACAAAAACGCGCTGAATCTAATATTTTTGGATCCAATTATACTCAATTTGCTTAGTTTTTGAAAGGTATCAAGACTTTTTTGATTATTATATGTATTTTATCTTTTCTCTAGCATTCAACAGAAGAGAAATGAGGTGAGCAATGGAAAAAGCGAAAGATTGAATAGATTGCCTCATTCATTCCTGATTTCTTTGCATTCAAAAGCTTCTGCTTTGCATGATTAACCATTTTGCTGGTTTTGAACCATTGATTGAATCGATTGGCTCATTCATTTTCGGTAAACAAATATACTTACAGCTTACAGCCATTCTTTTACAGCAATGAAAGCTAAAAACTTAGAAGCTTTACCTAACTGAATATCTATTTCACATTGTAAACATCATGTGCACCACACCAACAGCCTTTCAAGCAATGCGGCCCAACGAATCCCTTCTCTTCCCTTGCGATCTTTCCTCTTCTCTATGCCAATTCCCCTTCCTCAATCATTTTCTTCATTCCAATTTTCATGCTATTTTGCAGAGTTGCGAAGAGTAAATATGAACCCTCTTCTTTTCATTCTTTTTTTTTCAGATAAATCTCAATATTGGCAACCCCCGAACCCATGATTGAATTCAATGAATACCACGAATAACTCATAATTTTCTTCTTCATTCGTTTCTTCATTTGAAAGCAAGACTTTGAATTTTTTTACTTCTAAACTTCGAAACTAGAACATCTTTTCTCAAAAACACTCCCTTTTTCCTTGATTGTAGCCAATTTTGAGAACAATGATCATTTGGTTTTCTGTTTTCTTGGATGAATGGGTGCACGGTTTGTCTGTTCGTCATTTGCTCAGCTCAATTTATCTTCTTTACCAAAAATGAGGTAATTTGACATTTAACAAAACATCACTGGTAATAATAATGGCCCAGCTCCAGCCTAATCGCTTGATGTTAACGACCCAGCTCCAGCTTAATCTTATTCCGGACCTTTGCTCTCTGGCTTACTCAATTCAATGCCAGAATGTTAAAACTAGCGTTTGTTCCTCGTGATTCAACATTTAATTGAATAAATTTTGTATAAAGATAAACAAAATAGCATAAACAAATTTATTAATAGTCAATTAATCAAGATTTTGGGGGTGGGACAAATGCGACCTTTTTTTTGCGCACCTGGACATTTGCGCACCTTTTTTTGCTCGAAAAGGCCTTAGGAAAAGTCGTAGAGCTTCAAAAACGTTTTCATAGAAGGGAATCGTATGCGTAGATTCAGAATTTTTACAAATCAGACCTCGCTGACACGTCAAATTTGGGCTAAAAGCCAAAAACTACGCAAATTATAAGCAACGCGTTAATGTTTTTTTTTCAATTTCCTCTAACGCTTCTTTCTATTAGTTCGTTTTCTCTATGCTTCTTTCTTTTCAACTCAAGAACTTTCATTTTAGATTAACGTCTGGTCTAAAAAAAACAGTTGCGATTTAAACTGCTGTTATTTTTATTTTAAATAAGATTTACCTATTATGTTGACTGTAAATAGTTTATCCTGCGAATTTTCTCGGATCTAAATTTTCTCGGATTCTAAATCTCTAAAGTTCAACCCCAATCTGCCAAGTGTTATATAAAATATTGAAGCCCTTAAACTTGGCTACATTTATCTATTAAAAGTTTCACGATTGAAGATATACAACTCATTTCACAAGTCCTTGAATGAGTACTAGTTGATCCCTCTCCGGGAATGCCATTTTTGACGATTTTCATTGTAAAATGGGCTCGTAAAATGAGTTTTTTATCTCCAATAGGGAAACTTTTAATGGAAAAATGTAGCTAGGATTAAGGGCTTCAATATTTTATATAACACTTGGCAGATTGGGGTTGAACTTGGCGCTTGGGAGCTAGTCCACCAAAAAGAAGTTGCCGTAAATATTGAACACTCTGTAGTTAAAGCTCTCCTGCAAAACTGCAAAAAGTTTTATCTTAAAAATAACTTCGAAACTTAACTATTTAAATCCCTTTGCAATATTGAAAGTCCAAAAGAGACGTTGTTGAGGGAATGGAATCAAAATTAGGCCGTTTTAGACCTCTTTCCTTTTCCCGAAATGTGTGAACTCTAAAGGAGATGAGGCTAAGAAGACTTTGATTGGAAAAAAGATTGAAAAGAAGTAAAAGAAGAAAAAGAAGTGAAATGGACGGATCAAGCTGGCAAACATCTGCCCAATTCTCTCACATACTCGTCACGAGATTTGACTTTAGATGCCAAAAAGTTTCTTTTCCTCTGCAGACGAATGTTTCGAAAGCAGCAACGCATTGCCGATATTCTCTAAGAGTAATTGCCGAGCTTTGCCGAGCTTTGCCGACGAGCTTTGCCGATATTCTCTAAGAGTAATTGCCCAATTCTTCTGATCATTTCATCAAAATGTTACATTTGTAATTGAGAGTTAATCGAGTGGAAAGGAAACTGTTGAACAACAGAGATCACCGTCGTTCATTCACCCCTTCCTCACTCTTTTTCCCCATTTTTCTCTTCTCAAAAAGCCCCATTTCCCGTGACATTTCCTGCAAAATACCCCACCTAACAAGGCTTGTAAACGGCCAACATATAGCTGAAGAAGAAAAGAAGAAAAAAAGGAAGAGAAGGCAACTAAAGTGAATCAATTCTCACACTAATATTTCACACGACTACACCGTTATTTTTGCCATGAATTTTCTCGAATCTTTCTCCGATTGGATGTACAATTTATTCACTAATCTGAATTTTGAAAATTTCGAACTAGAAAAATTGATTTCCCTCTCAAATACAACGGCTCAGGAATTACGGTAGGTTTATCAAAAGGTTATCAAAGGTTTTTGGCTTCAATCTTTCAATCTTTCAATTATGGTTTGTTTATTTGTTTTCTGTTTTTCTGTAAATATTAAAACGGATTTAAAATGTCTTATTTCTGGCTTCTTTTGGGGAACATGAAGTCGAGTAGTCGAAAAGTCGCTCGATGGTGCGGTTTAGACACTTTAGCTAAGGAAACCTATCTTGGTGTCAATAGATAAACGGGGTTAGCTTTTATCCAACTCAATAGGGAACACTATAGGTAAAACTAAAGAGCTATCACGTATAGAGTTATATTAGGCGGTCCAGAAAGTCTTTCCGTTCCTTTTCATACAGGGTGCGTCATAATTATTGCAACAAGATACTCAAGGCATTGCACACCAAGAAGTTTCACTGGAAGAAGATTTTTAAACAGAAATAGCTTTATTTAACAGTAACAAATAAGGAAACAAGAGATCATTCGATATGACCGCCTTTTGCCTTGATAACAGCCCTTAATCGGTTCGGATATGCCTCCACTGCGGCCCGAATGTCATCTTGAGGAGTCGCCTTCCATCCTTTGGTCAAAGACTTCTTCAAGGTCAAAGACTTCTTCAAGGTCAAAGAGCAGACATTAGCCTCTAAGATTGCCCGAATGGAAAATGAGATCCGGTGAGTTTGGAGGCCATTCATCCTTGGTGATCACTGAGGGAAAGTTGGCCACACACCAGTCCTGAACCGTCTTCTTCGTGTGAGCGGGAGGCAATTAGGCAAGAATAAAGAAGATAGAACGCAATACAACAAAAAAAGGAGGCAAAAAAATAAGAAAGCTGTTTGGAAAACGGTCTTTGAACTCTTGTTGCAATAATTATGACGCACCCTGTACTTTCAATTAAAACCAACACTTATGTCTCCATTTTTTGGGAGTATGAAGTCAAGTAGTCAAAAAGGGCGTTTTGATGATGCGGCTTAAACAATTTAGCTAAAGAAACCTATCTTGGTGTCAATAGATAAACGATAGAGCACAAAAAGTTAGGTATATAGCCAAATTTTTGGAGAAATTCATTCTCCAAAAATACAAATACAATGGCTCAAGAGTTACGCTAGGTTTATCAAAGGATATCAAAGGTTTTTCGCTTCAATCTTTCAATCTTTTAATCTTTTCTTTTAAAAGTCGCAACTTTTTCTGTTTACCGAAGATTTTTCAGCTTGAAATGTCCTCAATTGAAACTTTTATTTGATCATTTGTAGCACACAATGAAATTCTATTTAAAACTAACTAAAAGAGTCATTCTATTTCCAATTCTCAGCCTTGTTGCTTTAAGAAATCAATCTAGTCAATGCCTAGAATTGCCTTTTCCTGAAATCCCATTACTAGAGAATTCTTTGAAAGAAATGATAGGTCATCTGAATGAAATGAATGGGATCAAAGCCAAAAAAACCTGTCAGAAAGCCCCTCTTTGAAGAAAAAACGAGAGATTCAAGAAATCTCTGCCCCTTTTTTCTCGAAATCTTTCAAAAACCCCATCGAAAAGGACGCAATTCGCGCATCGTTTCGTGTGCAAATATTTGAGAGATCTTCTTCTTCTTTTTCTGAATCTTTTGCAATTCCTTTTCTTGTCATTTTTATGACTGTTCTGAATTCTACTTTCTTCAAGAATGAGTGTCATATTTTGAGTCAAACTTCTCTGACTTACCTCATGAATATTTTTGCTTTAAACACGTAGAGATTTGATCTGTACTTTGTGCTTTTTTTTTCTCATCTCAGCATCTGTCTTGGTGGAATGAAATAGGAGTTGAACGCACTAGAAAGTAAAGACTATGGGAGGATAACGTACGAGCCAGATTTTGTTGGTCAATGTCTATCAGATCGATTGCTCAAGCCAAACATTTGTAAAGTCTTTAAACTTTACATTTGTAGAGTCGGCTTTCTCTTTAGCTGAACCTAGAACAGTACTGTGAATAAATTTACTAGAAATTTACTAGAATAAACTAGAAAGCTTCTAGCTATAATATAATACAAGCTAGATTCGCAGTGCAAGGTTATTGAGCTGCCCAGAAAGTCTTTCCATTCCTTTTCATACTTCCGTTTAAAACCAACAAATCCACCAAATGAATTACGGTTTGTTTTATTAGAAAGGCCAATTATTTTTCTGCAAACTAATATTAAAACGGGTTTAAAATGTCTTATTTCTGGCTTCTTTTGGGGAACATGAAGTCGAGTAGTCAAAAAGTCGCTCGATGATGCAGTTTAGACAATTTAGCTAGAGAAACCTATCTTGGTGTCAATAGATAAACGATAGAGCACAAAAAGTTAGGTATATAGCCAAGTTTTCAGAGAAATTCATTCAGCAAATCTCTTTGTAGAGGTTCTTATAGAGGAAAATCTTATAGATTCTTATATTTCCCCCTCGAATTTGCTTGAAAGCGAACCGAAATTGACTTAAAAAGATAGAAATTGAACAAGAAACACTTTTTATTTATTAGAGTAAACCATAAATTCATTGATGAACTTGTTATTTTTGAACGAAAATATGAAAAGGAATGAAAATGAATGAAAAGGAATGAAAAGACTTAACACCAACCAACCAAATAAATACGGATGCCTATGGACTCTATTCTCATTTCAATTCATTTATTCTTTTCATTTCTTAAAATAAATTGAGTCTTCTTAAACTCTCATTCTCTTTCCATCCACTTTTCCCTTCCCTCTTTTCCCTCATTTTCCCCATTTGTGCGTCATCTCTCAGATCGTTCACCCACTAGACAAACACACCATCCACAACCAACGATTAGCAGCTATTTTCTCTCTTTTTTTCTGTTTGATTCATCATCTGAATGGTATTCATTATGAAATTTGAAGCTTTGCTAAACTCTAGATTTTGTAAACTCTAGACTTTTACATTTCCTGGACTCTATCATCAGCTTTGCTTGCTTATAATAAAAAGCTTTTTTGAGTGAATCTCCACCAAGCATTTAAACATTAATCAATCCTTTTAAGGTCTATGCCGAATGAATCCGTTTGGGTGAGTCTTGCCTATATGAGTCTCGGAGTGTTCGGATTCGTTTGTAATGCATTAGTTGTGGCAATGATCTCGACAGTTCCGGTGAGTACAAACTGTATCAAAAGTAATCAAAAGCAATTCACCAATTCAGGCCTATCACAAATCTGCCTATATTTTGATGGCTAATATAGCGGTAGCCGATGCAGTTCAATCACTTATTGTCGGTTGTTATACGGGTTTCGTGCTCGTCACACAGGCGATCACAATGAAACACAGAGAGCTGACAGGTGAGTAAAGGGGGAAACACATTTAGAGCAAGGCTTTTAACTGAATATCTTGAAATCTAATGTCACTGAATGAATAATGGAAATGAAAATCCATTTAGGTAACTCTACATTGATCAGTGAAACCGAGTCAATGGTCGGCAATCGATTTGTGAGTTCTTTTGAAACCACACACCTCGACTTTTTACAGATTTGTGTATTAACAATCACCGCCTGGTTTGTAATGATCTACACTTACGGAGTACTTGGAGTAAATCGATGTGTATCCACTTGTTTCTATAAGGTTACCTGTTATGACTATTTCAAATGTTTATCGGACATTTGTCACGCCGCCCTTTTTGCTATTGAAAATCTAACTTTGAGCTCAATTTTCTTGGTGTTCGGGTGTCCAATTTAAATATTTTTCATATCATTGGATACGCCAAGTCTTTCTCTGTCGATTGGTATAAAAACTATTGAAATTGAACAGCTCAACACCAAGAAATTTGAGTTCAAAGTTGGATTGCCAATGGCAAAGGCGTCCCACAATCATTTCAAATGCCCAGTTACAGACTAAACTCCGGAAATTCAACCGTCTTCGTTGGACACAATATATGATGGTTGTTGTTTGGGTTGTATCCATTGCAGGAGGTTGGGAATTTTATTTTATTTTTAGAAGCTCTACCATTACTGTATTCTTTTTATCCATTTTTTCTTTCCAGGTATTGCCGCTTCATTTCCCGAGCCAATCATCGTTGTTCAACTCCATATCTGGACGATGAGATTCGTCAACTTCAGCACTAGATCACAGGTAATAAAGAAGTAAAGGAATTGGGAAGAAAAAGTAGATTTCAAGTGAGCTTAATAATGGAAAGGAAGGAATGGTAAAGAAAGATTTCCGAGGGATTTAACTCTCGACCTTTCGCTTTCAAGGCGATTGCTCTAACCATTCAGCTATCCGGTACCTTAACTTGCCAAGAGAAAGAAGGAAGGAAGAAAGAAAGAAAGGACAAGAATATTTAGTCTAGAATTCAATCCAAAATCCAAAGCTACAAAAGTCTCTCTCAACACACAACTTTTCTTCCTCAAAAGCCTCTTTTCTATTCGTACAATGTTTAAACAGCTCGATATCCATTGATTCCCACAACCCATCGTTTCCATCGTCTCATTGGCTCAGTGGCAGAGCGTCTGTCTAGTAAACAGAAGGTCGCTGGTTCGATTCCAGCATGAGACAGTTCTTTTTGTCTGTGACTTTTGTCACAACGCGAATTCAGGCTTTCATCCTGTTCAACATTGTTGTCAATGCCGCATCGATTTGTCTCCAATGGGTGTGCTCGATTTTTGTCCTCTGCACGGTTCGATCAATCTCAAAAAGGATTTCAAATCACTCAATCAGTTCGGCCAAAGTGCGACGATCGCAAAAACAGGTACCACATCTAAAAGAAACCAATAGGGTTCAAATCTTTCAAAAAAAAGTTCACCCTGGTTTTAATTCGATCTTTATATATCATATCACAATATTAATATCATAAAAAGGTGTTTCCAGGCTCGTCTCTCCTTCCAATTCTTCTATCCATCAGTCGTTTGTACCCTCTCTTCAATCATGTTCTTTTCAATGCCTCTTTATGCACATTTAATGACCCGATGGCATTTTTTGATATCCCATTTAGTAAGTGAAAAAAGAAATATCGTAAGAGACTCAAAAAATTCAGGTATGGTTAATAAACCATTTGTGTAATCCAATCATTTACGCCTATTTCAATGGACGAATGCGCGAGACAATGTCATTATGGTTGAGGTTAAATTTGAGATATCGACTAAAGATAAGAACACTTTTCTAGATGTGAACACGACAATGGTAATAGTGTTGTCGAGAAGGGGAAAAATCAGACAACTTATGGACAAAGTTGTGGAACAGATGGAAGAAAAAGTACAAGGGTTCGTGATTGTTTAACGAACTAAAACTACTTCTGCCTTGCCATTTTCTTGCTTCTTCCAAAGTATCATGCTTGCTTCTTCCAAAGTTTTGCTAAAACACAAAATGAACTGTCTCATGCTGGAATCGAACCAGCGACCTTCTGTTTACTAGACAGACGCTCTGCCACTGAGCCAATGAGACGACGAGATTGATGGATCTGCGAAGTATTATGAATGGCGGATGGATATCTAGCTGTTCAAATAATTGCAAAAGTGAACATGAGAGAGTAAACACTGAAATTGACTATGAGATTCTTTTCCTAAGCCTTTCAATATCTAAATGAACACAAACGATTTCAGGATCAAACAATCACTCTTCTCAACTCATCGAGCGCAAAGAAGTTCAGTCTTCCTTCCTTGAGGATTCACAATGCAACAACAAGGTGAGTTGAAAGAGAAAAAGGATTAGATAGCTTCACTAAATAGCTACACTTACAGAACACAAAATAAACTTTAAAAAACACATTCATATGAATAATGGTGGTAAACACAATCCCTAAGCCCTAACTGTAAGAAAAAACAATATATGGGAAAAAGAACCAAGAATCTAATGAACCATTGACTTCCTGGACAGGACCTCCAGACTAGGATACAGGACTCTTAGCTCTTACAGGACTCTTAGCTCTTACAGGGCACTTAGCTCTTACAGGGCTCCAAATTTGACCATGACGGTCAAATTTGGCTATCCACATAATCCTTGTAATGCTTTCAGAGGCACTCCTCGTTCCAACAAAGCTCCATCATTGGACGTCGGGAATGTCAGCACAACTCCTTTTCCCATTCATGAAGAACCCCAAGAAAAAGCAAGAAAATTAACATTTTGATTATCTTTTTCAAATTTCTATCCATTATGCACATACCTTATCTTTTCTTATCCCATTTTGCCATGACGTGATCTCTCCTCAATTTCTTTGGTATTTCCTTACGGATAACAGTTTTCAAATAAACATTATTTATTCAAATAAGCAATTGAGCAATGGAAAGTACCTTAAAGTGTGAAAATTGGGCTTTTTTGGAGAATGCTTTGGATTCTCCAAAAGCTATTCAAAGAGAGAAAGAAATTCGTCCAAAAACGAGTGCGCAAGAAAAGATTTATTTCTGTTTTGCGCCAATTATGGTAACGCGACTCTTTTTGGTGTTTTCTGCACTATCTTTTCAACCTTTTTAACAATATGGAATTGATTGCTCATTTTTCTCATTTTTAGACATAAATTTGAAGAAAAATTTGTTATTATTAGTCTTCCGCGAGAAAATACAGCCGCCAAAACTTTATGACACTTGTAAGAGTAGAAGCAGCCATTTTTCGAGCGACTAAACAATTTCTAATGAAAATTGTAAAGAACGAGGGCAAAAAAAGGCAAAAACAGTAAAGAAAAACAATTTTTAGAAGTCTCAAAAGAAACAAGAACTCTTCGAGAAACTCGTCGGGAAAAATAGCTGTTTCCGCTTTTGCAAGAATTTCAGCAGTTGTATTTTGTTACTGATGAAGACAAATAATGCCAGTACATAATTTCTTTTCAACTTTATGTCTAAAAAATGAGCAATCAATTCCATATTGTCAAAAAGGTTGAAAAGATAGCGCAGTAAAGCATGTAAAAAAGTCACGTCAACATAATTTTTGACCCTGTAGGTACAATGCTGACTTGACCAGTTTTAGAGCAACTTGACAAAGACGAAGAAAATTAATGAAATGATAAGTGAAGTGTATTTGTGAGCCATTGTTGATCCATTGAGTGCACATTGGGGGAGATATACGTGAACAGGCCGCTCGATTGCCTGTAAGAAAGAGGTGATTCGTCAAACAGGAAAACGTTTGCCTTAAGTTTCCCAAAAGCTTTAACACTTTCTTTCTATTCCTGAGCTCACCTCAAGCACATGTGTAAACGCATCTTTCCCACAGAGATCCGCAATACTCGGTCGGATGCAATCGGTGTATGTTTGAAGAGCGCTAAAGAAATTAAGCTTAAAC